TTTGTTGCCTACTCGCTGCTCATATTGGGAGTTGCCACTACAAATGGTAACTGGGATGTCCGCAAACAGCCCAACCTTGACTTTGGCATGTGTTTTGCTCTCATTTTGTGCAGAAAGATCTGTGCCTTGAAGTTTCACATGGGAACACTGACCTCCTCAGTGCACATTCTGTGAAAGCTTTTGCTTTCTATGCGTAGGCGCCAATATTTCCGGCTCGTATTACAGTGGAAGGTCTGCTTGGGACACTCTATATGCAAAGGTTTTGGGGACGAATTGGGTAAATACTTGCATTTTTGTCTCGTTGTTGTGGACAACTCACATTATGAATAGTTTTGGTGGGAACGGCGGTTTTCCTATAAATGAGGCATTACTGTATATTGCTACGATGTGATACACCTGTCTGAGGAGAAATAACTCCAGTTTCTAACTCGAGATTGAACGTAACAGCCCACAGCCTTGGTGATGCATCCTAGGGTGAGGCAAAGTACAAAAACTTTTTCTGGTGTCTTTTTTTTTTCTTTTTTCTTTTTTTTCTTTTTTTCTTTTAATTTCTTAGCCTTTCCTTGCGAGAAGAGATTTAAACCATTTCTTTTTTATGCTTGTGGTATTTTCATTAGGACTGAGGTTCTCGTGGTATTTCCATCAACCTGTTGTCATTCACATCGCAACTCCTGCACTAGCCCTGCACTTAACCTGCCCCTTTTTTTTCTTTTTACAATTTGATTTGTTGCGGAGTATTTGTAGAATGCGCAAGTCGTGTGTTAGCTTAGTTTTCTTATAATTTTCTGCAGTGCAAGCAGCGACATGGTGGCTTGGGCTTTAGGATGAGAATTAGGTTGGAAAGAGTAATGAAAACTAGATAACTTAAATTTTACTTTAACTGTCTGCCTTAGAAAAGGAAATCGCGTTTTAAAAACAGTCTTCCCAAAGAGTGTTTTAGCCGTACCACTTCCGCTTTTCTCCTCACAGTGCAGGTTACTTCACTGTGCTGTTGCTGATATTTCTGCTTCCTTTCCCTTCTATGCACACTGTGAAGCCTTTTTTCCGTTCCGCTTTCACTTTTTTGTTTGCTTTCTTGTTTTCCTTGCGGCAGAAACTCCTTTTTCCTCGTAGAAACCTCTCCTATTCTCCTTGTCTCGCTTTCCACCCAAGGGCAGTTCCCACCAGAAAATGTTGGACGAAAGATGAACTCGGTAATTTGTACCTGAATTGGACTTAACTTTCTCTGGGCAAAACTGTGCTAAAATCTCTCAAGATGTACAAATTAGAAAAGAAAATTTGTTTAGGGGGATGAAAAAATACTTGCCCATATTTATGCCTAGTCTTTGTTGCACTGGTGTGGCACTGGTCTTTACATGTCCTGACAATGCAAGGCCTGCATTCAACTCCTGGCTTCTGCAACTGCCACAGTCCTAGCAAACCAGATTGTTTTTCTTAAGTTTTATGCTAGTATTTGGAAAGTTTTTAGCAGAAACAATGTTGGCTGTTGTACTCTTGCTCCATGGCAGCCTGAAGGTCTTGTAGTCTTATAGACGATATCAGGTGTGGCATTGGAATGTTTTATTCATTGCCAGTCAAGGCACAAATGTTGTTCAGAGTCACGTCCTCCTGACAAAAAATATTATGAGGAGCGTGAAGGCCTTGCATTCTAAGGAAAAGCCACCCTCCTTTCCAACACTTACTTCTTTGCGCCACTCGGAACAAAAGACCTCATCGTAAGCCTCCTCGTGGGACCAAATTGTTGGGTCAATAATTAATCATTTGCTTTAAAGTGCGAGGTAAGATTCTCTGGGTCTTTAAAGGGGCACTGACACCCCAAAGGTCGTATTTATTTTTATTGTCTAAAACGATGCAAGTTGCAGTCATAGACACTCAAAAAAAAAACCGCATCGCGAAAAAAAATTTTCCCCCGCGCGCCTTTTTATTTTTGGCGTTTGATTTTCCCGCCTCTCGCCTCCTCGCTTCTTTTGATCGGTGACGTCAAGAATCATGAAATTTAGAACCTTTGTAGGCGACATCTCTATAACATTTAATTACGGCAATCCTAAAACATGTTTTTTAACGCAATTGCGAACGCACTACGGCCCTTCTTTTTGAAATACCAAAAATCGGGAGTTTGTTGTGGTGCCGTCTCCTGGATTTGTATCCTCCAACGGAAAACAGGCGATACCGCTCAAAACCGGTCCGCCGGAACGCCGCCGCTTGCTCCTTTCCCCCTCGCTTTGGGTCGCCATGGCAACAGCAGGGAGTGGTGAAAGAAAGGGGACTCTCAGGTCTCCGCAATTTTTGACGTCAAGGCACCAGCGCCGATTGCGCGGGAACTTCGAATTCGGCATTTGGAAATTGTTTTTTTACTTCACGAATACTGAATTTCCAAATTTCAAATTTTGAGGGTAATGTCCCGGCATCGTTTTCAGTCGTTTCGGATAATAAAAAAAAATATGATTTTGACGTGTCAGTGCCCCTTTAAAGGAGGACTGACACCCCAAACGGCATATATTTTTTTTTGTTGTCTGAAACGATGCAAATTGCAGTCATAGACACGCAAAAGAAATAACCACAACGCAAATAAATAGTTCCCTATGCGCATGCACACTTTTTTTATTTTTGCCACTTTTCTCTCCCGTTCCTCATCTCCTCGCCTTTGATTCGTGATGTCAAATATTATGAGATTTGGAAGCTTTGTAAGCGATATTTTTATAACATTCAATAACGGCAATCGTAAAACATGTTTTTTAACGTAACTGCAAACACACTACTGCCCTTTCTGAAATACTGCAAATCGGAATCCAATGTGATGTCGCCTTCTGGCTTTTTCTCCTCCCTCGGAAAACATGGCGGCGCTCGACGCATGTAGCAGAGGATGATCGGTGAGTCGGGAAATCTGACGGAGTGGTCTTTTTTAGGCGCCCGACGACCTCTCAGGCTTCAAAAAGAAAATCGTCAAACGATCAAAACAACTGGGTTTGATATGTCTATCATAGTTCTGGTTGTCACTCCGCCAGGGCATCCTTTCACGCAGAACCGGCGTGATGTGGTCCGTCAGGTCGCTCACAAAAGTCCAGTGCGCATTCTCTTCAACCTCACACCGTTTCAAAGAATTTGAAATAGCTGAAAGGGCGCTGAAAAGAACTTCAGACTCGGAAGTTAAGCATTGTCTGCTCGCAGCGATAGGCGGCACATGAGGAGGAGACAGATTCTTTGCGGGATGCCGACGAACATGACACTTCGGGTGGCGGCGGTTTGGAGGCGTCGAAGAGACAAGACGGCCCAATATTTGACGTCGCTGCACTGGCGCGGATTGCGCGGGAAGTTCAAATTCGGCATTTGCACCTTGTTTTTTACTTCACAAATACTGAATTCCCAAGTTTCGAACTTAGAAGGTAATGACCAGGCATAATTTTCAATGAATCCAGATAATAAAAAAAAAAAATGATTTGACATGTCAGTGCCCCTTTAAAACACTCCAAGCAGAGTGCTTAGACAACAGCACCTAGATGCTGACAAGGCCTACTTACTTTCTCCCATGACGTCACGCAAAGTCCGACAACGGGCAACACGACCGTTGATGCGTTCCCTCTGCTGCAACGCTTGTTATCATGATTCCATGACACACGGCATTACGTTTAGTACTTTGTAGAGGAAACAAGGGAACTGCGCAAAGCATCTAGGTGGCGTTGGCTTTGAGCCAAGTCTTCTCTGAATCTCGATGCACGCTCGTGGGAGGCGACTTGACGATGAGGAGGCTTCTGTTCCGGGTTGGTGCCAAGAGAAGGTGTTGCCCCTCCCCTTCCCATTCCCCTCCTTCCAAGAGAGAGACACGGCCGGGGGAGTACAGCGGCTGGGAACAACCCTCTGTTCACCAGGTTGAATTTCATCACCGTGCACAGATGCACGACCCGAGCGCCCAGGAAGAGCACGTGATGCTGCTGGGAGAAGAAGGGCTCAGGGCGGGAGGCCAGGCCCTCAAGCTGGGGTGAGCGCGGAGCCCCGCAGAGGGGGAAGGGGGGGAAAGGACGTGCCAATTTGGGTCGAGTGCGGCAGTGCCACGTGTTGCCACGACGGTTGCCTCGTACTCTCGCAACGGTCCGAACAGACTGCTTCTCGGAAGCTAGGGCAGACTGTGGCGAACCGAGAACGAGATGAGCCTCGGTCTCGTCTGCGGCGGTCTTACCAAGACCGCTGGCACTGCTGTGTGGTTGTATCGGCTTCCACAAGCTGTTTTCCTCGTTTGCCAGACTTCCAAGTGGTCTCGGCGACGACCACTGCACAGGAGACCAAGGCTCGGTCCGTTTTCGTCAAGCTGACCTATGGTTCGGGGTGTCGAGACTTAAATCTCTACCCTCGTTGCATCGGCTCATTCTGGTCTTCAGCAGAACCTCGAGAAGTAATTTTGTTCCGAACGTCGCCCCCGAGCTACCGTTTGGGCATCATTGTTTTCTTTTTTCTATTTTCGAGAGTGTCTGGTTTGCGTATAGGTCAGCTACGTGCATCTTGCTGATTCAAATGCTTGTATGGCTTTTGAGTTGCAATCAAATGCTTGTATGGCTTTTGAGTTTCAACCCAAATGCATCAGAGGCTTTGGTCAAACTAACGGGTGCTGCGCCCCGGGTTGCATCAAAATGCCTCTGCATCGGTGCTCTTGGGTAGTCTGGTTGTATGTGGTGTATGCACCGGCGGTAGGTGTTGAAAGCACGTCGCCCGACATGGCAGGATGCCTTGCCTTTGGCTCGTGTCCTGCCTTCCTTTGATGCAGCGGCGCTTGCGTAAGCACCCTCGGCATATTCCCCTTTTCGCTTGCACCCCTCCTCCTCTTTTGTGTTTCTTGGTGCTTTCCCCGAGCAGACGACATCTCCTACTAAACTAACCCATGTTGCATGGCCTCGGGTGGCTCGAACTTCAGTTCCCTCCCATGTACACATTTTTTTTTGTTCCCCTCCAAGCCTGGTCTTCCCGTGACGGTCATTCTGATTTTTAATTCCCTCCCCGACGCCTCGTAGCAAGAGCATGCTCGGACTGCGGACCTTGAGCACATGCATCTCCATTTGGTGCCTAGCGAAATGACGGCCTCTTCGTCCATGCAGCTCGGGTATGTGCCTCAGCGAAAGCGTCCGGGCCGTTTCGGGACGGACAGACGGTCATGCGGTCGTGCGCTAAAAGAATGTGGACAACGACCTTAAATTTTGGGTTGCTTGAACCGTCGGCGGTTTGAGGCCGGGGTGGGAAGCTCCTTAAATCAATTACCAAGGACGACTTACTCAACTTTTGCGACAATTTCTTCTAGAATTAGCTCATGTCTAAAGAAAGCGTATTTGCTCCCGAGAAACTTGTCAGATGGGAAAATGTGAAGTTTCCTTTCTAGCTTTCGTCGGTGCCGTCTACTGCACCAACTTACAATTGTCGGGCTTTTCCTCGTCACCTAGGATGTCTCCCGCTATAATTTGCCCAAGGCCAAGAATATGACCTAACCTTTTATACATATCTGTATCTGAGAGTGTATTGCAGTGGACCGTGCCGCTTTTAGCGATTTGAGGCTTCGGTGTCCTCAATGCTGTTACGGCATCCGTGACCTCTTGCAAGAGACTGGGTTCGGTTGGGAACCCAGTGCCCTTTCCCTAGGGCCTCTAGTGGGCAAGTGTGTCATAGGTTGCAATGCGCATGTTTGGTGTTGGCGTAACTTCGAGAATTTGCATGCGCATGTGGGATATTGCAAGCATGCTAGCCGTTTGCTAATGCTCATTTTCCTAACTGCCCACATGGCTGACATTTGAAAGAAGTGTCTATTCAGTTTACTTTGAGGAGAAGGTTTCTACAATGTCCAAACAAAATTTGACCTTTAAAGTATACCATTAGAAGGTCATGAGCCCTGCCACGCTCCTTAGATGCCCCTGGTCTGGAAATATCTCCCTCATGTTGTGGGGGAGTTTCTCTTGAGGACAAACAGATGTCAATTTCACTCTACAAAAGAACCTTTCGGATGAGGCAAAGTGCCTAGATCAATGTCCACAGTTTGCCTGAAGCTTTTCCCTTTGCACTCAAAAGGGTTTTGCAGCTTTTCTAGCATTTCAAGGGGCAGTGTTGATAGCTAACATATATGCCAGAGTCTCCAGGAACAAGTCTGAGGCACAGGTGCACGCGAGGCTGCTGTCGGAAGATGCCACACAAAGGTGGCTTTGCGTAATAATCCTTACAAGCAGCCACATAACAATCCTTACAAGCAGCCGCAACAAGTGGGAATGAAAGGCTATTGAAGCCACCTAGCGCAGTGGTTCTCAACCATTGATTTTTGCAGAACCCTCGTGGATCCGTCAAGATGATGGAAGTAAGGAGAGGGGAAAGGTATAGGTTAAATATAATGATGATATAACTAAGGGCTAATGTGAAGTAGACTTCTCTTGTAGACATACACACAATAAAACTTGTACAAAAATGAAAAAATTTCTTCTCGATCTGAAAACATACAGTTTTTATCGCTGGGCTTGACTGATGAGGCAGGGCTTTGCGGACCTCCATTTGAGAACCACTGACCTAGCGCAATAACCTGTAACTAATGTTATATATTTCTTTCTTTTAATCCAGTTGCACGATGTGTGCAAACTGCTGTACATCAGTGCTAGAAAATGGTTGTCCCATTTTTTTTTTTTTAGGCTAACTAGTTTTGTGCAAGTTTCTTAATCCCCAGCCATCCTTTTGAGCATCAGTTACGAGGGCAGATAGTGATAGTTTCTAGTCTAGAGACATCTAAGGACCGTGGTTCTGCTCGTGGGTAGTTATGAAAAGGCTGTGCTCACCGAGAGTAATTAACTTTTTTCTTTATGTGGCCTTGTTTGCATGTGTTTCATTTTCAAATTATGCCATTAAACAGTGAAGTTGTACTATTCAAGAATGTTGGTGGCTTTTAAACAATTCGAAAGAGGAGACTTGGAGAACGACACAGACGGGTTCAGAACCCTATGTCTCCTCTTTCTTATTGTTTTAACAGTGAAGGTTGAGTATTTAACTCTATAGTATTGAGATCTTAATAAATCTAAATAAAAAGTTTTACAGACCTTTTAAGCAAAAACACAACAGTGGTCATGCAGAAAAGAAAATCTTGTTCATCTGTACAATTTGTACACATATGTTACAGGCTTCCTACAATGTTATGCAATTATCTGGATACATTTAAGGTGATACGTTGCTCATACACATCATCTAAAACATTATACCTAAAAAAAAGGAATCGTTTTTCTTTTTAAGTTGGTATTGTATTATCAGTGAAGGTATGCATGTGTCTTCCTTGCAAGAAAACCTTTCCTTTCACCCTTCGTTACGTGATGCCTGAGAAAAAGTGCACAATTACCCCATTGCATACAGTAAAGAAGAGGCGCTTTTCCGCCTTGAACTTGTGGTCTAGGATCTGTTATGGGAAATGGACCTTTTTCACGTAACGACTGCCGTCTGCAGAGTTGTCTTCAAACTACAAATAAAGGGCAGCCCAACTTGCCTCCGCCCGTCAGAATACTGTGCTTTTGTATCGTCGTTGCCTTCTATGACCGAAACTACCGTATAATCAAACAGGAATTGCAAAAAAAGACAAAATACGTGCAAAGATAGGTGCTGAATACGTTGGTCGTCCGGAACTTTGCCCTGCAAAAATGGCAACAGTGGAAAGCAAGGCCGTGAGAGGGGCTGTACGCACGCGCAGAAGCCTACTGGAAAAAGGTCCTTTGCCAGCGAAAAGTGTGGCGCTGGTGGCATAAAACGTCCGATTTGCACGTTTCCTCGGGTATGCAACGTGCAATATGGGGCTAAATATGCTCACCCGACATGCATTGCTATAGGCTCCTTGCATTGACGTCACATCGCAGACATTTGCACACCAAGTAAAAGGAGGAGAGGGAAGCTGCTTTTGTAAGAATTTTGAGTGACGGGTTAATCTTCTATAATCTTCTGGGAGGAGAATAGCGACGCCTGTGCAAATCCGGAAGGCACAAAGGAGGGTCCTGATAAGAGGGGAGCTCCTTCTCCCCCTCTTCTCTGGAGGGTATCGGAAAGGACGTCATGTGCAAGGAGCCTATAGTCGGATACCAGTTAAAAATGTGCCATAAGCTCAACCTCCTGCACAAGTTCACGAGGCCCCTCCCGCAATCTTACCGAAGGTAGTTTGCATTGGAAGCAGAGCTTCTGGCATATTGCGAACTCGTACACAGCTATGGCAGGCACTGCCCTAGTGGAATGCCACTTCTTCGTTGTGTGGGGCCCACGTGGATCCAACATTGTGTGCTTCTTATGCGGAAATGACGGTGCTGCAGAGAGGGAAGAATGTTGGGGGCCACCGGACAAAGGCTTACCGCACACAAGCCCACCAATACTTGATTCTTCTAAGGACTCGGACAAAAGACTGGCAGGCCGAAGTGCAGGAGGTAGTTATATACCACAGGCTCAAGAAGCCCCAATGATGGGGAAGAGGCCCACATTATCTGACCAATCGATAAGGCAAACTTTTTGTCTCTTTGACTTTGACTGGTCTCCTCGTAAATGCCGTCGGACATAAATTGTGCAAGCTGCGACTTTTCATTGGAGCACTATTCTAATGGCACTGCTGATATGCATTTTCGGCTTTCTAGTGCCTTGTGGCTATCGTCCCTGTTTGCTGTCTTACGAGTGGAGGTTAGCGAGTCAACCGTGGTGCAACTATTAAAATGTAAATACTAGTTTTTTTTTGTGTGTGTGTTAATCGAGATGTTTCAGTACCTTGGAAGAAAGGTGTATAGGCGCAATGGCAAAGCGTAAACAGTGTTCATTAGCCCCTACCTTGTGGAGATGCCAGTTCTGAACCAGCAGCTCAGATGCAGTGTGCTTGGTTTATTCCATTCTGTGCTACACAACGGCATGGTTGTTGGGGAATCTGCCGCCGTTCCAGCTTTCTATCAAGTTTTATTGTGATTGTACTATACGAAGATGGGCCTTACATAGTTACGCCGCCTATACTTTTTGAATTACGAAAACCTATATTCGGAGCTTGTGTTCACATCTATTAAGGCCAATAACGTTTCACTTAGCTTTCGTTCGGACACACGAGGAAAAAAAAAAAGTGAGCCTTTGCTCAAGTTCGCGAGAGAAGTGGTCAGCCTTTGTCCGGCAAGTTTTTCTACGGCAACACCGCGTTGGCCGTGAGTGTAACCTTGCCTGTTGCGGGAGCAGTAAGCGCGAACGACGTGTGCGTGCCGTGCGGTGGCCAGGTTTGTGGCCGGCGTGGTCCTGCGGGAGCGCCTGCCCTCATTCGAGCGCATGCTGTGGCGCGTCTGCCGGGGCAACGTGTTCCTCCGCCAGGCTGCCATCGAGACGCCCCTCGAGGACCCCGTCACGGTAAGCGGCGATTGTGCGCTTTCTTCTCTTCGCTGTTTGTGACTGCTCCTCACTTTTGGTGTTCATTCTCGCCGCCTCCACTTCCATGCAGCACACGAGAGCATTTAGACGGTCCCTGTCAAACATTAAGATTGAGTCTCAGGCAAGTTGGTAAAGCATGCTGTTAAAAGACGTAAGGTGCAAAAGGAGCGACCATGAACAGTAAGGAAGGCATCATAGCAACATGTTCCTTTTAAAAGGTTAAAAGCGCAAACTGAAACACGGATGAAATAAACGCTTGCACGTTTCTTTTTTGCTGTTATTTAAAGATGAGGAGTCTGTTCAGTCTAGATGGCTACCATAGTCTGTGACAGGTTAAGGATGCAGTAGAAGTCCCTCCAGCAGGCATTCAATCGTTGCCTTCTGTAATGCTTTGGTGTGTTCACAAGGTGCTGACGTGTAGTTCGAAGAAAGCTCACACTGGGGAGGTGGAGCTTTTACTGCATCTTTAAGGGGGGGACACCACCCAGAAAAAATTTGTGCCAAAAAAAGTTGATTTTGAAGATAGTTGGGTATATTAACATCCATCAACATCTAGAGAATATTCACAATAAGTTTTGTTTGTTTACACAGCACAGTTATTTTATTGCAAATTTTTTTCTGTCCACCAATGCTGAAGAAAAGGTAAGAGGTTCGAGCATTTTGATTGTGTTTTTCACCGTTCCACTTTTTGACATAAAAATCACTTTAGGAAAGCTATCGTTTGGTAAAGGGACAACAAGAAAGGCTCACTCATTCTTTTTAAGGGAAATTTAATGGGCAGTGTAGCTGTGACATTGGTTTTTAGTTTGTGGAAGAAGAAGAAAATAAATGGTGCTATGGAGAATTTGGCAGCCTTGAAATGGCGCTACTTTGTGGATGTCTGTCAAGTTTTTGTCGACAAGTTAAAAGGCAAGAAATTTATTAGATTTTTTAGCGTGATGTTAGCATACAATTAATTACTTTCTGGAAACTGTTTTCACAGCTGCACTCTTTAGGCATTCTGCTGCATATCAAGTGAAGAAAAATGTTTATCACATTAGTTTTCTAACAAAAGTTTTCCTAAACAATGTCAGTGTGTTCCTGATAAAAACCACTATAATTTCTTTCACATTTCATGTACACCGATTAAACTTTGCACTGCATTCTGCCTCGTAACTGCCAGTATATACCATAAATTTGATTCATATTAAGCCGAAGGTTCAAAAGTTTACCCTTTTAGGTAGTGTCCTCCGTTAACCTATTGCTGACCATGAAGATGGATAACCTAGGATTCCCTGATTGCGGTCAGAGAAAACTGGCTCTTGTATGGATTACGCCATTTTTGTTTTTTAAGTAACATGCGCAAGCTGAAATTCCAACGATTGAGACTAACTATTCGAAGCCTCTGCAAATTCAATACAAAAAGATTTTGACCACTTACGATCTGATGCAAGCATAGCAGGTGTACTAGGCCAATAGTGTGCTTGAAAAATGGCTAAGAATGCCTTAAAAGTTTTTATTAATTTTGTCCAGTCCTTTATTTTATACTTTGTGCTACTTTCAGGTGAAAGTGTTCTTTATGTGCTCGTGCATATATTGGTTTGTTTGTGTATTTATGCTTCTCACCTTTTAGAAAGATACCATGGTAACACAACTCCGTGAGAGTAACATTTTGGATTTATTCTGCGAGCTCGAACTGTGCAGGGCATTGTCCATTTGCTCTTTATAACAAACTGTTTCCATACGCGATATTGGGTTCAATACCACATTGCAGCAAAACATTTTGCGGAGCTTTAATTGACCCAATCTTCTAGGTAGATGATTGCAGGGTGGATTTGTCGCTTGTAACGACTGCAAACTCGTCTGGCGTGACTCTTTCAGGGTGATCAGGTGTACAAGACCGTCTTCATCATCTTCTTCCAAGGAGAACAGCTGAAGACCAGGGTCAAGAAAATTTGCGAGGGGTGAGTCCCGTCACTGTCTCAGCGAATGCGACTTTTGAAGGAGGAAAGAGACTGTCGAGAGAAAGGGTTCATGTGACGCTTTCTGTGTACCCCTCAGATTTCGGGCCACCTTGTACCCGTGCCCCGAGACTCCCGCTGACCGCCGAGAAATGTCCATCGGAGTGATGACGAGGATTGAAGATCTCAATACGGTGGGTAGCCACGACCATGACGCCGTTGTATGAGGTTGTTGTATGTTGTATGAGGGGGAGGGAAGCCCCAGAAAAATTGAAGATTTTGGGGTGGGGGGAGCTTATTTAAGGGGAGACACTGGCGTAATTATTAACTTTTGAACTCCTCGTCCGATTTTAACGAAATTTGGAGAGTGCATTTATGAGCAGATGCAGGGGCACTGTGCAAACTTTGACTTCTATAGGAAAATTATGTAAAAAGTTACATATTTGTGTATGAGGCTGTGGCACCTTTCCTTAGGAAATCTATCGTATGAAAATGAAATGTTAAACCACTGTTTTTATTGCTTGGATATGAAGTAGAGGGTATGTGGCTTTGGGCTATCTAATTTGTATGATTAAAATGTAAATATTTCGAAGAGAAATTCTGTCTCCAAAAATGATATGCACTTTCTTTGAATGCCATTTTGCCAAAATGTCACTTTTTCTCAGTGATGACTTTAACTTAAAACAAAATGAAGTAGATAGCCCAATTCCCCAGTAAATTTTAGTTCAGAAACACTTTGAACGAGGCACCTGGATATGTTTACCATCAAACGATAGATTCCTTGCTACAAAGTTTGCAGCAAAAAAGTGAAACTGAGAAAAACGCATTCAAACATTGAGCACCTTTACTTTATTAGTTTGGCCCAGTCTGTGTCCACTAAAAGGCGCCGGCAGAGTAGGTCTCCCCTTCGGCTGCCTGGTCCCTCTGTGCCTTGGCGATTGCTGCCAGCTTCCTTTGCTTATGGGCCACTTTCGAAGAGTTGAGGGCCTTCTGCTTCGCCTTGGAGACCTTGGCTTGGAGGGCCTTGTCAGCGTGCTGAACCTGGTGGCTTCCGGGCTCGATTCCCATTTCATGAAGGGCCCTCTCAAAGCCCTTGGGGCCCAGGTTGAATTCCAGGACGGCAAGAGCCACGGCAGTTTCCACAGTTCTTCGAGAGGCGAAATCCGTCTTGGGACACCGCCTCCACACCAGAGCATTGAACGACTCGTTGTTGTTCTGCGTTCCCATCCTAGCACACCTCTCGAGTAGGTCCCGCCTTGAGAGCCTATTGTAGAGGGGCACCAACTCCTTTGCGATGTCTCTGGAGAAGGCAGGGCGGTGTGGCTGTGGCTTCGTCGGCTCTCCTGCTGCCTCCAGCGCTTTCTGGCGATTGAAGTGACACCAGGAATGTTCTCCATGAGGGCAGGCCTGATGCCGGGGCTCTTCATCGGTGGAGTAGCTGTGGAGGAGGCTGGCAAACACTGCCTTCTGCATGGCTGGAACGTCTGGGGCACTGGTCTTCAGCGCAGATGCATAGTAGCTGGTCAATTTCTTCATGACAAGGTTCGTTAGTTTGCCCCTTCCACCGAGACCTTTTTTTGTTTTCTTTAGGGCCTCCATGCCAGCATACATTCTTTTGGCGACGTGGTTCACACAGTCTTCTTTCCTCATGCCCTTGTCGTAAAGATCAAGTCCCGCAACATGGTTGAAGGCTTTACTGTCCCCGTCGCACAGCACTGTCACATACTGCAGGTTGTGGAGTTGGACGGACCGACGGAAGATCTCGTCTGCTGCTTGCAGCTCCATCGCATTTGCAGACCCAGCAAAATTCTTCTGGCATACTGCCCTGTGATTTTCGGCCCAGTCTTCATGGCTGTCAGATCCCTGCGCAGGTCCAAGGCTACATCCATGGCAATAATTGCTCTGGACAGAATAGTCCAAAACTAGTCCAGTCTCAAGCTCGATGGCAACTCCAACACCAAAGTGTGAAGTGTGCCCACGCTTATGCCAAGTGCCATCGTATGTCACACAAACGTCCATCAAATCGCCGCTATCTGACTCGCGTGTTTCTCGTACAGCTTCTGCTGCCTTGCTCATTACGTTGCTGGCTGCTCTCACTGAGGCGTCGTGGACCTTTTCTCCCAGATCTTGATAAGATCGGAGATGCATGGGCGAAGGAGCATTGATACCGGCAAAAAAGTTCGTAAGCTTCGTGTATCCAATTCCACATTCACGAGACGCAAGAGAAATCCGTGCTGCCAATTCATTCTGCCGCGAGTGTCCGATGGTCGACGAGTGCGGCGTCCGAGCAACGTCCCCGCAGTCTGGGCAGACGACGACGAATTGCGCCTGAACTCCCTTGCCACTCTCGCTTAGCTGAAGGTCTGATCCACGGCACACTGGGCACAGAAGAGCGGACACCAGTGTCTCGATGGCAGATAAAGCAACCAGACGATAACCTTCGGTTGGGGCACCGTCGGGAGCAGCGGGAGCGTCCGTGGGATCCGCAGCGGGATCGCTCTCTTGCAGTAGCGAGATCTTGCGCTCTATCGCCGTGAGCTCCTCCACAACCTCATAATCTTCAGGAAGAGACGAAGAAACGTCGGCTGGTTGTTCAGAGGTCAGGTCCTGAAGCGACGAACCGGGAGATGGTGACGCGCTCGGGAGCGAAGCAGCTGACGCGTCCGACGTGGTTCCGTTAGGGTTAGCGCATCGTACGCGTCCACCTGACGAGCCTCTTGGTTTCACAGAACGGCGGCGAGCTCCAAAGGCTTGGAGGGAATGCCGTTTAACGGCCGGCATCGCGGCGACGAGACCGTAGATAAAACGATAAAACTGTGAGAAATATATAACGAGCAAGCAAAAGAAGCGAACGTTCGGCCGAAGCAACGAGACGAAACAACAATTCGGGCGAGCGGATCACGTGGGGTGTCACGGACCAATCCCGGCTTGAGTTTCGTTTTTAAGCCAATTATTGCCGACAACTAGAGGGCTCTGGCTTTGTTCATGCTTACTCTCGAACGAAGTTTACTATCGTCATAAAAGCCCGAAGAAGCGACGCTTCCAACGAGGGTATCAACATCGCGGTAGGCCAAATGGGCGCGGAGCGGTCGGCATTTGAAAATGGCGAATATTGTCAACCGATCGCTCGACGGAACGACTCGGGGATAGGAGGCGCGTCGCCGACCTGTCGAAAATCTTTTATATCTGCTTAAATACTCGACGTACGGGCATGAAATTTTATGGAAGGGTGCATTATTAGTTTCTGAAATCAGATATAACAAATTTGAAAAATGCACTTTTTAAAAAAAAAATCGGGAATTGGAGCCCGTGTCCCCCCTTAAACAATTAAAAAAGTTGTTTTAAATGAGCTCTCTGAAAGCACAGTAATTTTTTTCATTTCACTGTCGCTTCAAGGGCAAGGACAGTAAAGAAAATTCAGGAGCTTGGGGTACACGTGAAGTTCCCTAGAGGGTATTCCGGGGAATCTCTAGTGAACCCAGCTTGAGGCCCACACTCTATATGCGCTTGCTCTTTTTTCCCAACGTCTCACGTCGACGTTTCCTGACCGTCAAAAAGAGCAAGCACGCGCTTGCTCGTTTTTCCTCAATGTCTCGCGGCGGGCGGCTTGTGAGCGGCGTGGGTGTGGCAACACAGGTGCTGGGCCAGACCCAGGACCACCGTCACCGGGTGCTGGTGGCTGCGGCCAAGAACATCAAGAACTGGTTTGTGAAGGTGCGCAAGATCAAGGCCATCTACCACACCCTGAACCTGCTCAACCTGGACGTCACCCAGAAGTGCCTCATCGCAGAGTGCTGGTGCGCAGTCTCGGATCTCGAGAAGATCCAGCTCGCACTGCGCAGGGGCACCGTGAGTGGCCTCTCAGCCTCCTTTGAGTTGGGCTTTTGTCCTTTAAGAGGAGGGCACTTGATCATATTAAACGCAAATAGCTCCGAGGGAAGACAAGGACAGGAAGGTGGGATCAGCTCTGCGCTTGCGATTAGGGCCAGCTCTTACAGTACATGAAAAATATCTTCCCTGCATTGGTTTCTGTCAGCTTCCTGAGCCTTAGTCGCAATGTCTCGAATCGTCTTCAGCATCTGCATGCCTATACGTGCAGCAAGGGGGATGGGGGGTCAACCAACAGTAGAGTCTACTTGCAGTCACGGTATCCAGCAGCCTTAGCTGTAAAATTCAGTGCAGAATGATATGCTTACCATTAAGTGCCGACCCCACTGCTTCGGACCGACGGCCTACACGCATTTCCCGAAGGCAATCGTGCACCACTCATGGTTGCCGCGTCCCTCTCCTCCCTTCGGCTGGCAGGAGCGGAGCGGGAGCACGGTGCCTTCGATCCTGAACCGCATGGATACAAAGGAGACTCCACCCACCTACAACCGGACCAACAAGTTCACCTCTGGCTTCCAGAACATTGTGGATGCCTACGGCGTGGCCAGCTACAGGGAGGTGAACCCCGGTAAGTGCCGGCGGGCTGCTGCAACACCTGTTCGTTTCACGCATCACGTGCGACGATGGGCGGAGTCCCACAAAAGTGCCATGTGACGTTACGAAAATGTGCGACGGAAATTAATAAGAAAGAATGTGTCGGTGAGAAGCAGTAAAAATCCCCCAGTGATAGTCGAGCCCAGGACCCCAACATTCTGAGCCAGAGACTAGCACCGTGCAAAGGAAAGACTTGGAGGCGCGAGATAACCGAGGTCGGGTAGCATGCGAGTCACCCGGCAATTGAAGTTTAATTCGAAAAAATGTGCTATCTAAGCCGTCCTGAAGTGCCTCGTGTAATGTCCAAGAGATCAGCCACTCCCGAAAAATAACCCACCCCTATTTTTGGCACAATTCGCTGTTCGTTTAAAACCACCGAGAGCCCTGCAGTAACTCCAGGGTTCTGGCCAATGGTGAACTCTGTGGAAATGGTGTTCCAATGCCTAGAACCCTGCAGTAACTGCAGGGTTCTGGCCAATGGTGACCTTGGTGGTAATGGTGTTCCTAAGCCACAGGGGAGATAAGCAAACATTGCTTACTGGGAAGGACAGTTTTCTATGCTCCATTGCCCATCAATCTGAAGACAAGCTTGGCAGGTCACAAAATATTTAAGTAACATTTTCTTTTTATCTTCTCGATTGCAAATCCAAAGTTAGCCCACTTTTAGTTTTCACCCAATTTGCTCCCGCTTTTAGGTGGGCTCTCTTTTAGAACATTACGTTCGTTATTTGCTCGTCAGTGCAAATCCTGTGTAGGCAGGTACATGGATTGTGATCCAATTCAAATTAAATTTACGTAGCTTCTTTGCCTCTACAATCTCATTACAAATATGTACTTGGTTTTAATTAGCCTAATTAGTTTTGTTAGTAGTGAAAGTTTGATTTGCAAAGACTATGGGAAGGGTTAATAGAAATTAAGTACTGAAATCAGAAAACAAACATATCCCAGTAAGCTGAAAGGTCTGGAATCCAGTAAGCTGTAAATGAAAACTCTAAAATGTTTTATATTGTAAAATCTCAAGAGATGCTCTACCCCCGAAAGATACCCACCCCCTATTTTTGGCTTGATTTGCTATATCTTTTTAAACACCGAAAGATAGCCAACTCCTAGTAACAGCAGTGTTGAGACCATTAGCTATGGTGGGATGTAAGCAAACTTTGCTGACTGGGAAGTGCACTCGTCTTTGCTTCATTGCCCCCCGCCAACAAGCTTGGAAGGGGCAAGACCTAAAAATAGCTATTTTTTAAACTTTTCTTTATTGTACACCCGAGTTAGCCCAGTCCATATTTTCAGCCGATTTGCTCTTGATGTTAGGTGGGCCATCTCTCGGGATTTTACTGTAAACTTTTTTCTAATGACACTTTTGAATTTTCCAATTTCAAAATTGTTTATTGCAGGAAGTATTTTCCAGTTTCAAAATTATTTATTGCAGCATTTACAAAAGCCTGATGCCATGATGAAGAGATTTATGTTGGAGAAGCAAAATATTGTGAAGATTGGATATGTGCAAGTTGAGATAAGGCTTCCATAAAATATTAGTGTGTGAATAGCTTATTCTGGAATAATAGCAAGAAAACATGCACAGACCCTTCGAGTCAAATTTCAAGACAAGACTTGTTTCATGAAAATACTTTGGGACAAGATAAATGCCTGTCGATAATAAAAAAAACGCAATTTCATTATTTTTTTAGGACGATTTTTATTAGTTGCAGATGCACTTTGTGTGGTACAGCTCGCCTTTGTCCCTGCGTTTTTTCAGTGTTTCTTCTTAACTCCCTTTGCAAGTTTTTGAGTAAGTAGAAGCTGTCTGCCACTTATGGTGTTTCTTCCTTCCCGCCATCCCTAATTAGCGCCTTTCACCATCATCACTTTCCCGTTCCTGTTTGCGGTGATGTTTGGGGACTCGGGGCATGGCACCATCATGTTCCTGTTTGCCCTCTGGATGGTCCTCAAGGAGAAGGGACTCATGTCACAGAAGTCCGACAATGAGGTTAGCCAGCCCGCGTTTGTCTCCGGATACCTCTAACTTCGTCAGGAGTCACAAACAAGTAATCGCAAACGAGCGTCTTTTGGTTGTCGCCGTTCTTTCCAGTACTTCCAAGTCAACTGTACTGTTTCACGTTTCGTTTCTGAAATGGGATTTCAAAAATAATGTTTAAAGAAGTTATTCCAGTTGTGGTATGTGCATATGGGCTCTTAATGATGCTCAGTGACTTGCAGCTGATAGAATTTTTGATGGAAAAAGCATTCTATAGAGAAAGACAAAAAGATAAGCTTAGGCTAACTGGCGTTTTGCACCCCTTTGAATTTCAAAACACTTTAGAATTTTAAACTAATCCAGCAAGCAGAAGCAGAGGGAAGGAAATGACTTGTCGGAAGGCAGACTGCATTAGTCGTCCTTACGTCGCAGATCTGGAACACATTCTTCGGTGGCCGCTACATCATCTTGCTCATGGGCCTGTTCAGCATCTACACTGGACTGATCTACAACGACACCTTCTCCAAGTCTTTCAACATCTTTGGATCTTCCTGGAACGTCACCAAGAGGCGAGTGTTGTCTGGGGAGTCTCGCTTTCCCGATTCAACATTGTTCCAAAGTGGTTGAAACTGAAAACCGTTTAGGAACAAATTGTTTCGGGAGCTTGTCCGGCATGAAACTGGTTTTTTCATCTCATCTAACTGACCTGGACAAAATTTAATAACTTATATAACTGGGCAGGGTTTAAGGTTTTTAAGGAACACAGCATGGGGAAACCTCGGGTCAATCTTTTAACTGCCACAAGCATTCATAGTGTCGCACTCTGAATGAGTGGTGCAAACCTCTTTTGGAGATCAATGCGAAATGTCACACAAGCTCTAAAGTTTGTGTCAGTTGACTAGTGGCTGACGCAATAATCAACCGAAATGCCAACCCTAAGACGACTCTGGAGTGTGTGTAATGTGTGCATGTTGAACTGCAGTGTGTGAAGTTTCCAAACTGAACTTTGTCAACGACTCGGTAATTGAGATGCTAGGCCAATTCCGTTTGCACCGAATCATTGTCACCTTCATTCTTCTGTAACTAAGACGAACGAGCGGGGCACATCAGTCTCCAAACAGCAACAGAGCTTCTTTTGCTTTCCATACATTTAGGAACTGGGCCGAAATACATGATGCATGTACATCATGCTTGTAGCAGCACAGACTCCCTCTTGTTTTACAGCGGAGCTGTTAAAGGCTAGGTTCCCCAGGATCGTGTCCGTGTATGTCTACACAAACCTACCTAACAGCTACCGCCATCTATAAGCAACGGCGGCAAGCACACAACCAGTATGGTTTCCGCCGTCGCTCGTAGATGGTGGCTACCTTTCCAGCTATAGTAGAAGAATGGATAGTTGGGCGCGTTGGTGGGAATTCATCGTAGGAAACAGCGCGAAAAACAGACGACAACGAAAAAGCACACGTAATGAGCGCGGCGCTCATCACGTTTGTTTCTTCGTCCTCGTCTGTTTTGCGTGCTTTTTTTTACGCTCTTACGCTCTTATCTGTTTCGGTTTGGACTCACGATGGGTCAGCTGCGCGCCCGTTACGGGAAAGAAAAATACAGCTCTGCTGGTCTTCCTTCTTCACGAGAGTGGAAAGGCTGAACATTTTTTTTATATAGAATCTTCACTAAGTTTGGTTGGTGCTTTCCCTGCAGTTAATGCCGCAGTTGTTGCTCGTACCTTGAAAATGCTTCAGCGTGGCTAGGAACAATTCCGTAAATCGCTCCGAAGCTACCCTTTTTCCTCCGCGTTTTGTCGTGGGAAATATAGTACGCAATGAACTGCATTGAATGTGCTTCTTTCCTTTCTAAGAAGGGCTGTTGGGTGGCATAACAACCTGTAGATGCATGGATGGCATGCATGCTTCGTCACATCAGGCTAGAAAACCAAATAGTACTATGGTGCAAAACATAAATTTAAAATAATCCACACTCAGCAGCATAGCTACCACAGTGGCAGCTGATGTGATGTTAGTACGAGCCATGTATGTATAAAGTGCATCTAGCAGAAATTGTGACCGAGGCGTTCCCCCTCTCCATTCCCAGAGCCATATACACCGAGCAGGAGCAGCTGGATCCTGTGGACAATTTTGCGGGATATCCATACCCCTTCGGCGTTGACCCGGTAAGGCGCTTTACCGGCGTGCCTCATTCGAGGCGATGGAATGATTTCTGTGCTAGATAGTGTGAGGCACGGGCTTAAGCACGTGGCTTTAGAGAGCAGTGCTTTGGGCAAGTTCCCCACGCAAATAACATAGGTGTCTGGTAGTAGAGCTACGGTTGTCTGCCAAATGACAATGCACCAGCGTATGGCAATTTTAATTCACTGCTGATACTTGCCTCTCATGTGACACGGCTCTGCTCCAGAAAGACATATTCATGGGGAGAGAACCTGCAATATAAACATTTCCAATCAGTCACGTTACACGGCATTTTCGCCTCATACAACCTTCCACATAGTCCATTTAGTAAACACTCGGTTTTAACGTCCCTATTATAGTGCTTTTTAACATTTATTTCTAGCTCGTGGCTGGTATCTAGTATATATTCCATGGATTGGGATACTTTTTTTATCACTTTTTTTGCCTAGTTCGAGTGTCAGTAATTTTCTTGCAAATTCATTACTGATATTGTCACTAATGAAGGTGACGAGAGGATGAACAGTGAATTGAAAATAAAGGTTTAATCGGCGAACTTCTGCCAAACAGAATAAAGAAAGAGCGTCGAGGCAGCAGAAAAGCAGGCGACTATTTGGCAATGTTATAGTGGGTGAGACTGACTCAACAAGGTCCCTGTGCAGCTCCTTATCTAGCGTGCGTCGCTATCTCAAATTTGGCGAAGAAGGTTTGAGCATTGCACGCTCGAGGCGAGAATGAGCGGGCACTTTCGAGAACAGGACGAAATGATAAGACACGCCCCGAGCAAGAACAAATGTGAATATTCCAGAATTCTGCGATCGAGCATTGCTTGTTCGACTCTGCACGCGGCAATATCTGGCCCTCCACTTGTTTGTGCTCATTGTTACCTTATCTGATACTAAGAAATTTTCTGCAGCCGTTAGCTTATTTTTTCTAACCCATAACTAGATTACAGCGTGTTTTCGTAGATAAATAGTTTTGTTACTTGTTTGTTTTTTAAGTGTTCACTCCCTTGTGTAATGCCCCCTGGGCCTTCAAGGAATAATAAATGATGATGATGATGATGATGTAAGGCCCTCCGTGCACCCTCGAGGTAACGTGAATAAACAAATAAATGAAAAGCCAACTGCAGGAACGCTTTTGGTTCGGCGCATCGGCAGCAGCTGTGAATCAGTGTGACCCGGTTGACGGTGGCTGTCGCTTACTCTTCAACGCTGCAGGTGTGGCAGCTGTCCACCAACAAGATCCCTTTCACCAACTCCTACAAGATGAAGATGTCCATCGTGCTTGGGGTGATGCAGATGCTCTTCGGCGTCTTCCTCAGCCTCTGGAACCACAGGTACAGAAGGCCATGAGGGGCGCCTTTTTCTCTGCCTATTTCCGGAACCAAACTAAGGACACTTTTCTCTGCTTTGCCATACAATGGGCCTCAACTGATGCTATGAATCACCGGAGTCATTTTAGGCTTGGAGCATGTCACGTGGCCTTCCAGATGGGCGGAATGATGCTCAGAGTGTGAATTCAAGTGGCTTGCACTGCACGCTAAATTGGCTAACCTAACTAAAAGAAATATCCTCAAAAATTTATTTATTTAATTATAGCGATTTTGAAACTGACAGCTTTCTTGCCAAGTGTCGTAATTTTGTGCATCAATATTGGTGCCGTAATGTCAATTTATAATGTCTGCGGGTTGAATTCTCACTAAAGTTTATGCTAAAACCTCATTTTCTCAAAGCACAAATTTTGGGCTCCTTGCAGATTTGCAGGAGGATATCTCAACATCTAGGGCAGATAAAAATATAACTTTTTTTGCACTGGGAAACTTAATATGTGGAGCGTGCAACATTGAGTGCAGGTTCTTCCCTATAAGCCTAGAAAATTTTTATCTATTGTTTTATTACCTGGTCACCCCACATTGAACACTGACCTCCAGTGTGTTGTAAAATCACTAGGTAGTTACGGTTAAATCTCAAAAATACTTCCAACTTTGTAGTATCTAAACATGCGTTAAACATAATTTTCTGTTGAGTAGATGTTTGCTTATGGTTCCTGAAAACAAAGGCAGGTGAGTTAATTATTTTGAGGACTGATCTACTGATTGAAAGGCTGACCAGATATTTGCAATCAGCGAGATAAACTGAACGAGCTTGTCCATTATCAATGGGTTTGGTTAAACAATAACAAGAAAAGCACTAAGATTAGTGTTTTTTCAGTGAAATGGAGTTCAAATGCGTTTTGAGTGAATGAAGGATACATATGTGCAATGTTGGGAGATTGACTGCTCAAATGTCCAGCTATACAGGTATATTACGACGAAAAGTTTTCTCACCTAACCTTCAACGGACATTTTAGCACTGCTTAGAGGAGTTAAAACTGGGACGTTACATCTCTTGTCTGAAGTAGCATCAGCCGAGCTCACTTACAATCAGCCTAAAAATGGGAAAATACGCTGCAATTTTTCTACAGTCACCTTTATAACGAAGTCCACCACAACCCTGGCGAAATTCTCAGTAGTGCAGGCAACTTCAATGTAGTAGCTGAGCGCAAAAGATTGATTATGGTGAAGCCGAATTTGTGTTATTGCATATTGACGTATCTGTGCGACATTCGAGGTGCTTTGGGAAAGACTATAGCTCCAAATATAGTGCGAGCGACATCAGAAATGAGGATCTGTACATTGACAATTGACTTATGAAAAGGGGAAACGGAGCATCTGGAAGCTCGTGCTGTAGAATCCGGACAGCTTCGTTAGGCTTGATTACCAAATCTTTTTTTTTTTTTTCTAAATGAAAATTGTTTTGCCACATGTCTTTGTGCTCGCGATTGCTTGACGCAGTTTAAAGACAACAGCCTAGCGGTTGTGCTGCCAGTGCTGCCGCTGGCAAAGTTTGTCATCTGCAGTTGAGACACCAGGTGCTCCTTGCTGCAGACTAATTTCCCAATGTCCAAACTTCCACACAACAAACTTAACTGGCTTATCGAAATATAAATTGACACCGACCACCGACACCGACCTCCGATCACGCAGCAAAGGCATTCATTGCATGTGTAAGTTTGGCCTTTGCTAAATTGGGGGGCGGCTTGCACCGCCACGTGTCGTTCGGAGGAGGCTCTCAAAGCGGCTGCGCTGCTCTCGATCGCGTATATAGTCACTAGTTTGTCAGGGTCCAGCGAGCTTTTCACGACAGCTCGGGGACGGTCGCGTAAACGGAACTCCTTTACTTGTGAACCTTCGCGCTGCACGCGCGTTTCCACTTGCGTCCCTCATTTGCGTGCACTTCCTCGCTCTCTTGCAATGTTCCCCCCAACCGCGCATCCTGCGCGCCATCTCTTGAGTCTTGCGGAAGATGTCCTCGCTACGCCGCTCTGGCACCATCTTGTGGCGAGGCATGCAACTGCATGCCTCTCCTAACAAGGTAACGTAGGAGCTGGCACGGCAGCACGGCAGAATTGGCCAAGCACTCGGCACGTCGCATGTGCAGCGTGCAGCATAGCGAGGATAACGAAAATCGCACAACCGAGCCAACAGCTTTTTTTCACACATGTCCAGCACAAAAAGGGGGGCACATTTCTTTCTGTGCGGCTCTACTGATTTCGCTTAGATTTTGGCATCACGGGTAGTCGTAGATAATTTTTTAGACCGCAGATACATAGCTCCAAGGCGGTACAATTTGGGACTTTGATTGAGCAAGATAAAAAATTTTGGATCCTGACGAAGATTGACGCTTCAGTTGAACACATGCCAAGACTGCGTAAAAAAAAAAGTTGGAGTGCCGATAAAAATACAAAAAAAAAACTCATTTTGGAGCCTAGTGGCACATACTCAATGTCACGAGCAAAACAAAAACTAAACAAGAGCCAGAAAAAAAAAAAACATGGGCCACAGCTGTACATGGAGAGTTTAGCCATTCATTGGGAAGTATAGGGGGCAAATGAGGAGGCAGCATTGGCTGAAAGCGACCTGGGCATGTTCCAGGGCATCTTCACAAATTAGAATATGGCCAACCAGAGGCCACGCATAATATTCTGTTTGTGGTCGCGAGAAACAATAGGTGCATCAGAGTAACTCTCGGTGACTGAGAATATGATGCACGTGATGTTTCAATCAGAGTCATGCAAAATCATGGTGGAAGATTTATAAAGATATAGAAGCTAAAAAAAAGTGTGTGCAGCTAGCAGAATGATCAATGCAATCTGTGCGCCAGGCGTCGAGGGCTAGGAATCTTCCATCTGAGCAATACAGTTTGAGTGGCAAATTAGTTTCTTCCGTCATTTTGCATAATTATCGAAAGTTCACGTACACCATACTTTCAACCATGAAGAGTTACTACACTTAACGCTACGCACTTATTCAAACTGTTTCTCGCTACGTCCGCTGGGGGATTATTTTCTGCTTCTGGTTGGCCAAGAGGTGTCAAGCCCTCTATCAGCGTCTAGTGCATGCCCTGGCCCTGCCCGTTCCTCCTATTGACCAGACTCTTTATATACGGTTCTGCCACGGCCTACAGCGCCTCCTCCGTCGTGCTGTTTCCGCTGCCTTGTTGCTCATTCTCGGTTTTGGGTCTAAATAATTTGTTAGCGTGCAACCTTGTGTCTTGATGGTGCTATGTGACTACGGTGACTACGTTGCTACCTACAGGCTTCCGACATAGCAACATAGTTATGTAGCACCATCTAGACACAAGATTGCACACTAACAAGTTCTTGGACTCAAAATCGAGAATGTGCGGCACGGCGGAGATGGCGCTGTGGCGGTTTCAGCAGTCGCCGATGCCAGAGACTCGTATTTACTCGCATAACGAATGCAGTTTTTTACCAAAAAATATACACATATTTGGAGGGTGCGTTCATTACGCGGGGTAAAATATTTGCATTTACACACTTTGTGCAAATGTCATTTTAGCAGCCAATATGGCACGGCAGGGTACTGTGGCACGTCCCCACTGATGGATGCGCACCCATGGCTGGTCGTGGGCATGCCAGAGTAACCATGCTCTTTAAATTGCAAACCTTTTTAGGGCGCTTTCGGCGTGCCTTTCGCCGAAGGAGAAGCATCCTACGAAGCTCACTCAGCACAGAGAGCAACGCGAGTCCTTAGGCCTAAAGCGCGAAACACATGTACGACGAAAACCTTCCGATCCGACGTGCGGACTGCCGGAATGACCTTGGGGGGGAGAGGGTTTTCGTAGCATTGGAGAGCGTTGAAAACCCTCGCCTCCGACCGTCGTATTGCGCGGTCGGACGTCGGATCGGACGGTTTCGTCGTACATGTGTTTCGCGCTTTACCACTTTGATGATTTCTGTTCGAAAGCGGACCGCAAATGACGGCGTCTGTTGATATACCTCAGTGAGATGGAAAAAAAATTCAAGAAGTGCAATCTAGGTTTTGACCTGACTTACACGGAGGAAGGACTTAATGTAAATCAAGTATTGCCAGGGTTAATGTATGCAGACGACAGTGTACTCGTATCAGAAAGTCACGAGACAGTACAGGAACTGATTAGGATTGGCAGCAGGGAAGGGGACAATTTAGGCCTAAAATTCAGTGGGGACAAGTCGGGTATAATAGTTTTCAACGACGAGAACGGGGAACCCCTGCAGATACAGGAAACGGTGATAAAACACATAGAAAAATGCAAATATCTTAGAGTATGGTTAAGTGAGGGAAAAATGTATCTAAAAGAACATGAAGATAATGTAATAAAGAAGGGGAAACGAGATTCGGCTATCATGAAACAGAGGGCACTATGGAACTATAATAGGTATGAAGTTGTTAGGGGTGTATGGAAAAGAGTCATTGTGCCAGGACTAGTCTTGTGCGAATAGTGGATTTTGAGTTCGAAGCGAATTCGAAGCGAATGGTGATTTTGGCTGAATATTTTCGAATTGAATATTGAATAGTTTTTCCACGCCTTCCATTACCATAATATAATGCTTAGACAGAACCCCAGCGAAACTTGTGAAGGTTGTTCCACCTGTTCATTTATAAGCCAAGTTTAATCTATATTTATGAACTGTGACCTCAGAAGGTCTGATGTCTTGGGATGGTAAGTAAACAACAAGCTTGACATAAAATCAATCCAATGGAAATGGCAAACTATACGCAATTGAGTGAATTTACACATCTTAAATATTTCTTCTTTCATTTCGAGTTCAAAAAGAATGACACCCGCATGATGCACGCAGGTTGTAAGGGCATCTCTGCCCAACATACTCTTGCAAAACAGTCAGTTTAATTTTAAAACTTCTACTACAATGTAGATACTGTAAAACCCTTAATGTTCGCGAGCCCTTAATTTTCGCGAATATCCCGAATTGAAAAATCCACGAAACTTAAAGGCACGCGAAAATTTCAGTCTTCAAGAATTTCAATGCAGGTCTCTGGTATTCACAATCTTTAGTGGCTGCGATATGTCCCCTGTAACCGATTCGCGAAAAATAGGGGCCCCGAAAATAAAATGTTTTGTTTTACAATATACACATCCACAAAGTTTCCATTTTTTTTTATATACAGCCGGCACGCGTGCACCATCCCGCTTTGAATGTATGGTTTTCATCCAAGCACGCAACTGCTTATATTCATACTTTCCTAATGTTTATCGCGGCGGGTTACTCCGTTGAGTGCGCTTCTTACCGAGCACCGATGTAATGCGGAGAAGCAACACCCGCGGAGCTTGCTTCCGCGGCTATTGCTTCTCCGCAGCGCACCGCTGTTCAGAAAGAAGCGCACTCAACGGGGCTAACCCACCGCAATCAACACTTCGAAAAAGGCGAATAGTGGAGTTCTTCTCGAAGCGAATATCGAATAGTGTATTATTCGGAACTACTATTCGAAATTCCAAATATTCGCACAACCCTAGCCAGGACTGTCATTTGGGCATGCACTATTGTGTATGAGGTCAGCAATCCAGGCAGGTTTAGAGATACAGCAAAGGAGTGTGGGTAAATTGGCATTGGGGCACATGGAAATACACCAAATTAAGGGAGCACAGGGGGATATCGGTTGGGCATCTTTCGATTGTAGAAAAGCGATTAATAAAGTAAAATTTTAACAAAGACTGGCTGAAATTGAGGATACACGGTGGGCAGCGAAAGTGTAAGAGTGTATATATATGAAAAGTCTAAACACTAAGCGGACAAGCCGAACCCGCAAGCTGAGATCTAAATAAATTCAACGAGATGGGACCAATCGGAGCATATTAGTAGAAAACGGAGTAAAGGAAATAGAGAGGAAATTGTGGGGCGAGAGAATGCAAGGAAAATCAGCTTCAAAAAATATACAGGGCACAAAAACAAGAAATAAAGAAGGAACAGTTCTATGATAATTCATTGGGGAGTTCATTGCTGTTTGAAGCTAGAACAGGGGTGCTAAGAACGAAAACATATAAAACTAAATACCAAGAAATACACTACATGCGACATATGCAACTGCGAATGGGAAATTATAGAACATGTAATTTTAAGGTGCACGGGACTTAGTCTTACCCTCTTGGGGGGAATGACTACGGATTTTATGAGGGCACTGGATTTTGCAGATATGGATGGATGAATGGATAGGGAAAGAGTTGCGGTAAACAAGGGGAGATTGGAAAATTGATGGAAAAGATCTAGGGAGGGGTAAAAATACAGATAAAAATAAGCGATGGAAACGCTTTAAAAGGGGGGGGGGGTTGTGTTAAAACAAATTTTATACAAATTTTAAAATAAAAGGGATGACGAAATGGGAGGCTAAGTGGCGCTAGCTGCCGCCCGTTACAAAGGGTATAGCCATTACCACCCATCCATCCATGACATCAGTGCATCCGATGGGCGGTGCACGTCCGGGGCTGGGCAATTCCTTGACCCCAGCTTCGTTAGGTGTGCGCACTGCTCGCTTTCACGGTTGATCACTTCCTCAACTACGCACTTGCAGCCATTGCGAGAGTGGCTTGGCTTGGCTTGACTTGACTTGACCTGACTTGGCTTGGCCTGGCCGCTTGGTGGCAAAAAACAAAAATTGACTTGGTGTGCTTGGTAGTTAGCTAAGAACTTTGGACGCAGTTCGAGACTTCCGGAGCCGAAAATCGGAGGAGCGTTTATTACGTGAGAGAAAACAATGTTCAAATATTGATGCCCGTTGTTGGGGGTGCGTTCGTTATGCAAATAAATACGCCTTTTCTTTCTCTACATGCATCACTTGAGAGTGACAATTTACATGAAATCAATTGGTTTTTGCCTAGAAAATTTGTAATGCCGGTCATTTTTGCTTCCCGGGGCCGCAGAATTGCTTCATTAAACAGATATAGTATTTGTGAAATAGAGATTTGTTGTAGTAGTCCGAAAAATTTACTGAACAAATAGGTGATTGACTGGGACATTATTTTACTTCGTTAAATGGGCGTTTTCATAGTATACAGGCGTTCGTTATAAAGGTTTTCGACTGTATGATTAACTTTGGTTTAACGAAGTTTGTTATGTCGCATTCTTGCTCTATTTTTAGGAAAGGAGGGAACAAAGAAGCTTCTGTTAAAACAGGTTTGAATGCTTATTTCCGTACAGTAGTACTGGCCTCATTAACTTCAAGCAGGGTGTTGGTACCTCTTGCACCTGCTTCGCTCAAAGAAATCCTGGAAACTGGAGAGGAGCTGAAAGGCCTCTCGCCCCACTGCAGGTTCTTCCACAACTCTGTGAACATCTTCTGCGAGTTCATCCCGCAGCTCATATTCCTGTGTGCCATCTTCGGGTACCTGGTGGTGATCATCTTTGCCAAGTGGACCATCAACTTCGGCAAGGGCACCTTCTGCGCCCCGAGCCTGCTCATCACCCTCATCAACATGTTCCTGTTCTCGTACCCCAAGGAGCCCTGCTACCAGGCTCAGTTCTACAGCGGACAGGTGCGGAGCTGCCCTTCTTTCCAAAAAATGGTTCAAAATCCGAGATCATTAACAATTAAAGGTTTACTCCGGCTAGCACATACGTCAACAAAAGTATGGACATTACCGTAATATCCAGAGGAATGCCCCACCCCCGAAAGATGGTAACCTAATCCTACTTTTGACATGATTTGCCTTTCTTTTTTATGCAGAAAGGTAGACTACTTCTGGTAATTGCAGTACCTTGGCCAATGATGACATCGGCAAAAACAGTGTTGCTTAACCGCAACGTGAGATAAGCGAACATTACTGACTGGGAAGGACGGTCGTCTTTGCGGCATCTCTCTGGATACTGTGGTAATGTTTCCAAAACAAGCTCTTGGGAAAACGTCTTTTTCTGCGCTAGAAGACAAGCTGCTGCTGAGGTAGTGCAGGCATTGGCGGGTGTAGCAGGCTGCCAATCATGGCAGACAACACTTTCGCCCTAGCGCCGAGCTGCAGCCGGCTGCCTGGTATGTGACGTCGCGATTTGTACGATGCAGTCTGAGTATGTACGTGACGACACAGGAGCAATGTTGCTCGCCACAAGCAAAGTTTCGGTTTGTGATAAACTTTAAATGAAGATTTCGCAATTGAATATTACACCTTTTCGGAAAGAAATTACGTATAACCGTTTATTATTACCTCGGGATGTATAATAAAGCATGAACTCAAGCTCCTCGGATCTGACCAAAGGTGCCCTTCTTTCTCGGAGTAAACAAAACAACTTGTGACACTAGATGAGCCATCAAAAACTCTTATGATGATACAGGGGGTTTTTACCCATGGGAAGGAGGAAGATAATCCAGTTTATGAAGTGATCATGGGCTTATCAACATATTGAAATCTAGGTTTGAAACAGGTCTAATTAGAATAAGGGCGTATTTCGACCAAGGATTTGCAAGAGGAGTCTCACTTTTGTGTCTGCTAGTCTTTTTTTTGTTTTGTTTTCTTTTTATGTCCTTATGTTTTCTCTAGCAAATAGTCAAAAGGGAATGTGTCTCAAGACTCAGGTAGCCAAGTGCAGGATATGTGTAGTATAAAAAAGCAATCTCATCGCTCACCTTGGCAGTGGTTATATTATTATGGCTGGGCTGCATACTTTTAGCAAGCTGGATTTTGAGTTTTCACTTTTAGTAAGACGAATCGACAGACATATTTCTGTAAAGTCCCGAATAAAACTTCACCAGTTCTTGTAGGTACAAAAGAGACTTACCGTATTTTCCGGGCTATAGTCCGCGGACTATACATGTTTAAAAGTTGAAATTTCTGGCTGTGCGGACTATCTACGCGTGCAAACTATACAGGAATTACGTTTTTCAATATCGTTGATTATGACGAGACGGGAAGGATTTTGTGAATAAAAGAGTATGTTATTGATAATTTATGTATATTATAGGCTTTTTTTGTGAGCTAAGAAAACATACATATGTCAAGGTGTGCCGCATATGAGAGGAATTGCGTGTCGACTAAGCACCAGGTGCGGACTATGCACTGGGTGCGGACTATGCAGCGGGTGCGGACTATCTAAGCAAATACTTTCATTTTTGACCCCAAATTTGCCTCTGCGGACTATACACTGGGTGCGGACTATAGTCTGGAAAATACGGTAAATATTTCTTTGAAGAGAGATTGCAAAAGCCCTCTTTGCCAAATAGACACTCAGTTATAATAATTCAACGCCTCAAAATGCCCACTAGTCATTGTCACGCTCAAAGCAAATGCTAAGTAGTTTGCTATTCAAAACACTCAGAAAAAAAAGTTGATTACTCAGTTTATTAATGCAAAGGTAAATAAGAATGGAAGGAAAAATAAAAGTATAGGAAACGGTCACTATTGAAGAACCTAAATTGCTTACTACCCCGTCCTCATCCATTAACTCTTTTTGTCTAGCTCGGAGAGGCTGAAACTTTCTGATCTTGAGGAATGTTAATCAGTCTCGAATGATAAACAAACAACTCCTCCCAGTCTCATCACTGATGCACTGGCGGTTCCCACCCACCAATATGTCGGGGACCCCTCTTAGATCGCATTGCGCATTCTCCGTTTTCTGACTTTATCCCCGGGGCTTTGTTTTGCTTGGCCCGCTCGCAGCAAGGGCTCCAGTGTTTCCTGGTGGTGCTGGCAGTCATCTGCATCCCCTGGATCCTGCTAGCCAAGCCGCTGCTGCTCCGCCACCGCCACCTCAAGAGCGGCCGGGGCCGCAGCGCCACGGGCGCCAGCAATGCGGGCGGCATCGCTTCTTCTGGGGCGGCGGCGCTCAAGGATGCGGAGGACGGGGCCGCCAACTCTGTGCCCGTGGCGGAGGTGGTGAAGCCGGCCGGAGGCCATGGGGGCCACGACGGGGGAGACGGGGAGTTCGACTTTGGGGACACCTTCATCAACCAGACGATCCACACCATTGAGTACTGCCTGGGCTCCGTGTCCCACACGGCATCTTACCTGCGGCTCTGGGCCCTCAGCCTGGCACACGCACGTGAGTGCACAGTCTGCTGACGGCACCTCGCAGTCTCGCATCGTCTGACGCGGTTTCCTACGCAATTGGGTCTGGACGTAACGCCCGGAATGGGTGCGAGCGGTTACACCTACGGGGTGCAGCCATAAGGTCGAACACATTTGCATTTGGCACGACTTGAAAAATTCCAATTCTGAACGTGCGTAGTACCTGAAATCGGGCACGCGAACATAGCTTCGTGAGAAGTTTTATGTCTACTCTTTTTATAGCTCAATCGGAGGTGGTCAGATATTAGAAATAGATCAACAACGGCGGCCGCGCATTTCCTGTGCCCTATTCTGGTTGTTTATCGGGTTTGTGAGCTTGCTCTCAAATGGTTCATATATTTTGTTAAAAGTATTAATTGCAATTATTGCGCTCATCGCCAGCCTCTTCTATTGGTTCTTGGCATTTTGGTGTCCAAGAAGCCACCCGGGAGCGAGCTAATAAACCAGCGTGCAGATGACAAACAGGCTTTTATAGGACCTATGAAATACATGGCCTCCAATTTCGCTTTATTATTATTTTATTACTTTGAGTTTGAGCTCTAAAAAAATAGACATAGAGCTTCTTGTGGAACTATGGTGGCATGCCCAATTTCGGGTACATGTATGTTTGGAATTCGAGTTTTGCAAGGCAAACCCTACGACCGCACCCTGTAGACGCAATGTCCAGTATGGACTCTCAGTTAGGCCTATGTGCAACATTGAGTATTTGCAACTTTCACTGCCTTCAGACCAACACGCAGCCCTGACGTCACGCAGCTGCTGTGGCGCTGTCGACGGCACTGCGCATGCGCAGATGTTTCACGCGAATTCGGTTTCTGTGCACGTGCAGTGCCCACACCTGGCGTGGGCAAACGTGGGCTTGTTTGTAAACAGCGTGTCGGTCTATAGGGGGTGCACTAATTCTTATCAAAATAGGTGTTATTTGGATGATCACCGTTAAACAGCAGTATATATATGGTACGAGCAATATCAGATCCTTACCTCGTACTTCCATGACAGGAAGGTGTAAGCACCTTCACTCTGAGGCCGATCATTCAGGAGCTAGGGAGCACGATTCTCGCACCGCGGTTTCACTATCGCCGAAAGTTGTGAACAGACGTTGGGTTGGGCCTGTAGATATAACATCTGGTATGACTATCCATGGTTAGGCCTAGGTGCACAGTCCGGCTTAGTTGTAATGTCCACCCAATGTTTGTCCGCAGTTAGGCCTAAGTGTAATAATAAATAATACGGCCAGAAGTTGGTCAGCCTTAATGACCGTCTGCTGTCTCAGCTGTACAAGAGAAATTTATCTAGTGCTGTACAGCCGCTAGCCTAAGGTCTTTAATGTGCACCACGCAGTAGCGATACACGACCGCATGCCAGTACAATTCTCGTTCAGATCGAAACAGGCAGGGGTGGGAATTCAACCCAGGATCCCTCGGTTCTGAAGCGTGAACTTTCACTCCATGTGCTCTGAGCTGGTGTGTGCTAGCCTGCTCGGACACAAATCCCCTGCCCAGGTGTAATGTCCACCACAGTTGTGCTCGGTTAACGGGGCGATGCAACAATTTTAGTACTTTGCGCATATACCGCTTAGAACGGATCCCTGACGTTAATGACCTATGAAACACTCGTTCGTTTTTCACCCCACACAATAAAAGTCCCAGAAAAAAAAATGAAAGTGAAACGAGCAACGTTCGCCCCCTGAACTCGCAGCCAGAACAAGCGGCCATGTGATCTGGAGTCTATTATAGCCGCCAACGTTGATCATAGCCACGCGCTGGGATTGGCAAAGCACATTACACGATTGGACACTGGCCACTACCCAAATGCTTCTCGGGCTAGTAATTATCACGAGCCCAAATCGAGTGCCCACGCAATGTGCGGGTCCAATCTATGAACTGCATTAAAATATCGTCATTGGGGTGTACTGCGATCCCCACGTTACGTTATCGAATTTCGCGAAGGAAAGATTGAATGAAAATGATCACTTTTGTCCTTGAAATTACACCGCAACAAAGGAGTTTCTTTGCCAGTGGCATCACGTGCGACTATCCTTGAGTCCCACTAGTGCCAGTAAGCTCGTGTAAATTTTTCATTCCAATGGAATATCGTTGCACCGCCCCTTTAAGCCTATGTGTAACATCCAGCTCAGTTGCACACAGTGGAGCCTAGACGTAATGTCCAGCTGGCAATTGCTTATGGTCAGGATGCAATGTTCCTCTATCTAATCAAAATCTTGCAAGAAAATGGTTTCATATATTGTGCCTAATTTCACGGCCTGGGATCTGCCATGGTAAGCATACTTTTTACTTTTTGTTGCTAAAGGGTGCAATGCAGTATCAGTCTGGTCCCAAACACCATCTGTTTTCGAACACCGTCCCTTGTTCCCAAATGACGTCTGTCGGTTCCCCGTGCAGAGCTGTCCGAAGTGCTGTGGAACATGGTGCTGCGTTTTGGCCTGCAAATGGACAGCCTGGCCGGGGGCCTGTTCCTCTACCTGACCTTTGCCGCCTGGGCCTGCCTCACTGTGGCCGTCCTGCTGGTCATGGAGGGACTCTCGGCCTTCCTCCACGCCCTCCGTCTGCACTGGTGAGTGTGTTGCACTCTCCAGATGGGACCGCCAAGCGATTTCGTGGTTGTGGCACGCGGCGGTATCTCGGACGACGACGACCCGGTCGTCCGAGATCATCATTCCAGTACATCATTCCAGTAGTGGGACGACGACGACCCACTACTGGAAATGGCATCCGTTGTTGATGTAGTTGTCAATGCTGTAGTAGTTGTTGATGTTGCAGTTGGCAATGTAGGGCTTCTGTCGTCGATGTTGCCCAATCTTTGAAAAAATGACCGCATTTCCACGTGGTGAATGATGTTGATGGGGGCGAAGCTCTGGTGGTGCTTGTCTGCGCAGACGCCGAGCCGCAGCATGCCGAGCCTTTCGTTCGTTTTCATCCATGTCGGAAAGAGAATGTGTGGTATAGAACATGGTTATATACGCATTTGAGCATTTGACCGCAGTGCCCTCTCGTCTATAAACGTTGAGCGGCATGCAAAGTTTAACGCGATTATATACGCATTTGACCGCAACACCCTCTCCTGTATAGACGTTAAGCGGCTACATGGAATGTTTCATCCATGACATCCCCAGCCCTTGAGTTACTACCACATCTCAGAGCCCCCTATTGGTCCCACAGTCGTGGTCGAGTGGTTAAAGCGATGGACTAAAAATCCATTGGGGTCTCCCCGCACAGGTTCGAATCCTGTCGACTGCGCAAACATTTTTTAGAGCGCCGCTCTTAGGTGCCCGTTTCCAGCTTGAGCGGCGTCGCCGTTGGCGTCGGCATAACCACGCGTTGCATGCAACCTCAGTACCCTTCCCTCCTCCTCCTCAAGAGCTGCGCTCCGATTCGGCGTTACAGGAAGTTGTAAACGGCTTTCACTTTTTTTTTTTTTTTTTCATCTTTTTTTTTTTTTTTTTTTTTGCTTTACATGAGCACGAGCTTGAGCACCAGCAAGATTGATGTGAGCACGGACGCCGGACAAGGCTAGACCCTAAGAAGCTGCGCCCCTAAAAGATTGCCCGCCACCTGTGGGAATCGAACCTGGGGTCGTTGCGTGTGAAGTGGGGGCGTTTCCACTGAGCTACGCCACAACGTTAAGAACCAGCTCTATACTTGGGGTTTTTGTACAGTTGAACCTCGATTTAGCGAAGTCACCGGGACCCCCTAATTATTTCGTTAAATCGGGAACTTCGTAAAGTCGAGAAAGACATTCTTCGGGATAGGCTGCGCGGGGAATCCGAATTTGTTCGTTAAATCAGGAAACTCGTAAAATCGGGTTTCGTTAAATTGAGGTTCAACTGTAGTACCCGATGCTCGCCGGACACACTCTCTGAAAGAAAAAAATGGCCGACACCAAAAATTGTATGTAGCACTGTCATGAAGAGCTTGTGCCGGAAGATGTGCTTTCACACACTTTGGAACAAAAAAAAAAAAAAAAAAAAAAAAAGAAATGAAAAGCATTTAGAACAAAATGGTCAGATGTCAGTGGACCTTTTCCAGAGATCGTTGGGTGCATGCACACCGACTCTGAGAGAGGGGAGGAAAGGGAAAGGCACCATTTTTTGGGGCCTGTCTCGTCTGCTCAGTTGCTCGGACAGTGCTGGTTCGGCTTTACACTTTCTGCTTTTTTCACAGCTTAGCTTTATAGTTGTCATACCTCACCACTGCACAGCTGTTTAGTTGCACAAATAGTAACAAAAATGGTTCAAATGCAAGATTTTGTAGGGCTCTAGCAGCCTTTTGCGAGTAATGCACGAAAGCACCCGATGTCAAACACCACGCCCTTTTGCCCCGCTTTCAAAAGCCCCTGTTTCAGAAAGTACTCAACACGACGCTGGGATGTTCAAGACAGTAATTCTGCTAGTGAGCTTGTGTGACGTAGTCATGCCGTGCCCAGTACTCAAGAATAACTGAATAAAGCTTTCTATTATTCAGGCGTGCGCTATACACATTCACGTCTTGAAATGTTAAAAGTTAAAACTTAAAAGAAAATATTGGTCACTGGCATAACAATTAAAACGTGCAAAATGGATTCAAGCCTTACGGCGACAGAACCGACGGAACCCCTTGGCAACCAACCAGGAACTCTCCTGTTTGCAGTTCCCACTTTGTTGAAGGTTCATAAACTTGCCGAATTCAAAGAGATGTTTCTAACATACCGACGGTACAGGCAAGCCTTTGCGATATCAAGACTGTCCGGATTTCATCACGTCCGAGTTTGTTTACATGGCCCCAAGTACGGTGACGTTTTGTGCGCTCGCGGGGTACTACAGGACGGCGAAGTAACTGAACACAAAGCTGTTGTCTCGCAATAAGCTTAAAAAAATTGCAGGAGAATCCTCGGGACTGTTTACGTGTAAAAAGGCGAAAGCGTTATAGTCACACGGGAGAAATGTTTTCAAGTGATGTTTCTACACATTAAAGTTTAAGACAATGTCCTGGAGTTCGACGCCAAGTACAGCATCTAGGATGACGTCAAGAACGACTTCTAGGACAACCCCTAGGACGACATCGAACGATGCCTAGAGGACGATGTCTAGAGGAGGACATTTGAGGAGGCTGTGGCGTATTTGCATGGGCGGCCACATTTGCCTGCGGAAGCCGCCTTAGATGTAGACTCTGCTGTCGATGTCGATTACATCAATGAGGTCTAGGACGACACCAAAGACAGCCTCGTCCTTGAGCATACGATTGACCGGCGCATGCCGCTCAATCATATTTTTATGGCTATATATACGCCGCTTTTTTGCTCAATGGGATAAGTAAAACTTTCGCCTTAATTGAAGTCCCGTTGAGGTTGCACCTGACGTGTATGTGTAAGTAATGATGGGGAGAGGGAGAGCAGTGCCTCTGCTGTAGAGGGTTTTGTGTTCGTACATGAGCATTTTTGCCAGGAAGCGTCACTAACAGCTATTGCCGTAAAACGCCGGGGTACTACGGTATTTCTAAAAGGCTAGCGTCGCTTCTGCAGTACTCGAATACTGTCAGCGCTACTTGCACGTGCACGAGACTATATTTGGACAAAATATTTTTGCAGTAGAGCGCGTGCAAATGAGACAAGATGACTCTACGCTTTCTGGCGGCCTTGCAGTGCTGCAGCACAGCCGGAGCTAGCCAGCCTTGACGACGTAGCTCAAAATAGTTGATGCCCAGTATAGTGGTTTGTTTGATCGAGGGTGTTTAAGGCATCGATGTACTTCTAGGGTCCTTTGTTGGGTTGGGCTTAATTGGACGTCTTCTTTTTTTTTTTTTTGTTATTCCATCCAACCAGGCTAATCTCATTTGAATGTTTGCATTCAAGTCCTAAGGTCCATCATTGGCAAAACCAGATTCCTAGAAATCTTGCTTTAAAACTCCATGGTCTAGCTCAGTGGTTGGGTCCCTGAAGGCCTTCTTGGGGTCCCTGAAGCGTTAGATCGTCGGTCAAATTGGAGAACTAAAACATTTTTTTCATTGATGAGTTAGTAGGGTTGATTATTCTGTTTCAAGGCTGCAAAGTTGGTTTGCACACATTTAGTTTCTTTTATTTACCCTTGCGTCCTTGCAGTCGTTGAATACCGCCCCCGCCCCCCGCCAGATCCCCCATCGCTTCCCCCGATCCAGAGGGGCCGCCTAAACATTTGGGGTTGAGATCTACCGGTCTAGCTTTTAATCCGACCTCTCCCATCTTGCTCTCGCCCAGGGTGGAGTTTCAAAGCAAGTTCTACAAGGGGGAAGGCTACATGTTCCTGCCCTTTGCCTTTGACGTCATCCTGGAGACCTCCGGTGCCGAAGACTGATGCCCCTCTGCCCTCCAGGTCATCTGCGAGTTAGCAAGTCACGCTTTTCGACGGTGTTCTCCCCAGGTAGATAAGGTGATGTGCGCATTAACATTTAATTTAGCCAAGCTCTCTACACGGTCTGTTCAGATCTGTGTGTTGAGTAATGAAACTGCTGTAGGCTTTTAGCAGCATTGCTGTCTTACCCAAATGATGTTATCCAAGAATGTGTTCGTGGAATAAAGCATTCCAAAGTGAGAAGGGAACGTCTGATTTTCTTGGCTCTGTGTTAAGTAGGGATCAATTTCTTTTAGATTTTGAGGGAGTTTTTAGGATACTTTTTTTTCTCCATTTTCTTGAAATTTGGGATTATCCACATAATTTTGTTACATTAACACAGAATGTGTTCCAAGAGCTGGGAATCCCCAAGGAAAGTGTAACAGAATGTAATGGAAACCGTTATGAAATGGGGGACGCTCTTCAGAGGACAACCTGTACAAAAGAGTGGTAAATTGAGAAGAATTAAATTTTATATACATCCCAACTGGAATCGACCCTATGGTTTTGAGCTCGGTGAGCTCGACGTTCTACCATTGCACCAATTGGTGCATAAATGCAAAGGTAGCTAGCTGTCTTTGTCTCCACCGTGGTGGTCACTAACTGTTCAAATGCCAGCACTCCGCATTGTTAGTTTATGGGAAGGAACAAAAAAGCAAACGTGCCCACCATCACATGCAAAAAGGAAAGAGTTTAGAATAAAATAGCATGCTAGTATAACAAAGAAAAAAACTGCAATATCCATCACAAATCTGAATGTTTCCGGAACAAATCCTGTCTTTTACGCGAATCATGGAATTTTGAGAACTTTTTTAACATTCATAAAAATAAATATTTGCGCAAACTCGTCACAAGATATGAGCCGCTTTATTTTTTAAACTTGCTAGAAATCTACGAAATCGTAGCTTCTACTTGCATAAAAAAAAAAACTGCATACTTCCTTTTGCAAGTTCTGTTAATATCACGGTTTTAGCTAGGGGCGTCACTACCTTTTGTCAAACCGGATTTTTAGGTTGAACTTCCCGGGTTCGACTGGGTGGAACTGGTTCGACGAACCTTCAAACTTTTCAACAGATTCAACCGGTTCGACTTTGTGGACGATTTGGCCAGACCTTGGTACAAGCATGTTTAAGTTTGGAGAATATTTTTTTTAGAGCGCAGCTCTTGGGCGCCCGTTTCCGGCTTGAGCGCCGTCGCCTTCGGCGTAACCACGCGTAACCCTCGTAACCCTCGTGAGGGTTACGAGGATTACTCTCACGAGGGTTACGGGGTTACTCTCGCGAGGGTTACGAAGGTAACCCTCGTGATCCTCGTGAGGGTAGCAACCCTCGTAATCCTCGCGAGGGTTACGAGAGTTTCCCTCACGAGGGTTACCTTCACGATGGTCACGAGGGTTATGAGAGTTAACCTCACGAGGGTTACCCTCACGAGGGTCATGTGACCCCCTGATGTCACGTGACCCCCCCGCCGAGGTCACGTGACCTCAGGGAGTCACCTATCCCTCAGTTCCCTACCATCTAAAGTCCCTAGATAAGACCTTCCTACAAGTAGCGACATTCTTTGAAGCGCCGACTGCGTGACGGTGCAGGTTTTAGGAAGCGAATGGCGGCGCACAGCAGAGGTTTGAACTGAATGCCGCCATTCGCTTCCAGTGGAATCTGCTTTGTCATTTGTATGGGTTGTCGTTACTTGTATAAGAAGTATCAAGGGACTTTACTACCATCCTATCTCTCAGTACCCTTACATCCTTCTCCTCAAGAGCTGCGCTCTAATCCGGCGTTACAGGGAGTTGTAAACGGCTTTCATTTTTTATGCAAAGAACTATTTTAATTTTATAAACAGTTGCAATTAAAAGAAACTAATCCTAATCACTGAAGAAGATAACTTAATTGTTTTGTATTAATTGAAATAACCAATCGGAGCTGCCCTTAATTCATCCCTTAGCCATCACTATCTAATCTATCAAGATTTGGTTGTGGGAGCAAGACGCAATGCTTTTGGCACTTGAAACGTATACGTCTTGGTAAGGTTACATATATCTAATCTAAAATGCACCTACATACGTATTAATTCCCCTCATAAAAGGGAAAAGTAGTAATGCTCCGTGAGGAGCCAAACTTTTTTTACTGCGTTTCTTGAGGTGAAAACGGGTATAGGCACTTTGCAGCAGCATGAAGCATGCAATCATAGTTCACACTTGGGCACCAGTGTAATGTAACATCACAGGCAGAGCATATGTCCATAAGGTCAGGTATGACCAAAGTATATTTTGTTTGTGTGTCATTCCCTGGAGCTTAGAAAGGGGACTAGCTGGCCTGATGCTGTACTGAAATCAGTGTGAGATATTCTGGGCTTTTTGTGCGTGTGTCACGAGACAAAAAATTGGAGCGAGCAAGCAATGTGGGACGTCGTAAAAAAAAGACAACCTAGTGTGTACAGGATATAGTACAAGAAAAGTTAAAATTTCTTGGACATGCAGCACCTGAAAGTGAAACATATTATCTTATTCACTGAAAGTTGTGGAAAAAGTGTAATTTGCATCAAATTTTAGTGATAAAGCCTCTCAAACTGACGGAAAGATTTTTTAGCATAATACCCTTCGAGCAATATACAGGCAGAAACTGAGGTAGAGGAGGAAATGAGAGTGTGCGGGAAAGTCAGAGGACTGAGCTCATACTTAATAATGAAGATTCGCAGTCAATTAAGCATTCACTGTGAATTATAGATTTAAATGCTTTTGATAATATTCAACATTTAATAAGAAATGCATGAATACTTCTAATTAAATCGCAACTGGAAGTATTTTTCACCAAGCATAACCATCAAAAGAAACAAATTTATTGAATGAGAAACATTTCACATACTTTTGTTTAATAAAGAAAGTCTCTAAAAACCAGTCGGGTAAAACAATATAGCATGGCATGCAAACTACCCTATTCATACGTTTTAATATATGCTGAAGATCTTTCTCTGCCACAGTCCTTTAATAAAGGCCGACCTATCATTATACAGAAGGCTGACCTACAATAGTGAACAAATTTCAGAGCCCATCGAACCGAACGAGACGATTCATGGCATCAGCCGTTTCTCGGAGCGTGTCGGTGCAAAGTAGTGAAGCTTAATGCCGCAGCGTTGGTGTGGTGTGGTGAAACTTTGCGTGAGGAATTGGGGGGATTTTACAGTCGCATTATTCGCGATTTTCAATTTCTACTCTAAAAAACTAGAATACTGCAAACAGAAAGGGTGTGTTGCAAATGGAATGGACCAGCAAACCCTATTTGCAAATTATTTTAAGTTTCAAATATTTGCACATACCCCAGCAAAAGTTTCTGAACATTTGCAGATTTTTACATTTTTAAACTTGAAGAGTGGGGAAAAAGGACAGGACAACACGAATTTGGGAGACTTGTGTTGTCCTGTCCTTTTGTTTCCCCACTCTCCAGAGTTAAAAATGTCAGTTCTTAAACAGCTCGCCTGCACACTTGCATTACTTCATTGTGGATGCCTAGTTCACACACCAATTTGTAGGTACAACTTTTATTAAGGCAGTAACTTTTATCTTACACAATTGCTTCAACTGCTCATAGCAGACTAAACTGTAATTGTAAAAAATGGAAGATAGGGTCTAGCGGGGGCAAGCCATATTGGTCAGAGGCAACATACTAGGGACGCTGCAGAAAAGATTGGGGAAGTGGGAAGACTTAATTATTTTGCTGCCAAGAGAGCTTGTCGAAAAGCCTGCTAGGCTTTTCATGTACTAGTGCACTCAATCTGTCATTGACAAATAATCTATTCAAACTTCATACAGCTTTTTGGCTGAATGGGTTGTGTGCTTACTAGGGTGACAAACGGCTGAGGGGGAACGGTAACCATAATTGCTGTTTTCCTTTTTTGAACCTCATAAATATATGTGGAGCCCATCAATAAATGGTCCCAGGCAAAATCTTTGCCAACAAACATGGCAGAGGCTTTTAAATGTTGCCACTGTATATTGGATCTTAACTTATCGTTAGATATCTAGAGCATTCCCAAAAAATGCATGCTTTTGCTAGATCTACTCAAGAAATAACCAAACTCCTTAGAAACTTACTGAAGGAATACGCTAGAGTAGTCTAAAGCTTTCAACCTGGCCAACAGTTTTTTTTCTTGTACTTAAGAAAGGGTTGCACTGCATGTATAAAAATATTTTTGAGCAAGTCTTACAAAGATAATGCAAACTTTTTAATGCAACAAAGACTCGCAAACAAAAGCAAAAGGCAGTGCGTGCCAAAACTAGAAGAAATGTTTGTGCTGTCGGGGACGTTAAAAATATGCCCTTTTCTTCAAATGCAATTTCCAAGGTTTACTCTTAGCTCTTCGGTGGAAATTTGATTTGGAGCTTTTTCCAGATACCCAAAAATGAAATTACTGGTTTTTAGATGAGACTAACAAAGGGTATACCGTATTTACTTGAGTAATAGCCGCACTATTTATGAACAAGGCCCTTCCGTCTGCTTTCCCGCAGAACACATACAGCCAATCATTGCGTTGCGCATACCGTAAATAACATTGTGAATAACTAGATCGAGAACATGATTCTCCATACAAATGCAATCTTCACAGATGGTATCTTCACGCGAAGACGTTATCTCTGTCCTGCAAACCACTGGAATCATGCTGCCGATCGCGGTGATTGGCAAGCCGCACGCTCCACGGAAAAGCAAACCCTCAGGTTTTCTTTATAGACAGTGCGGCTATTATTCGAGTAAATACGGTATGGCATGTCCCAGCAAAGGACTGAAGATAAAGTCCTTTGCTTGAGGACTTGTCCTCGGCACCACCTGGGGATCCCATAACATGCATCTGATATTTCAAGCCATGCGATGCCTCCTCTGCAAAAAGCCTATGCTGGAAGCATCTTGGCCGGATCCTAAAAGGGAGGATCTGTAGCCCAGCACCTTGCCTTGAGGTCCACGAGGCAGCTTGATCCTAACTTGGGGCTAAATTGGCCTTTTGGGAATCAGTCATCTCCTGGTTAAACATCAGTTGTGCCGTTTGCTGTCTTTCAGCTCACCAGAGTTGTCAGCTGCGAACCAAAAACACCTCACTACAAAAGAATGGGCCTTTATTACACGTGTATTGTGACACCCGGCAAATGGACCTCCGAAACTCTTATCCCAAAAGTAATTTCTTTAAAAGCAGCCCAGCTGGGTCTCTATCAGGCCAGAAACAAATTAAAGGTATTGCATGTGTTTTTCGTCACCAATAGCTCCATCGGAGTGCCTTTTGACACCAATATGAAAAATAGCATTCTATGACAACACCGGTAGCAACAAAAGTTGAGGTGACAAATCATCTGGCTACACTACACCACCCAGGCCAGACAGTCTGCAGACTGCACCAAACAATGTGAACAAAACTGTGGTCCCCATCCGGCTTAGTTACACTCATCAAGCACTGTTGCTTTCACTCGAACACTCCATAGTCCAGATGAGGGGCACATCTGTTTCCACGGTGACGGTGTCTAGTCCATCAAACATATTGGAGGTGCTGATCAGGCCACCGAAGTTCATTGCAGACTTGTCTATTAAAAAATAAAATAGTATTAGTTTCGTATTGAGTGACCCAACCCTCTAACTATTGGCAAGAACCCACTGCAGTGGCCAAAAACGCGATATGCTGCCTAAATAAGGCAGTACTAACCGAGGTTCCACTTGAGTCCAGTCGTAGTCACGCTTTGACTGGGTTGACCCAGAGGCACGAGACCACACCAAGAGCCCACCAGGTGGAGCGGCGTACGCACGCGATGCCGGCCCTGGAACAGTTGCAGATTATTCTCCCCCAAAAGAAAAAGGGGATCGGTGGTCAAGCAACGCAATTCGGAGTATGTGAGGCCAAAGCTTGCGCCGCAAAAGTCTGGTATCCCGGGTGCAGTCCCCCATTTCTGCTCGTTTTGATCTGGATGAGCATCGTGCCAGCGTGCGGTCTTGTCTCACTATTGTGTGATGCAGGTTAAAGACCCCAGGCTAGCAGCAGTACTGTGCTTATGGGTGTACCAACCGGGGGGCAAGGGGGGCACTTGCCCCCTCCAGTTCTCAGAGTGGCGAGGCAAGGCATGCATGTGTTTTGTCTCCCCTGAAAAAGCCACCACTGGGCAGGGCAAACACTGGCCGGCAGCGCCCAAGGGATATCAAGGGCACCGCCCCCAGCCCTGAGGGGGGGGGGGTTGCGTCTGGTTTGCCCTCCCCCCCCCCCCCCCCCCACTTCAAAAACAAGCTGGTACGCCACTGACTGTGCTGGCTAAATTTCTTTTTTACAGCAAAGACACCAGACGCCAATTGACGCTGATTATCTTCACACCATCTAAACTTACACACAACACAATTGGAAGAAAAAAAACAATGAGCAAGGGTAGAGCTGGCAAGGACTTGAAAGCGACCCCCTGGAAGCCTCAAAGTACGGCAGCCCAAATTCCGCTAGGACATTTCCTTTAACAAAACGACAGATGCCACTTTGCGAGAAGTACCTTTCGAGTCTTTGTGAAAGGTGTGCTCAAACGGATGGAATGTTGCGAATGTTTTTGCACTCCATTTGAACAGTCGTCATCCGTTCCAAACTGGGCAAGTGTAAACGTCATGGGTGTTTTGTGCAAGTTCCTTGCACGTACACCTTGTCTAGATCAATTTCTGCTGGCAAAACTGCCGACGAACGAACGAGGATCAATTTAGACTGCCGAAACATTAGCAAGAGGGCCGTTAGTATGCTTTTTTTGTTTCATTTGCATAACACAAGCTAAAAATATGCTAAGTGCATAAAATATTCTATCAAAACAATTTAGTACTATACTTTTGTGCTAGATCTACCCACGATTGAAGCACTCTGAGCAAGATCTCTCAAAATAACAAAACAAAAGGTGGTCAGCAACTTGAAACAATAAAATGAAGATAGCACTCTAGGTCAAGCTATTAAGCATCTCCAACAATGCTTTCCCCTAGATGATGAACAAGAAAATGCTACATTATCTGTAAAATATAAATTAGAAACGAAATACTTCCGTTTTCAGGATAGGATATATACACCTTTGGGCATTTTTCATAAATATCCACCGAGCACTACATAGGTGCCTCGCCCACAATGATCGGATGTATCGCAGTGACCATGTGACCAACTTTGACAGTACCATTTTCCTGTACAAAGTCATTATGTCGCAATATTATCGCAGAATCACCGTGGGTCTGCTATGCACGCGTGTTGCTGTACGGATCCGGAACTTTTGAATCCTCTTAACATATTCCTATTGATCCAGCAGAAATCCCCATTGGAATTCCCGCGGAAGGCACAGAGCACGAATGCCGGGAGAGTCACCGTGTCGAGCAGCCAAGTGAGGGAGTTGTCGAGCATGAGGCAGGCCGTGGCACTGCCCAAGAAGCCCCTGCTCACAAAGAGGGTGTTGAAGTCAGCCATCATGTGGTCCATGCGGTCAAAGCTGCCACAGATGACCAGCACATAGTCCACCTGGGGTAAGGTTTGAAAGGGCAGGAGAGGCAGGTATGAAAAAAAAAAAAAAGCAAAGAAAACCACAGCGCTTTCTATTGCCCTGTTTGCTTCCATGGTTTGTTGTTTTCTTTCCATTTGCTGTAGAATCTCAGAAGTGGTCGGTTTGTTTGTAACTTCATTTACTTTTTTTAATTTCATTATGTTTCATGCATTTCTCTCTAGTGGGGGCTCTTTACATCAGAATTCTCCCTAAAAGTAAATTCCATAGCAAAAACTAGCTTGACAGGTTCAATGTTTCTTATAGTTATACATGTTTTTTGTTATTAGGGTATGTTACATCTACCAGCATGCTCCACTTCCACGTAAAATAAGTCTCCAGGCTGTGCCTCCAGTTTGGCCACCTGGCACTGCTACGGCTTTGTATTAAAGCGGAGAGATCCGGGAGTTTGACTTGTGACCTAGTACTCTGAAATTCCCAACGCCCTGCAACTAAAACACAAAACAGTGAAACTAGTACAGTCAATTGCAAGTAGGCCAACCGTGTCAGCGAGCATTTGATGGAACTATGGGTTCCAGAACATTTTTTTAACCCCAACAGTCATGTCCAACAGGTGGAATGGTCTAGCTAGGGAACCTGTTAAAATCTTCAACTTTTCTGTGGCTTTCGAATAATCTGGTGGTAATGGCACAAAAATGCTCCAAACATCGGGTCAAAGCGAACAACAAAAAACCTTTCTGGTAAAAAAAAAAGAGGGCATTTATTTTTTATATATACGTAAGAGAGGCATACACTTCACCAATCAAAATACCAATCGTAGCACCAAAACAAGAGCAATACTATGCTTTACTGCATATAAAGAGTGCCTACCTTACTGAAGTGAACCCAAGCTCTGCTAAAGGTCCCAGACACTTGGCCCTTTGAATCATTCCATTGGTTCGTTGTGTTTCACAATAGGGCAAATAACTGCCAGTCACTTCTCTCTCATCTGAGACAAGGGGACACATTTACATTTACAGAAGCAAAATGAACAAAAGATGAGACCATTGTTAGTTAAGATGTGTTTTTAAGACAACGTATGTTGCTGGTGCCTGCTAATGGCGGGCTGGCCTTGCAAACAAATCTCAAATTTAAAACTCTAGACGATTTAAAGCAACACACATGCTACGCTCGGTTCATGTCTCGGAAGGCAAAGTGCAGATTTAATTCTTAGCTGAAGATCAAAATTCGGCGCGAGAGATAAACAACATGCAGGCATTTATTCCTTCGAATAAACGCCCCTAGTAACTGGTGCTACTCTTAACTTGGCTCAACATCTGCACCTTGCCTTTAGCTCTGACTAGGGCAGACGCCTTATCCCATCTCGAAATACTAAAAAGGCTACACTTGAGAGCATCAATACAGAGCTCTAGGAATCCCGGAGAAAAGTTCACCGGAGAAAAGCTCACCGGAGATAAGCTCACCGGAGATAAGCTCACCGGAGATAAGCTCACCGGAGATAAGCTCACCCGAGATAAGCTCACCCGAGATAAGCTCACCCGAGATAAGCTCACCCGAGATAAGCTCACCCGAGATAAGGTCACCGGAGATAAGGTCACCAGAGATAAGCTCACTGATTTTTTTTTCTTTTTATATGTAGGCTGTTGGATCATGAGTAACACATAAAAATTTATTTTCATTAAAATTCATCAGCTTTGTAAAAAAAAAAGAAAATGTCATTTTTTGTATTATTCGTAAGCTTATTGCGTATATTGCTCCCAAATTAATAATTACGGGCAAGTGTTTTCTGTGGCTTACTCTTTAGGTAACGAAAGCCTAACTGAAGGCTTTATGAACTTGACGAAGAGGAAAAAGTTTGAATGTCTGCCTAAAACCTAAAAATCAAACTGTAAATGCCAAAAATCCGAAAGTGCACGCGCAACAACGCGGTGCCTGAAATTCTCTTTGAAGCTATTGGTAACCTTTGAAAACAGAATAAAACAGTCAGTAGGATATTCAGGCTTTTTTCTTCCACGGATATGGACGTTTTCTAGCCGTTCGTGCCGGTGTTTCGACACGTTGCCTTTGTGTGATAGTGACCTTCTACGGTGAGCCACCCATGACCTTCAGAGCTGCACACTGTCACCGTAGTTACTTGTGACTAGGGTGTGCATTTTCCGGTTTTAACCGAAAAACACCGATAAACATCCGTCGGTGACGAAAATATAAAATCGGTTAAAACCGAAAAACACCGGTGGTTGGACATGTTCGCCCTGGTTAAAACCGAAAAACATCGGCCGTTGCTAGTTTCCGACCTAGCGAAACCCTTTCCCCATAGAGTTTCGTCAAACGTGTTATCTCGTGGATCCTGCATTCTTCCAGTGTTTATACATGGCTTGCAGGTGGCGTCAGTCCGCCCTCCTTTCTGGGGGTCAAAAGCGTCTAGTGAACGCAGTGGAAGCTAAGCTCTCATACGCCTTTCCCCCATTGCGTCTCCGATAGCCCCCTTTTGGGGAAAAATTAATGCAGTGGTGGGTAGGCTCTCACGTGCCTTTTCCTCATTGTGTCTGGCCAAGTGATGTCGGTGCAAGCCACGTATTCAGAGGTTGCTGTGGTTCCTGAAAGACAATGCCAACGTCCGTGTCGTACAAGAGCGTGAGTTTTCATAATTGCGGGTTGCGAACCGCAAGGAACGTGCTGCCATGATGGCAGCACGTTCCTTGCGTGTGGATGCAAGCATGAAAGTACGCTTGCATCTACTATAATAGCCAAGTGTGAGAAATAGTGGCTTCGTAGAAAAGAAGTATATGAACTATGTGAATAAAATTGGAACTCTCTGTCTGTGATCAATCGGTTTTTTTTTTTCACCGATAATCACCGATTTTAGCCTCGTCGTGAGACGTTCCACCGAAATACACCGGTGTTTTGAAAATAAATAAACAACGAAAAACATCCGCCGATTTTTCTTACAAATAAACACCGGAAGTACACACCCTACTTGTGACCCATATAAGTAGTAGTCTTCTGTAAGTTAGCGAATAGGGTGAGTTTGTAAACGTTATACATGATGAAAACCGCTCAAACGACAACGACGGGGTGAAGACAACAAACACGAAAGGACGAAGCTGTTCTCGCAACTAAAGTTTTGTTAGTTAAATTAACAGAAAGAAAACAGCATAGCCGACATTGATTACATTAACTCACACCTACTTATCTATTAGGCACTACACAGTATTTGGAGCTGAAACAGTTCACACACCGCTATTCATATTATCTCACAAAGAACAAACCTCTTTATTTGACAGAGCTACCGACGGCGCACTGTCATTTGTCAATAAATTGTTGTCTCTTTTACCGGTGTACGATGTTCTGAATTTATACTTGCGGCTTCATTAATATACAAAATGTGTGATTACTAATTTCTGAGGAATTTGTAAATATGCCCAATGAACTTCAAGAATATTACAAAAAAGAGGGCATATTTTTAATGAAGTGACGAATTTGAATTGTGTTAAATTGCCACGTCTGACACAGAATCCGCCAAGTTAAAAAAATCGGTGGGCTTTTCTCCACATTTGCTCAAAGGCCAGTGAGGTCTCCTCCGCATCTGCCGGTTTGGCAGTGAGCTTTTCTCAGCCGCCTGAGCTCTAGATATAGTGTCAGGAAGCTAAGGCGATTGTTTTGCTCTGTATTGGACTTTTAACAATTCTCGACAAAGACAAAGAATTTCCAGCGATTTTGTATATATACCTCCAGACTAGTGGCAATAAGGATTTCTATGCAAGAAGATGGCTGAAGCGCAGCTTTTTTCGAGGCTCTAGGCCCACCTACCTGGAGGGAATGTTCTTGGCAGTGCTCTCCAATCACCATGAGGGCCTTGGTAAGGTCCGTCCTGTCCTGGTCTGGAGTGTGCACCACCTTGGTGCCCTGGCGAAAAGGCATAGTCACGTTTACATGAGCGTAGGCCTTCACGACATGCTGCAGATTCGCGGCCGCTCAATCGTGGCACCTAACCGAGTTTGTAAATACGCCCAGCTATATTTTCCAGGTCTTTAATGTTGTAGAATAAGCTCTGGTGACGGTAACCTGACGAATATGTAATACAGAGAGGCAGAAGTTTAAAGACAGAAAGAAAAAAACTGAGTCATTTGATTTGTAGAGGTACAGCAAGTGCTGGACCAAAAGGTAGGCATGTATGCAATTCGGCTAAGTAATGTGCTCAAACAGTGAAGAAGTCATTTTCTGGCCATTGGTTATTTAACACAATGATCAAGTAAATATGCAGCAGATTCTTTAGGTGTCACACTAACCAAGAAAGTCTCAAATAAAGCAACAAAAAAAAGATTTTAAGCATTCACCGTCCAGTTTTATAGAATTGATAAGTATGCTAGTGTACTACCTCACGTGCATAGCATGAAATGCACATTATGTATGTGCAGAAGTAGTTTTTATCAATGCCGTATCATCAATCCCTTCGGGGTCCCCGAAGCCTCAGAGAGTCAGTCAAACCAAGCACTAAGACATTTTTTTTTTTTTTTTTTTTTTTTTTTATGCTGGTTATTTTACAAAACTAAATAGATCAAGCTATGCACACTGAGTGAGCAGGGTTGATTAATCTTTGTTTCAGAGCCTCAGAGTTGGTTTTTACACACATAGTTTCCCTCATTTACATTTTTGTCATTGTAATCATCCAACACCCTTCCCTCCAGAAGGGTGTTGGATGATTACAATGGTTAGCGGTTGAAAGCAAGTGCTTTTTAACCTTTTATAGTTTGCCCCTCTCCTCAAATGAAACGGAACCTGCAGATACAAGGAGAGCCATGGAATGTGACCACTCCGCTGGGACACACGAAAAAGGCATAAGCTCATCCTAAAGTTTGCATCAGCAATGCTCACACCAGCTAGCAAGAATGACAAACGGAGAACCTGGTGTCCCAGGTGCTTCTACGCCTTTGCTGCTACCAGTGTGAGGCATGGCAACAAAAGGAAAGATCCCATCTGCCTCGCGCTTGTGTCCATCCATTTCTCGGTCCCAGGAACCACACCAAAAAGTGAAAGCCGTTTACAACTCCCTGTAAACGCCGAATTAGAGCGCAGCTCTTGAGGAGGAGGAGGGAAGGGTACTGGGGGGGGTCAACTGACCGGAGGGTGGGGGGTCACGTAACCCCCTTACGAGGGACAATGCCGATGATGTCATCACTGACGTCACTGATGACGTCATCAGTGACGATGACGATGCGGATACCGATGACGTCATTAGTGACGTCACTGATGACGTCACCAGTGATGATGACGATGACGATGCGGATGCCGGTGACGACATCAGTGACGTCACTGATGACGTCATCAGTGATGATGACGATGCGGATGCCGGTGACGACATCAGTGACGTCACTGATGACGTCATCAGTGATGATGACGATGCGGATATCGGTAACGTCATCAGTGACGTTACCGATGACGTCATCAGTGACGATGACGATGCGGATGCCGGTGACGTCATCAGTGATGATGACGATGAAGATGCGGATGCCGGTGCCATCATCCGTGACGTCACCGATGACGTCATCAGTGATGATGACGATGACGATGCGGATGTCGGTGACGTCATCAGTAACGATGATGTCATCAGGGGGGAGGGGGTCACGTGACCTCAAGGGAGTCGCGTGACTTCGGGGGGTCACGTGCCCCCCCCCCCCCCCCCCCCGAGGTCACGTGACCCCGGGGGTGGGGGCTCGCGCGGTGCATTATGGGACATTTCCCATAATGCACCGCGCAGTTACGCCGCCGCCGCTCAAGCCGGAAACAGGCGCGTAAGAGCTCCGTTTTTAAATATATAGTGTTACAGCACGGCTTCCTCGCAAGTGGCGGCTCACTCTCATTGCCTGGCTTAAGACATCGTGCCACCATACATATGCAATATGGATTAGCATCCAGAGTCGTGGTAAGTGTGTTAATACATAAACAATTGCACTGAGATTTACCGACCGAAAAACATAGACCTTTTCATCTCAGTAGTTAGTACTTGATTGGAGGAGAGAGGGTGCCGACGTACTCGGCGCCAAGGTGGCTTCAACTTGGTTGGCTTCGTTTTCAGCGCGCTTGTGGCTGTGTTGGTGCGATATGTCGTTTTCACTTAATTTTGTGACGCAAATGTCTCCCCTGTGGTACACAACCGACGATACAATTGTACTGGGCCAAGTACAAAGTAATCACGAACATAAATTGATGTGTTATTTTACGAAGACCTTTGTCTGGTCGCGCTTGTCGTTTAGCCAGGTTGTGCGGCAAAACAACATAATTAATGCAGGAGAAAGATCACCGTTATCTGTTGTCGCACTGGCCATATCGGTTGACATTAGTTTTCATAAGAATAAACTAATAAAGAGAATAATGCACAAAGGCATAGTGAAAAAACAGGTTGACAATCTAATTTGCTTACATTTTTAATGAGATGCTGAATCGCGATGAACAGATCAACTAGCGAGTTTAGTGCTCACTGTTTGATTTTCGAGGACACCAACGTTTTCTGAAAACTTCCGATTGGAAAGCCCCCCTGCAGTGATGTAGTAAAAAGAAAAGTGATATTGTTTCGTTTTCTTCAAAAAAATTAAGTACTAACAGGTGTTTCGATGGTCCATCCAAGACTGAGTAGAGAATTCTTTCTAGTGGCCCTCCTACGGTATTCATTAACAGTATTTCACAGCGTAGGCCTTAGGAAATAAACTATTTGTTTTACGGACCTTTCCTGACGACACATTCAGGATAGGAGATAAATGACAGACCCGTCAACTGAGGTCTGACATCTGTCTTCCGTAAAATTTAGAATATGAAATTAAAGTGTGCAAGAGAAGTGACCTCCGGCAAGCTTGGCTGAAGTGGAATGCGAGGCACCACCTCATGTGTTGACAGATCTTTTTTCGCTTGGACAGATGCGCTTTTTACTATCTGCAGCGTAAAAAGTAAATCTGGCATCGGCAATGCTGCACTCATGTGATTTCCATGCAGACGGCTTCTTTTCGCGCGACATGTTGCGCGCCTCAGACGATCACAAGCTGTCTGTGACACTTTTTTCGCTGGAGATTACAACCCCTCGTGTCTAAATAAATTAATTGAATTAAATATTTTAAGATAATCATTAAGGGCAACTCCGGCTAAAACTCAAAATGAAATAAATTACTGGTATTGCTGTAGTGACACAAAATACGACCCCAGCCAAAATATTACATCAGGGGGACGCCGCATTCTCCACTAATGCCGATAATAAAAATGCGACCCGCCGCGAGCCGTTGCTCCTTAGCGGGCGGCCAGCGGGTTGCCGATCGCTAAAGCAACATTGGGCCGTGACGTCAGTATCTTTCTCTTTTTTTCCTCCAGTCCGGGAGTTGCGCGGAGCGCACTTCTTTGAGCCGCTACCGCCACTGCTTTGGCTTGTGATTGGCGTGTTTAGCCGTTGCTTTTAACTGTAGCTCGTGTAGCTTCAGTATAGCCTTTTGTTTATTTGCTTGTGAGGACTCCAAGACTCGTTTTAGCGAGCAACTCGGTGCGCCCAAGACTGCCCAGCTGTTCCTCAAAACATGCTGAGTACAACTTGTAGCGCTGTGGGCTGCTCAAACAACCCGCTGCGCAACCCGGAGGTGCTTTTTCACAAGTTTCCAACGGACCGGAAATTGAAGAAGGTGTGGGTGGACGCTGTTTGTTGAGTGGACTTTGGAAAGCCTTGGACACCGACCCCCAGATCAAAGCTCTGCTCTGATCATTTTTCGCCGGAGAGTTACGAACGAAACCTATGGGTGTTGGTTGCTTGTGGCTTGTCAGCGAAGGGCTCAAGGCTTAAAAAGAATGCCGTGCCGTCGCTCTTTGCCCACCGCCCGCCAAGTACTTTTTGTCACTGGCAGCGCGGCGTACAGCAACGCCGCTCCATCCACGGAGCCTCGATGACAATTTAGGCCTAGCGACAAGTACGGAAGACCCCACGCACGGCGACAGCCGCCGAGTACGGCACCGAACGAGTCCACCAGTATTCCAGTCACCAGCTTCTGGGTATACAAGCGACAAGTACGGCATAGCGCACGCACAGCGGCGGCCACCGAGTATGGCTCCGTACGAGTTCACGGGTTTTCCAGTCGCTAGCTTTTGGGTGTACGCACTAAATCTTGCTACATATGCTGGATAACTACCACGTATACAGAATTAAAACAAAATCAGCCTACCTCCTATCTTTAGACGGCTAGCGCAACAGAGGTAGGTGCCGCTCGGCCTGCGTACTCGTTGAACAAAAACGATCCTGACGTCACGTTCACATAGTGGCTGATTTCCAGTGTTGCCGAGGCCTCGAGCGGCTAGTTTCGATTTTGTTGGCCGCGCCGCAAACAAAACTCTGAGGCATCGATATCGTTAAAACTATGCAAAATAACGGGAAAAAAATGACACCTTGCAAATCAGGGACGCTGACTGCGCTAAAAACAGTCATAATCCCAAAATCGAAAGTATGGACTGCCCAAAAAAGTCAACTTCTGTACCGCAAGCTTGATTTCAATCAAATTTGCAGTGGAAGTTTATATAAGTGGCAGGACCATCCCTGCCGAATTTCATTCTCCTATGTCAATTCTGAAACTTGTTATGAATGTTACAATATGGAAGCCAGCGTGTTTGCTCAGAAAAACTATAATTTTAAAATAAAATCAAAATATGTGATTTTTATGTGTAATATAGTCATAGGAATACTCATAGCACAAACCCAGGTAGTTATTTTGCTATATTGCATTGTTTTTCATAAATATAACTCCATAAGAAGATTACAAATCGTTTTCATGTCTGTGCTGTTTTACAAATGTAGTTTATTTAGCATAAAGGAATGTTAAAGTAGAAAAACTAACCAGCCAGGCATGTTCCTCACCAAATTCTATCCCAGAAAACCATCTAAGAATAATTCTCTATTGTGTAATAGGAAAACAATACTTTTCCTAAAGTAAAATTTATGCCAAAAAGTGGAACGAAGTGGAAAGTGGAATAGTCCCTGGATGATATTGTAGTGAGTGCGCAGGCGAGCTGGTGGAAATTAACCATTCTGATGTTAGCCTGAGACTGAGGCAGGAAAAGAGGAAGTTTCTAAGTAGAAGAAAAAGGAACAGTCGAGGATACGTCTCTAACACAGCTAAAGACAAGTTTATTCGGTCACCCTCTTATATACACTCCACAATCTTCACCACAGAACCTTCGCGACCTCCAAAGCCAAAAGATAACAAAGAACTCATCTCTTTCCACCACAATAATCAAACGACCTTGACAATCCTACAAAGCCCCCTCACCAACACAACCTATCTCCTCTCTCCCGGAAGACGATCGACCTTCGCGTACATAGCACACCCTCCTCCTCTCCTCCCCGGCCCACAATCCCGAAACAACCCGGCAACAAAAGATACCAATCCACCTGATCAAACCAAAGACACAAAGGAGGAAACCACTTACACCCTTTCACAATCAACAACCACTTAACAAAACTCTCAAATCCGCAAGAAGGTTTTTGCACTGCTGCTAAGCTGTAACGACACTTGACTAATGCAGTTGCCCATTGATTTCATTCTTATTGTTTCCTTTACAACCCTTTTGATGTCGTTTACTTCCCTGTGTATTATTTCTGTTTCGGACCAGCGTGGTATACAATTATTACATTCTTGAACATGTTTCGCTATTTCCGAATCAGTCGCGTTGTTTTTTACATTTCTTTTGTGTTCAGTCAATCTATCATTTATACACCTCGACGTTTGACCCACATACTTAAAACCACATTCTAGGGGAATTTCGTATACCACTCCATTATCACACGGAATAGACTTTTCTCGATGCATTTTTGTGCATTCCCTTACACTCTTGTGGAAGGGCGTGAGCTTACTCAATTTATAGTCGGAACTAAAAACCAGATCAACATCGAACTTTTTTGCACAAGCCTTCAAGTTGTGAGAAATTTTGTGATAGTACGGAATTACAGTAGTTCTATGTTTTGGCCTTTGCTTTGGTTCTGCTCTACATTTGTCTGCGAATTTTACGGATAACTGTTTCCCTACGAATTCATCCTGATAACCAGCACTGTTTAGCCTTCTCCACTGCCTTTTCACTGATTCAGCCAAGAAATGAGTACATGATCTGTCCATTGCATTTGTGATTAAAGACCTGACAATACCTGCTTTGACTGTTTTTGAATGGCAACTGTTTTTTGATAGCAGCGGTTTTGCGCTTTCTTTTCCATATTCCCAACATAGCCCTTTTTCATTGTGAATCATAAGCTCTAAAAACTGCAGTTTACCATTCATGGTAAACTGCCAAACATAGAACTACTTACCAAACATAGAACTACTGTAATTCCGTACTATCACAAAATTTCTCACAACTTGAAGGCTTGTGCAAAAAAGTTCGATGTTGATCTGGTTTTTAGTTCCGACTATAAATTGAGTAAGCTCACGCCCTTCCACAAGAGTGTAAGGGAATGCACAAAAATGCATCGAGAAAAGTCTATTCCGTGTGATAATGGAGTGGTATACGAAATTCCCCTAGAATGTGGTTTTAAGTATGTGGGTCAAACGTCGAGGTGTATAAATGATAGATTGACTGAACACAAAAGAAATGTAAAAAACAACGCGACTGATTCGGAAATAGCGAAACATGTTCAAGAATGTAATAATTGTATACCACGCTGGTCCGAAACAGAAATAATACACAGGGAAGTAAACGACATCAAAAGGGTTGTAAAGGAAACAATAAGAATGAAATCAATGGGCAACTGCATTAGTCAAGTGTCGTTACAGCTTAGCAGCAGTGCAAAAACCTTCTTGCGGATTTGAGAGTTTTGTTAAGTGGTTGTTGATTGTGAAAGGGTGTAAGTGGTTTCCTCCTTTGTGTCTTTGGTTTGATCAGGTGGATTGGTATCTTTTGTTGCCGGGTTGTTTCGGGATTGTGGGCCGGGGAGGAGAGGAGGAGGGTGTGCTATGTACGCGAAGGTCGATCGTCTTCCGGGAGAGAGGAGATAGGTTGTGTTGGTGAGGGGGCTTTGTAGGATTGTCAAGGTCGTTTGATTATTGTGGTGGAAAGAGATGAGTTCTTTGTTATCTTTTGGCTTTGGAGGTCGCGAAGGTTCTGTGGTGAAGATTGTGGAGTGTATATAAGAGGGTGACCGAATAAACTTGTCTTTAGCTGTGTTAGAGACGTATCCTCGACTGTTCCTTTTTCTTCTACTTAGAAACTTCCTCTTTTCCTGCCTCAGTCTCAGGCTAACATCAGAATGGTTAAGTCCCTGGATGTTGGTGGATATAAATATGGCAATATTTCAAAATAAACTTTTTTTGCAGAAATTGTTTTTTCTGGGTAGTGTCTCCCCTTAAGGCACTTGAGCAACTTGACTTCAGACAAGGGACTGAACACAATGCAGTTTCTTTAAATAATTAAATAAACCAACCAAACAATGTTTATACCACAAAAATAATTCCCCCATATAACCTAAAGCAAAATCTTTCGATGCGTCATGAAGGCAGAGCATGATGCTTTCGAGAAATATACATGGCGACTCCTTACACTGATTATTTTTGCCACCTCTAAGATCCTAAATGCGCAATCATAAATGTACCTTGCACATCTTACTGCGAATGTTCCACCACTGTCACTGAGTAAACCTGTGCTGTCATAAGTAATTGGTCTCTGGATCCTCGTGATGTCTTAGAGTATACATGCAATGTCCACTGGTGCCAACGCTCATCCATGTGCCTCCTCCAGCCTTCTCACATGTCTCCGGTTGTAAGCAGAGAAGTCAGGCTGACAATGGACATTTGCCAGTGAACTAAACCACATCACTGTCCAAAAAGTCTAAATTTTTTATTTACGGATCACCCAAAACAAAGCGTCAAACAATTAATATGTGTGCTAGTGCCGCTTCCCTACTGACTATGAGAAATAGCTCAGAAACACGGTAGTAGAAAGCTAGATTGCTAGCTCGTACGCCCACAAGGTCATACTGATACTGATTCGTAGCTTCTAGAAAACCAGCTTGCTTAGGTAGAAGAGAAAACTGAAACCTAGCTTGCCTGTGCCAAAATGCACTGGTGCAAAGCACGAAAGTGAAACAAGCATTACCCTTGACTTGTAGAACTCCATGGTCTCCTTGGAGACAGAGTCAAAGTCGCCTGTGAGGTAGTCCGGGAGAAACTGTTCTGCCTGGCTCCCCATGGCCTTGCGCAGACTGTCCGCACCCCCGTCAACACACATTTTCAAGACGGCTGCACAAACATTTGAGGAGCAGCTAGTAAAAACTGCATGAAAGTCACTATGCCGTTCCATTACCAGTGGTGGAACTGACAAGCGGGGATTGTGAGCAGCTCTTGCGGCAGAGAAAAATCGGTTTTGGAGCAGAGACTTCCCCCTTTTGGAGCAAACACATTTTAAGCGTCCATATAAAAAAATGTAATACTATCACTCTGAAAGTTTGCCTGTAAAAAAACTGTGGTCCTTTGAGTGTTGGCAGACTATTTAAATTGTCATACCTACAGGGGACCTGACTACTAGATATTTATATATATATTGAACAATCATACAGCAGTAATTTTGCAGATGTCTCAATTAACGTATTAGTGGTAACGATGGCGTCTTCAGCCTGTGTTTGACGTAAAAAGATGTTTTTGACCACTTTGTAGTGTTTTTATCACGTTGCTCTCGCTCATAATCCACCTGATACTGTTCATAGAGTGGCTAAGTGGAGCACATAGCTATTCTAACTGATCACAATGAATAGTGCTACCTATTCACTGCGATCGATGTGAGCACCAATCAAACGAAAACTGATAACTCTTCGCAAGGCATGTGCAAATAGTGAATTTTGGGTTTGAAGCAATTTCAAAGTGAGTAGTGGTTTCGGCCAAATATGTTTTAATTGAATATTAAATAGCTACTGCACCTTTCTCCACGCCTTTCACTACTGTCACACCATGCTTAAAAAAAAAAAATGCAGTTGAACTTGCGAAGGTGGTACCCAAGCTTCCAACTGCCCACTTATGTGCTTTGTTAAATTTAATCTAGCTACATTTATAGACTGAGGCCTCAGAAAGTTTAATACCTACATTGGGATGGCAAGTAAATGACAGATTTTACATAAAATTAAACCTATAAAGGAGCACAGCCATACCTAATTGAGGGGATTTATAAATCGTCTTGCTATATGCGAACATTTTCTTTTATTCTTATTAAAAAAAAAAGGAAACAAGCATAGATAATGAACACATGTCAGAACATCGCTACCTAACATATATGCTTGCATAATAGCCACAGTTAAATTTTGAAGGTTTTGCTGTAATGTAAATATCAACAATCACGTTTCTTGTTTTGTTTTTTTGGTTGTTTTTAATACAACAGGCGTGCGCGTGCAACATACCACTTTGAAGGTGTTTTTCGCCTAAGTGCGCGGTCCTGCTGCGACGAAGTGAGCCGCAAGATCGCGGTGTCAGCTCCGCAGGTATTGCCTCTCCACAGTACACTGGTGCTTGAGGAGAAGCGCACTCAAGGGGGCTAACCCGCCGCGATGAAAACTTCCAGAAGTATGAATATCGCAGTTCATTTTGAAGAGATTATCAAATAGCGTGATATTTGAAACAACCATATGAAAATTCAAATATTCGCGCAACCCTGCTTTTCGTACATAGTACTTAGTAGGGATACCGCGAACCAGCCCAGGTTCGAGTTGTTTAACCTTTTCAAACTTTCAACGTGAAGTTTGACAAAGGTTCAACTGAACTACAACTTTCGTACGCATGCGCAAAAACTTAAAAAAAAAAAAAAGAAAAAAAAAAAAGTTGATTCTACTTGGCGGAGGAAAAGTGCAATATTGGTGTGGTGTATTGGCCCATCACTGGTTCACATCTAACAAATGGAAACATTAAAAGCGCATATTTTCGCTTTTTTATGGTGTAAACATTGTCAACCATTTTATGAAACATAAAACAAACTATTTTCTAAATGATTTGTTTCCCAAAATTCAAAATATTTGTGTAGAAGCCGGGCAACACTGTCCATAAAATAAACTACTTTCTAAATGATTTGTTTCCCAAAATTCAAAATATCTGTGTAGAAGCCAGGCAACACTGCCCACAAAATAAACTACTTTCTAAATTATTTCTTTCCCAAAATTCGAAACATTTGTGTAGAAGCCGGGCAACACTGTCCATAAGGCGAACTTCTAACTTCAGTGAAAGTTCGAAGGTGATCTTGAGGTTCGACGTCAAAATCGAGATTCGACAAAAGTTTGCGACGCCCCTAGTACTTAGGCATCCGAGAAACAACGACTGTATTAATCTTCAGTCGCATCGCCAACAATGCCACGTGCCAGACACTTTCAGTTTCCTATTCGAGAACAGTTTCATTTTTGCTCAGACATGGCGCAAATTGCACAAAATGCAGCCTTTGGAGCAGCATGTAGCAGGTTGTTCGTTAATTCTGGCACAGCAGTTCGACCACTGTACTACTGAATTTAGATTATAATGATACCATTTTTGTTTACGCCGGTGTGTATTAATCCTTCCTTAGAGGTACACCAAAAGACTGGTCACTGGAGCACGGAAAGACAAGACGAGTGAATATGTCTCTGTCGCTTTCGAGACCTTTTGTTATTTAAATTTTGTATGTTTGTGTTTAAGAAAATGATATAGAGCCCTTGCTAAAGGGACATTGACACTTCCCAGAAATTGTTTCTATTTTTTGCCACGCGATTTATTATTGTGAGAGGAGACTACCCAATCAATATTTTGCTGCAGAGTCACATATATAAATTTTTTATCAAGCCAAGAGCTCAACTGCTCAAAACCGAAACCCAAGCATGGAAGCTAATGGCAGGAAGTGATGTGGCTACAACTGACCGCATTTTTTTCTTCTTTTTCTCTACTTTTCCAGCCTCTGAAACAGACGACGACAATGTCAAACTTGCACGAACCGTTTGTTGTGAGATTGTTTCACACTTATATCTCTTCAGCCTGATGGTCCGTGCTTGAAGATTGATTGGCCAGTAATACGAACAACAGTTCCTAAGTAGCGGCCCCACGTCCGTCGCGCGCCACCATCGTGCCGTCTAGCAGGCAGTACGTCGCCATATTGGAAAGGATGTGTACACATACTTTCTGTGATCTGTTCAACGCCTTCTTTTTTTTTTTTTTTTCTTTCGATCAACTTATTTGTAGCTTTTTGGAAGCCACAAAAAATGGGGTTCATATTCTTTCCTATTTTTGACACTGAATGTGTGTCTTGATAACCCCCGACTTTGAAAATACTTGGTACACAGAGTTTGAATGCCGCGTGACCATGGAAACGAGAGTGAGCGTGACCGAAACCGACCAATTCTCGATGGGCTGTTTCCGGACGGAAAGACAACCAATTTCGAGCTGCAAATTGTGCTCTGGGTAGTTGGCCATACAAGTCATATTAAAATAAAAATCTCAACAAGCATAAATGTCCTGTCAGTGTACCTTTAGTAGACACAGCGCGCTTGACCTTCACTGAAAAAAAAAAAATAATAATACAGAAACGGAAAAAAAAAAAAAGTTCCAGACGTATGGCACCTTAAACTGTCTTCCGGGTCATAGGCTCCACCTATGACCCGAAAGCACTGCGGCGAAGTTTGCTTCGGGTGACCGTCATAATCATTATTATAAACCTCACATTCTTCGGCAGAGAACTGCTATAAATTATCACTAGATGTGCCAGAATTCGTATACCTTGGTTCCAATGCCTCTTGAGGAAGACGCAGGTGTTTTCGCTCAGCGGTTGGTTGGGAATCACAATCGCGTTCTTGGACTCTGCGATTTTCAGAGAAATTAAGCATTGAATGTGCGCAGTTCCCGAGGTAAAGGGAAGGAATAGAATAATTTGTGAATGCAATTCTTCACCTTTGTTTCTGAACAACATCGCCTCGGGGTCCCATTCTTTCCAGGGGGTACCGTCCGCATGCATGTCTCGGGCTAAAAAAGTAAAACACATTTAGTATTTCAGAAGTTAACGAGCGATCCAGTTATGAGCGCCGATGATACTGACTACATCTAAAATATTCGCGATAAAAAAATCCGGCCATGCAGCACGCTTACTCCGCAAGGCAGTTTCGGGGTCCCGGTTAGGTTCCTTCCCGGCTGAGAGAGTTCCAAAACGAAAAAGCACGGTATTAATAACGTCATTCAGACAAGTTGTGTCCGGGATGAGCCGCCGGCAGGATCACGTGACGGAAACCACTGAGGAGGTCAATGATCACCAGAAACGTCGTAATTCATTTGTTTCATTCGGACCCCTCCGACACCGACTGGGGGCTGCCATCTTGGCCGTCAGTAATCAAACAAGCAACAAAATAACCAGAAGTGACGTCATTTTTTTCAGCCAATCCACAGTTAGCCAATCCGCGTTTATCGTTTTTGATGGCAGCACAACTGTGGGCAGCACCATCGCGTTTATCACGTGACAGTACATTTTGTGACGTAAACATTATGCTTTTTGGCGTTTTGCGGTTTCGGTGTTCGAGGTGGATAAACGAACGCACCTGCGAAAGAAAGACAACAAAAAGTGTCAAACAAACGCGCTTTCCTCTGTACCGTCAGCAACGTTGTGGAGTTGGGTGGGGAAGTTGGTTTTTTTAAATGTTTTGAAAGTGATCTCGGCGCTCTGACATGCTATGATGGCATGGCCATGTTGCGTTCCCTCGTTGTTGCTCTTTCTGTGCGTGACCAGAGTGGCATCGGGTGAGTCCTTTAGCAGAATCTCCAAACTTTTTTTCGCGTTACCGAAGAGCAGCGTCTAGGACTAACGACCGTGTTTGAACGGGCACCTCAAAGTTTGAACTTGGCCCGCGGTTTCGGTTATCTTTCTCTTTGAACCCCCTCCTTCGGACAGCAAATTTGCAACAAAACTCCAGAGCGTTTGCGCGTGTCATTTGACGTACAGATACTTTTCTGGGCCAAGTTTGACTCGCGTGACGGTGGCGATGAAGTCACGCACGGCAGTGCCAACGACGGAAGGGCGTAGCATTCCGTGGATTCCAATCTGACGAGCTGGCTCCTTCAGGAGCGCCAAGTTACGCGATGCAACGGTCTAACGCCCGTAACGCTTTTTTTTTTTTTTTTTTAAATTATGTATGTACATTTAATTAGCAGGAAACGTGCGTTCGAACTGTGTAAACATGCAGCTTCGGTGATGATGCTGGCGTTCTGACGTGCGACTATTCCCTCGATTTTCTCAGCGTGATTCGGGGTCGAGGCCGAAAAACAAAAATATATGGGTTGTCCCTTACATTTGTGGCTCGTGCGCCTTCAGCTAGCGCCTAGCGAGTCGAAATATGCCTAGGAGGTGTTTTAAGTTGTAGTATTTGCCGGAATATTTAGCCGGATTCCGTTCTGAAGCGGCAACCGGCCGTTTGATAACGGCTGTGCGTTCTAAACTTTTCGAAAAAAAAAAAAAAAAAAGATTTGCGCTTCCACATTTAAGTAAGCAAAACTGACCGTTAAACTGCATGTAAAAAAATAAATGAAGAAGTAACTGCGAGCTTGCCACTGGTCATGCTCTTTGATAATGTATACTTTTAAAACATCAAACCGTTGGCATCAGTACAGAACATACTCACCTTGTCTTGTGTGTGGTCCCGGTGCAGTCTAGACGCTTGTTCTTCCAGGTCTAAGATAAGGTCTTATCATTCGCGCTGTTTTATCTCCTCAGCGGGAGAAAGTGTGTTGTACTCTTTATCTGTCTCCTGACTCACCTCAGGACGTAACATCTCTTTCAGATTGCGATAAGGCGCTGCTAAAAAATGCTAGGTTATCAGCATCTTCAAGCTTCGCCCAGGATAGGGGACCCTACAAGGCCCTTCTGGACAGTGAGTGTGCTTTCTTGCTTCGTGGATCTTTACCACTATTCATTAACAATATTTTGTTTGTTTGTGAGGAGGCACTTGGTTGGTGGTGAAGTCTGCATCATTTAAATGGGCCATGTTGACAGTTTATATGCCTATGCACTGTTTTACAAAGAAGCTTGCATTTGCCCACACCTGGTATGGGCACTGTGAGTGCGCAGAAACCAGGTTCGCGTCTGCGCATACACTTTTCCGACAGCAGTGACATCGCAGCGGCATGACGGCAGAGCCGTGCATCGATGTACCTGAGGTATTCACTTGGCTTGAAGGGGTGCATCACGGGAAGGGAATTCGCCTTCCAGCTACCATTGCCATGGTCAAAACTGTGACTCACGGCAGGTGCTATGTACAGCTAGCTGCGCTGTGGTGTGTTAATTGTGTGCTAAGTGTAGCTTGCCTAAATAAACATTAATGTCCTGCCAAATGGTGTACATAGTCAGCAAAAGAACAAAGATTAAAAATATTGGCCGATCGTTGCACCGAGAGGCATTGGGGAAGCTGCGGGTAGACATTGGCGAACGGGAAGCATTCGGTGAGATTCAGTGTTCCCAAGCTATTAGCTTCTGTCTGATGGCCATGCATTATTCTCGTTGCTACTCTTTTACATCAATAACTCACACATTTGCCATCAAAGGGAGGGACGACGTCTAAATTTTGCAATATGCACGCATTCAAAATCGAGGCATACTTGAAAAAGCCCAATCAAAACATTCAAATTTTCTTGTGTTTTTGTTTACAGTAACACACATTTGAACAAAAATTTTATGAATGGTTAAATAGTAAAATAGGTTGTGCTGCATATACAACGTGTGCGCAATCAGCACATAATGCGTGTTGTTTTGATTTTATAATTGCAAACTGGAACGGCTGTTAGTGCGAAGGGCTGGCAAATGATTGTGCTTGCCTCACGCATGAAATAATCAATCATTCCGATTAACTCTACCTTTTGGTATATTCGGCTGGTCGCTTTTCAACGCTCCATTCCTCTGAATCTAATCTGGGAGCTCGGCCACTCTTTTGAGCGGTCAGATAGGAGGGGCTATCCAGTGCCATTCATCCACACACCCCTGCACCTCACGCCCCTAGCACCACTGCATGAAAAGTGGCAGCCTTCAATGCAGATGCTAATTTTCGCTGCAAATATCCCCCCCCCCCCCCCCCTGACAAGCACGCCACACCTTCTATACTAGCTGCACATTACAGTGGGATCGGTGAATCCAATTGCAGCGGTGTCTGCCTCTCCTCTGGACCAGCTTATTTGTAAAGTGTACTTCCTTTTAGGGAAGGGGGGGGGGGGGGTTGTGACATTGAAATTGGGAGTTTTTCTGAAATTTTACCAACAATTTTTTTTTCTTCCAATTTTATTGAATCTATTTGAAAAAAAAATACAACCCTGGTTTAATGGTTGTTCCTCGTGAGACAAGCATGACATTATGATTGAGCGTCACAAAAAATCTCTGTGCGACCACTAAGTTTAGTAAGTCTTTTATTAATTATCAATAATTAGTAATGATAATTATTTATAAGGAGAGAAATATGGCTACACATGATTTGCTTTTCGTCTTCTTATTGTGTTCTGTCTGTATTTTAACACTTGATTGCTTCCTCGGTAATGTTTTCATTGGGATATGGAGTTAAGACTTAGAGAAAAAGTTTTGTTTAACATATTGTTTGTTTGTTTTCTTGGTTTTTTATGTGTTTTTTTTTAGTTTCTGGTAAACTCCTATTCACATCCATTTTGGTAAACCATCAACGTCTCTTATCGTGGGAAGTGGGATGCGCTGCATTCGGGCAGCCTTCTTTGAGCCTCGGGTGACTGAACTGTTTTGATAGAGCGAAGAATAAAAAAACGTGCCTCACTTCGCTTTAACGAAGCACCTCTTTCTTGGTGGTTCAGCATATTTGTAGAATTGACAAATGAGAGGGTTTGGTGTAAACTACACTGGATTACTATATATAAAAAAAGAAAAACACAAACCAAGCCATCCTTCATCATGAAGATGATGTTCGGACGATCTGAATCCAGGTTATCCAGCACTGTGATGCGTAGCGGGAGAATAGAGAAAACTCTTAAATGTGACAATAAACGACAAACAAACAACTGCAGAAGGTATATATTTTTGAAAAGTGCCAGATTTTCCGTACGATAGAGGCAGCCCAAAATGGAACTGAATTACAAAAAGCTAATATAATGTAAAAGATATTGAAATTGGGATAATAGACCGATCTCACAGCTAGTTTGAGTACGCCACCGCTGCCGACATGCATCGTGGGAGCTGTAGTCTTTCTGCACACGGGACAACCCCGCTGGAGCTCTGCGCGAGCAGAGCACGAGGCGGCATGAGCTGTCTCGTGAACTGGCGTCTGCCTCCTACGAACTACAGTTATGGCGGCGTCACGCATGCGTGGAACGCTTGGTGAGATCGGTCTATTCACACTAGTACTGATGATTGGGCTAGTTTAGGGGTCTCCAAAATTTTTGGCTAAGGGGCTGGATGGGGGATCTGTTGCTTTTGATGGCCAAGCTGCCGATTTCGGTTCCCATTGCGGGAAACTCGGACCTCAATATGATGTCAAACCGTGGAATGAAGCCGTGGGTTCGAGGAAGTGTGACATGCATGCCATACATGTGCTGGAATAAGAGGAGAAGGTGGAGCTTCCACCACGTCGTGGTTTTCTAGGCCGCCACAATGGCCCTTGCATGATCCTGGCTCGTGGACATGGAAAACGAGACCACTATGTAGGACAAACTCAATAATAAATTACTTGCAGCTGCTTGGCTTCAAGTCAAATCAAAATTCTTTATTTTTCTCCATTTGGAGAGGGAAAACAGAGAAAAAAAAGCAACAGAACAGTTACTTGACAGGTCTCCATCTCCCCCCAGCAGCAGTAGTTGTATCAAAATGTTCTGGTGGGCTAGTTGGTTATACATATTAAATTACAAATTTTTATTTATTTATTTTTATTTATTTATAAATACTACATACTCCAATTTGGAGACATGGTAGGAGTGAAACACTTCAAATATACAGAAAACAACAGTCCAACAGCCGACAGTGCCTAAAAAAAAATGAACAATGGGCTCTCATGTAGATACAGCTCAATGCATAAATACAAAGATCAACCACGCCAATCATATAATAGAGCAACAAGGTACACAAGAAAGAAACAAAAGAATAGGGCCTACATATCACAATCACAGCTCCTAAACATAACACACACTGAGCAGCGGAAAAATAAAATTAAAGGTAGTTGTTTAAGCGTTTTACAAATTCTGGCGAGCTGCAAGAATTAACAATTTCCTCGGGTAACTTGTTCCACTCATTCACCGTTCGCGGAAAAAATGAGTACTTAAAAGCATCTATTCTGCAGCTAAACTCGGCGAAGGCTCTGATATTTCGATTTCTGGAAGGACATCTAGGAACCCCAAGTGGTGTTATGTACAAAGTTTTACAAATTATTATTATACAAATTACAAATAGCTCTAAGACAAGAACAGACGAAGAAGTGGACAGGACAGGCGCTAGATTAAATTAAATTACAAATAGCGCCTATCCTGTCCACTTCTTCGTCTGTCCTTGTCTTAGCGCTATTTGTAATTTAGCAGTAGAGACAAAACACAAAACAGTTTACACACAAAAAAAAGAGTATATGTAATATTCATTTAAAAAAAAAATAAAACCAATGAAAATGGCCACACGTCATGCAATTACATTGGAGGCTCAACAAAAAATGAAAGCAAATATTTATCATAGACAAAATTTCTGTGTTTAATTCCCTCTAACAATTTAAAAGACGGGGAAGAGTACTTGCAACATCTGATTTCCATAATTTGTTCTGGAATGCGGCATTAAAGGGGCCCTCCGGAGCTTTCTGCGATCGTCTGTTTATGTTGTTATATTGCTAGTAGGTGCAAGTTAATATGTATACAAAGTTTTAGATTACAAAACCGTGTATTAAGCAGATGGCAAAAGAAATATATCGGGACTATTTTCTCTTGGAAGACAATCCCCCATTCCCTGCCCATCGCTAAAACTTGACCAATGGAAATTCTGCATCTCGCGGTGAATGCGAACGTTATTAATGCAACACTTTTTAAGCTTGTTGTAAATTAGATTTTGAGAAAAACGTAAACTGATTGTGGTGCGGAAAACATAGTCGGCAATTATCGCTCCAAAACAAGCGAACTATGTTTTCTCCCCGCAAGCTTGTTGCTAGGGGGTGATGTGTCGGCTCGTCTGCTTCCCGGGATGTCTGCAGGCGTGCGTTTGCGGGACACATTTTCCTTCTTCCCGTGGATCCCGATTCCGAAGCCAGCTTTGCGATCCTTCCATGTCAACAAGTCAAACTTTTCCTTGTCATCTGTGGGATGCAACTGCGTATTGCAGTAGCAGCGCGACGGTGCGGTGCGACAAACGACGACTGCCGAGCACAAAGTCCGGGTTCCTTGACGACGATCCGCGCGTGTTCGAGAGATTCCTCCGCAGGTCGGCGGTCGGCCGCGTTGGTGACGCGCAGTGACGCCGGAATCCTTCGCTTGCTACTGGCTGACGCATAAAGAGATGCCCCTCCCGTTTCCCGGGATCATCTCAGAAAGGGGGGCGTGCCGGGGACTTTGATAGCAATTTTAGTAGGGAAATCCGCCACGCATGACCCTAATTTTATGATTTTTAGGATCCTTAGGGCCTGTAGATTAGTTACCGCCATAAATAGACCATCGCAGAACGCTCCGGAGGGCCCCTTTAACCATGTATCTGCGCTGCGTGTATCATAAACCGTTTCTCTAAATGTAAGCTGGGAAATAGACAGGAATATGTTTTCTTTGTGATGAAAATACTTTTTATAGGTGATGCAAAGTTTATAGTTGTAGTAATTTGAAATCTGTACAATATAAAGATTTTTAAACAATGGTTTCTTATGAGCATTGTATGCAGTATGCAGTGATGTGATTGCTGCGCCAATTGCGCCAAACTGCGCCAAGGGGCCAACCCTGCTACATCCTACTACATTTTGCCAAAATATGGGCAATCTGCGCCAAGCCTGCGCCAAAGTACCAGTTTTGGTCGCCTTTCAAAACCGAAACTAAACTGAGTACCGTAATTCAGCAGGCCTGTGTTATGTGGTGCAAACGGCCGCCTGGCACAAAGTAACGTGCATCAATTGTCCACCCGGTCTTGCAAGGTTTTCCCGGCGTCTCGCGTTTCACGCTCTGGTCTTGTGGGTCTCGTTTCTCGTCTCTTTCTTTTTTTTTTTATATTTTCTGCGATAGACGCGGATGTGTGCAGACACTCCGACGCTAGCGTGCCGGTACCATGCCGTCATGCTGTGAAACGAAACCACGTTTTTGCGCGGCAGGAGTTACTTTGTGAGGTGAAGCAACGGCCGCGGGAAAACTATATTTGGTCGCTGCCTTTCAGTTACCGTTGTCGCGCGACGTCGAATGTTGTTGTCGCCACATCACTGCAGATATGGTACTTTCTAAAATGAAACTAAGTACCGCCGCATGTTCATCAACATTCCTGTTCTTGTTTAAATCATACGTTACTACAAAAATCCATTTTTAATTCAAAGACTGCTCTGTCAAAGTATTGATTACCTAGGTTTCTCTCGGTGGGCTTTCATTCGAGAGGAACCTCGGTACGTGAAAAATCTGCTGTGAAATAAAGTTGGTGAAGTGAGCTAAAGCAAAGAAGGCAATGTCTGCACGCTGAACCCGCACACCGGGCTTGTTTGTCTTGAGTTCAGTCGTTGCGCAAAGCGCTCCAAGAACGTTTTGAGGCTGGCTCGTGATGTCTTGCATCGATGCGCTCAGGTTCTTTATTTTTGTGTGTTTAGCTTGTACGTACCTTGTTTGCCGGCCTGGCAAGCATGCGCCACTGGGCTGATTTTGTCGCATGCTCGAAAGTTACATTTTGTGTACAATTTTGGAGATAAGTTAGCAGCGGAGCTGAGGGGCATGGTTTCGGTTTCGATCGGACAGCCGTTGTCTGCGCTCGCGCGACGAAGCATGCCCAACAGCAACTCTGCCGAAGTTGGCCTCACGTGCATGCGAACATGGTTGCGTGGCTGAGGCACCAGCTGGGACGCTTGCAATTCATTGTTTTACGTTTGCTTACTTTTGACGAAAATCTGGCACGTCGGGAACCAGTAAAACGGTGGAATGCGTTTTTCGAAATTGCTTGGCAATGCCTACAGCACTGTACACTTGTGGGATGTCTGAGCAAGTAAAAACAGAAGCAGCAAGTTCCGTCACAACACGTCACATCAGAACACAACACAGCACAAAGTGCCCTTCGTTTGTACAGCACTTAAAACAAATATTTTTATTTTCCTAAGAATATCTGCTCCAAAATTCACTTTAGCTGCTCCGAAACACTGTCTTGGATACTCCAAAAGCCGCTTCTGCTGCTCCAAAACACTGTTTTGGTTGCTCCAAAGGCCACATTTGCTGCTCCAAAACACTGTTTTGGTTGCTCCGAAACGTGCGCCAAAATGGCTTAGGCCAATCACATCACTGAGTATGGTATATAACACGGGTGGCCAGGCTGACCTGGCCTGAGAGCCGCAATTGAAACCCCGAAACTTCCAAGGACGGCAGGGAGGGGGGAGGGGGGAGCCGCACGCCACACTTTAACACGCGAAGAGCCGCATGCGGCTCAAGAGCTGCAGCTTGGCCACCCCTGGTATATAATACAGACAACTTTCTTTTTTTGCAGAATTTGTATCTGCTTAAGATTTCTGGATAGGGTATTTCCCCTAACCAAAAAGCAGTAATTATAATGCATGTAAGATAGAGAATGATATATAAGAAGCATTGCTATTGGGGGTATATGACAATATTTGTACATAACACCTATGACCTTTAAGAGATTTTGACACGTCTTGCCTTGCTGTACGTATTTGCCTTATCTTTCGACTTTGGCTTAGCATTGTGAAAGCCACGAGAGGGAGATTAGAGTTTTCCCTCTCTGATGAAAACAAATACAACTTTCGGGGATTAGGTTCCCCCCTCCGATGGATACAAAGGCTGCTTTCAGGGGTTCAGTTCCCCCTCCGATGAATACAAAGGTCACTTTCTTAAAAAGTGGGGTCGGAGGAAAGTTGGCATCACTCTGTAGCCAATATCTATCCATTGAAGCAGAACAAGGGGCGTTTCCAGTGAACTCTTCTTTCGACTGCGGAGGGATTTGAAACGGGCACATGAGGCTTGAATACATCAAGCCTGTTGTATTCAAGCATCAGGCGCTTCTCCTACCTTCTTGACTTGTAACCGACTATAGCTAGGGAATTAAACCTGCCGTGTTATTGATGCCATCAAAAGGTTTCACAAAATCGGGAGGGCAAAGTAGACATAAACATAAATCTTAAGATATTCTCATTGGTACGAACGGAAATGAAATTTGTGCTTATGCTACAAAAGTACTTTTTGTGACTCTAGAATAGACCTTTGGGTGCTTCAAAAGATGCTCCAAAATAACTGAGACCAATCACATCATGGCAATACTTTTATTTATTTATTTATTTATTTATTTATTTATTGATTTACATATACCCCAAGCAGGGAAGGGTTACAAAAGGAGTTTAGTCAATAGATGTTCGAATTGGTTGACATCAGTACATTCCACAAGCAATGACGGCAAGCAGTTCCATTGTTCAATTGTGTTAGGGAAAAATTACTTCTGAAAAAGGTTAGTTCTGGCATAGTATGGGCATATGACTTTGGAGTGATTTAGTCGAGCTGACCTTTGTTTTACATGGCTTTATTCTCACCACAGATACGCATAAAGTGTCTTTGGTGAGAGTTTCTACTCTCTTTGAATCGTGCATATTCTGAAGCGAGATTTTCGATTGCACATTGCATCCGAGGACCAAACGCCCGCCCTTTTCGTCCCCCAGGTGGATCGTCCTGGACGGCCAAGAACTCCGACTTCGACCAATACCTCACGGTGGAGTTCAAGTCTGAGATGAGCATCACATCCATTGTGACCATGGGCAAGCAGTACAGCCCCGAGTTTGTGCAGGAGTACAAGATCTACTACGGCTTCAACGGTGGAGACTTCACAGAGTACAAGGACCGGGAAGGCAACAGCAAGGTGAGCACGCCTGTCTCCCTCTTGGTTAGCTGTACCGGAAACCCGGGGTCTGAGTTGGCATGGTAGCTGGCTTGTGCACGAATGGGAGGCGGGGATTTAAAATAGCTTCGTAGATATACAGCATGCCTAGAAATATTGAGCGCCTCTGAAGAGCGCACACGGACAGAGTTTAATTGACGTTTAGAAGCAACATGTGTCATACTCGGAAGTGCTTTCGAGGAGAAGGGCAAATACTCCTATTTTGGGAGGGCTTTCTTGGGGCTTACAGCTGTTTGGCTCCCACCTCTTCAGTTTTTTTATTCTATCTGGAAATGTTGACAGTGTCGGGGCAACTGAACAATACATTGGGAATGTCGTTGGGGCAACCTTCGCAAGGGAATGTTTATTGCACGGTTTTGCCAACTTAGGTTTAGAATACCCCGATGCAGCTTCTGAGCACATTCTTTTTTTTAAAGAGCAAGTCTTTCCAGTTGACAAGGTATCGAAGAAAACTGAGCAAGCATCTTGTTGTCTTTTGCAAGACGTCAGGAGGTCGCAGTTACGGGGTTTTATTTCCGCACAGAGCAAGCCCAAAGTTTTATGTTCATGGTTTTGTGTTTTTTTATTTACGTTAGAATGCATATTCCTGACAAAAGGTGCAGTCTCTTGTAGGTCTACAAGCTGTTTAGGGGCACCCCAAAACTGATAAATAAATGTATAAAGGTGTTCTTTTTTTTAAGGGGGAGGGCAGGGGCAGGGGAGGGACAGGGAACACAAAGGCTTGTGCACAGAGCGGAAGTGACCCCCTCCCAATGTTCCTCGTGTACCCTGCAGCTGTTCATGGGCAACCGTAATGGGGACACGGAGATGAGCAACAAGTTCACGCCGCCCATCGTGGCCCAGTACATCCGCATCAACCCGACCAAGTGGAGGGACCGCATCTCCCTCCGCCTGGAGCTCTACGGCTGTGAATACGGTGAGGGCCCTTTTTCTTGGTCGAGTGTGCAGCTTCAGGGAGGGAAATCCCAGAGGTGCAGATTATTCGGGGGGGTCACATCCCATTAAAACGAGACTCTTGGCCGAGTAGCACATAATATTGTCGGAGAAAAGCATTTTCAATGGACGCTTTTCAAAAGTGTGCGCCATCTAGTAGCCGATGTGCCAATTATCCAAGTCCACCATCATTCGGGCATATGCTCCGAGCTTGTATCGAACACGAGCGGTGCGTCGGCGTTCGGCGAGGACTTTGATCTGATCACATGGAGTCCGATCCTTACTTATCAATGGCAACCGCACGTTGCTCAATGGCCTTTCGAAGAAGGTCTATCGAGTGTTAAGGGGACTGGAGGGATGGTTTTTTGGTGTGGTTCCTGGGACCGAGAAATGGATGGACACAAGCGCGAGACAGATGGGATCTTTCCTTTTGTTGCCATGCCTCACACTGGTAGCAGCAAAGGCGTAGAAGCACCTGGGACACCAGGTTCTCCGTTTGTCATTCTTGCTAGCTGGTGTGAGCATTGCTGATGCAAACTCTAGGATGAGCTTATGCCTTTTTCGTGTGTCCCAGCGGAGTGGTCACATTCCATGGCTCTCCTTGTATCTGCAGGTTCCGTTTCATTTGAGGAGAGGGGCAAACTATAAAAGGTTAAAAAGCACTTGCTTTCAACCGCTAACCATTGTAATCATCCAACACCCTTCTGGAGGGAAGGGTGTTGGATGATTACAATGACAAAAATGTAAATGAAGGAAACTATGTGTGTAAAAACCAACTCTGAGGCTCTGAAACAAAGATTAATCAACCCTGCTCACTCAGTGTGCATAGCTTGATCTATTTAAATTTGTAAAACAGCCAGCAAAAAAAAAAAAAAAAAAAAAGTCTTAGTGCTTGGTTTGACTGACTCTGAGGCTTCGGGGACCCGGAAGGGCCCGACGCTCTCGCATCTGAGGACCGCCCAGTTAGGGGGTCTCGATGGTATGTTATTTGATGATTCGGCATTGATAAAAACTACTTCTGCACATACATAATGTGCATTTCATGCTATGCACGTGAGGTAGTGCACTAGCATACTTATCAATTCTATAAAACTGGACGGTGAATGCTTCCAAAACTTTTTTTGTTGCTTTATTTGAGACTTTCTTGGTTAGTGTGACACCTAAAGAATCTGCTGCATATTTACTTGATCATTGTATTAAATAACCAATGGCCAGAAAATGACTTCTTCACTGTTTGAGCATATTACTTGGCCGAATTGCATACATGCCTACCTTTTGGTCCAGCACTTGCTGTACCTCTACAAATCAAATGACTCAGTTTTTTTTTATTTTCTCGCACACCTTATGTTGGATTAGCCATCCTCTTGCATAGGGGAAATCATTTTGATGAGCAAGAACTGATAAGCCATTTCAATACCTAAAAAAATGGGGACATTTTCATAGTCCAGCCGCTTTTTCGTCCACTCAAACATGTCGAGCCCACCCGAAAAAAGGGCCCAATAATTGAATGTCTGAGGGCATGATCGATGCGCAACTAAAAGGAAGACACGTCTCGGTAGTAGACATGTCACAGTAAAACTCGGGAATCCATTTATTTTCGCCATTAAATGGCTTTTCTTGTGCATCACACTTGCCTGTATTACTGCCGGGTACATTAACCTGCCTATGCTCCTCAAAAAAAAAAAAGAAAAAAAAAGGGAAGATCGTGAAGTTGCCAAGTGTACTTCTCTGTCTCGCGCAGACATGGTTTCATTCTTTTTACGTAGTCATGTGTTTGGGCCTTGAAATGTTATCTATTTTATTGCTTGGCTGTTGCAGTGATCGTTGCAGCTTAAGGGCTCGCTCAGTACCCCGTGCTTCATGCTGCTGTTCTTGTAGGAAAGCTAAGCTATGGTCACTGACAGCGTAACAAACGCAGGGCATGCCCAGTTCTTGTTTTCCACCTGCAACCAATGAGATTGCGGCATTAGTGGGCAAGAATGCCGAAGAACCAATCGGAAAGCAAGAAGCGTGAGCATGGTTTGCCACACCCTGTGCTTTCTAAGCTGCCAGTGACCATATTAGAACCAAGTTAGCTAAGGATCAAGAATAAAGCGAAGGGTATTACCATATTTGCACGAATATAACATAAGTTTTTTTTAAGATTACGTGTTCTAAAACGCACCTCGCATTATATTACTTCAAAAGAGGACCAGCTAGCGATGTTCTTCACCGCCAAGACACAGAAGCCAGCATGCCCGTTTCGTGTAGTAGTTACTGAGGAAGGAAGCTGGCAGGGGAACATGTCTCGATTTCTTCTGCGCCATCTGTCTATCCTCAAATGGGTGATCCTTTTCTAATTCCCAACTCTGAAGAGGTAATCAAGCATTTAAAAGAAAATCCCACGGGTGTGAGATTTGGGTTTTCGCTGGACATAGAAGATTTTTTTTATTCTATTCCCCATGATAAACTATATGCAGCAGTAAGCGATTGCATTGACGCTAATGGGAGGGTTAATTTTCAAAACAACTGTAGAACATCAGTAGAGTCCTTTTTAGAAATTTTGAGATTCTAGCTCTGTTCCACTGCAGTCTTCTTCAGTAAAAATTCCTACTTACAAAAGAGAGGAATCTGCATAGGTTCCTGCATTGCACCTGTTTTATGCAACATTTATCTGTCACATTGTGATCAGGCTATTACTAGGTCTTTATCAACCAACCAAGTCTCCTGCATCTTTTGATATGTCGACGATTACCTGGTCCTCCTCTCTATTCGTCCCGATAATTGTGACAGTCTTCCTATCGACAGTATGCGTACCACATTTCTGGAACAAGCCGGTCAGCTCAACTTTACCATTGAGGTACCAACGGACGGCATCATACAGTTTTTAGACCTGCAGATTACTTTCAACAAGAACCAGACCTGCTGGATGTACCACTCACGTTCTAAAAAACGGCTATTGCACTATGACTCATCCCATTCTAAACTTGTTAAGTGAGGCATAGTGTCCAATTGTTTGGGCATGGTGTTAAACAAATCATGTGAGCACACAGCAAAATCAAGCTTTGAATCACAAGTGACTCGTTTGAAAGCTTCGGGTTACTTCTTTTCAGTTCTGACTGACATCGCCGAAAAATTATTGACAAAGAACAACAGAAGAGAAAAATCAAAAGAGAAGAGACTCCTTCCGGCTGTGGCGCCTTACATCCACAAGATTTCACACAACATGAAGAAGAAAGCATCTATGTTTGATGTCCAAGCTGTAATATTGGCACCGGATAAATTAAAACGAATGTGCCCAAAGATCAACAATGTCAAAATGTCAAACAACAACATTATGAGTGTGACATAAACCACAAGCACCGGTATGTTGACTGCAACAGCGGAGTGGTGTATGAAATCCCCTTCACATGTGGGAAAGTGTATATAAAACACACTGGACGCTGCATAAATACACGACTGAGAGAACATGCTCTGACTTTGAAGTCAACACCTTTTGGACATTTAGCAATGCACGTGCGAGTTTGCTCCTGCACACCTTCGCCTTCGGACACAAAAGTGATCAGACGTTTCCAAGACAAGAGGATCAGGGAAATTTTTGATGCAAAGACCATAGAAGCCAATGGAGAGAAATGCGTCTCCACACCATCTTTGGCATTGACTGAGAAAGAGGTTCAGTATTTGAGCCATTATACATGACAATCTTCGGGATTACGTTTACACAAGAGGTCGTGAGGTGGGGCATCGGGTGGGTCCTCGCTCTCGCACCGGTGTAGCTTTGGCTGTGGTGCCCATTGGGTGTAAAACGGATTATAGGCTGTACAAGGCACTGATTGGTGACTTATGAGCTATCACTTATTAGTTTTTCAACCTTATTTTCATCTTTCACAATCTAGAGGTCATTTTCTATCCTTTCAAAAATGTTATCATATATAGCTCAAATTCATTACCTTTGTTTAATTTTAATATTTTCGTTTTGGTCTACTGTTAGTTTTATTAGTCTAACAAGCTACTTTCTTAGAATACCCCAGCTAGAAATAGAATTATTTCTTCTTTTTTCAACACCAGGCACTTCCTTCACCTTCTTCTTTCTCATTGTATATAAAACCGTCAGTTGTGAGTTAGCGCCTGTCCTGTCCACTTCTTCGTCTGTCTTTGTCTTAGCGCTATTTGTCATTTAAAGTCTTCATTACTTTACCAAATCGGTAGAATTTGCCAGAATTTACTTCTTGAATATCTGAAAGCTAAATCTGCCTGCGCGTTAGAATCAGGGATGAGTTAGAATCGTGCAGACACGGTACTGTAAAATCCCGTAAAGGCGCCCTCTCCCGAGGGATCGCCCATCTCGTTTTTCTGGCAAAATATCTGTTACATAAAAATTTCGAAACATCGCCCACCCCCTGATTCTCGTTGGATGTCAAGCTATGTCTGGCGGGAAACGCGCATCAATGGCTCGCTCTGCAGCACCAGTATGCAAAACATCGGCTCCCGTAACACACAAATTGCTCCCGCGTGTATATTGCATCGTGAAATGCAGATCTGCAGTGTTCGCGATCTGTGGTTTTTGTTTCCTTGACTTGCGAGTTTGTATCAGATTCCTGCGTTTTTTTCCGCGATCTGCGTGCGCGATATCGGTTTCCGTGACAGGCAAGATTGTAGCGGGTCCCCGCATGTTTATTTCACCACAAAATGCGAATCTCCCTCATCCACAACCTGCAATATCCTTTCCCGCGACACAGGAGTTTGTAGCGAATTCCCGGTTGCGATCTGCAATATCAGTTCCCGTGTCATGTGGTTTATAGCGGGTGCACGGGTGCTTGTATCATTAATTTTCGATTAAGTTTTGCTGTGTGATCCCAGAAAATAGCCCACCCCATGTTTTTCACCCTTTATCTCTTCATTTTGGGTGGGCGTTCTTACGGGATTTTGCAGTATTCAGAAGGTATTCGAAAAATATTCGAAAGTTTTGAAAACTATTATTCGATTCGATTAACTTATCAAATAGGCTAATATTCGATTTGGTAATTGAAAATTGTGAATATTCGCACACCTTTAGTTACTATTAATTTCTACATTTTGGCATGCCCTGAGCTGCTGTTCTCAAAACAGTCACTGTTTATGTCGAGGTTGTTGTTATTCATTTACGGTGTGCCATCCTCCAGCTGCTTTTCTATAAAGTATATTTTTTAGTAATGCACATTGTTGTTAGACCAACTCGGTTGTGGAACTCTGCTCCAAAGGGGGCAGAGTTCCATTACCGAGTTGCGTCACCCGCGAGGTGCGTCACCCGCAAGGGAGTGCACGCTGCTGTACACCAGGACACGTCATTGTCGTCGACTGCATTCCGTCGCACGTCTGATGGTGATAAATGTCTTTCAAACTATTTTAGACTGCTGTCTCAAGTGCAGACCAGCACAATTCAAGAGCTCATCTGCTCCTGTGACAAAATCGGTGTCCCTTTGTGTGCTACATGTCTACATAAAATTAACCAAATCGTCCCCTGTACCCAAAAGAACAACAACAGTGCATTTTCTTTTTTATTTTAAGTGCGAGGCGGATGTTTTTTGCCGTTTATCGAAAAAGCCTTCAGCATACTCTGTTTCACTATAAGTGCGAGCAAAGCCAATGCTGTAAGCATGAGCATGTTGTCTCGACCAATGCTTTAACTCGACGAGTGCGTGTGTCATAGTCTCGCTCTCGTCCCTTCTTCACTCCCGCCTACGATTAGACGCAGTATAGTGGATGAAGATACTTTATTTTCCAGGAGCTCAACCGCTAAAAGAAGTCGGACATGACTCTCAACCTCCCATCTACGAAAAATCTCAGTTTTAGAAGTGCACAATTTCACGGTTTGTGCTGGTCTTTCTGATGCATCCGATTGCTGCGGCGTTTCAGAGGCGGAGCCACTGCACTTAGACGGGAAGAGCTACGTGTCGATGGACCTGAGCCGGCGGCCCATCACATCGACGGAGGACTCTCTGCGACTCCGCTTCCGCACCAACCAGGCGGACGGGCTGCTGCTGTACAGCCGTGGGGCACAGAGGGACCTGCTGGCTCTTCAGCTGGTCCACAACAAGCTGCTCTTCAGTGCCGACCTGGGTACGAACCTCAGGCCCCTCGTCATGTGACGTGTTGTCACATCGCACCGTCATTTAACGCAACTTTATAAGAACCAATAACGTCGCGCATGCAGTGACAACGCATAACGCCAAGTCGCACCATGGCATTTCGTGACCTGGCATGGTCCGATGCGTGTTATGAGACGCATCGTGGCATTAATCGCGTGACCCATGGTGGCGTTTTGCAGTGCTAAATCTAGCCAACAATTTTTCTTCTGTCGGCGTGGCGTAGCTACGCAGATCTGAACCTCGCTTCCTCGAAAAAATTTTAATGCGTCGGACTAGACCGTTGAAAGATGTTTATTCACTCTCTCCTCAAAAATATATTGTGCGTAAAATTGTGAGCCATTCTGCTCCATGAAGGTGGTTGGCCAGCAACGCTGTAGAGCACCACCACACATGTTTCCCTAAAAGACACAAACAAGCACTTCTTTAAATGCTTATTTACAGTATATATTGCAAACAACTTATTTTTCGCGGGCTCAATATTTCGCGATTTAGGTCAGAGCTGAAGTTTTGGAATAATTTGCGGGTTCTCATTTTCACGACACGGTGGGATCTCCATATAGATTCCAATGTGTTTACATTTTACCGGTATTGTTCGTAGGATAAATTTTTCGCGAATGGTAGGCGATTCACGAAATATTGCGAAAATTAAGTCGTTTACAGTATACATCATTTTGAAATGGTAGTGATAATTGTTTTGTGATCACTATGATATACACTAATAGGTTGTATTACAACTTTGGTGAGATTCTTTGCTAAAGTTAAATCTATACATATAGTGCTTTAGATATATAAAAGCTGCTGCTCTTATATATGTAAAGCAGTGGCGTCACTTGACTTGAGCAGGAGAAGGCTCCTTGTTGTAAGTTGTATCTCTTTTATTGCATGTTTCAACGTTTTTCTTTATCAAAATGTATATCGAGGTGACTGGTCGTATATGCATTTCCACAATGGAGCACTTTTACATGCAATTTAGTTTCTGCACACGGATACCAAAAATGCATGAAACCCTAGCCATATACAGCTTCACTGTAAAGCGGTCCGCGTCAAAGCTCTCTCCTTTCTCCCACGGACAGGCGGCGAGGGCGTGGTGACGGAGGTGACTTGCGGCAGCCTGCTGGACGACAACATTTGGCACGACGTGCACATATCCCGCTTCCGTAGGGAGCTCGTCTTCTCCGTGGACCGGGTCGTGGTGCGCCGGGTCCTCCGAGGGGACTCCTTCCAGCTGGACCTCAACAACGAGGTTCGTCTTCCACCGCGACGGACTGTGGGCCACGAATTCCAACCGCGAGCGACGTTGGGAACCACGGGCGCACGGGGCACCCGGACACATGCGTCGACGAAAACGTCGTAAAGGCATACCGCGGAGTTTCTGATTTTCTCGGGACCGAGGCTGGCGATCCTAGGCCTTGGCCGCGGTTGCTGGGATGCGCCCACCGGCGCTGATTTACTCGAGTTTTTAATGGTGTAGAAGGTGGAAGAGTGCAAGTTTTTTTCGGGGTCCCCTGACGTCACCGTCGGAGGCTGCCGTTTGGTGGCGTAAACGCGAAAACTATTGAGCAGTTCACTGGGTGCATTCCTACTATTGCCTACAGCAATGTGCAGTGAAATCTTTATTTTTATATCTACGGAAGCAATTATTGTATTTTCCAGACTATTAGTCGCACCCTCGTATAAGTCGCACTTCCGTATATTGAGCCGTTTTTGCAGAAAAGTTAATATACAAGTCTCACCTCTTTGCATGGTTCATGCAAATAATTTTTTTCTTTTTACGCGCACTGGTATATTGAATACGGTGTTTCGCACAATCGGCTAGTTCACAGGTACTGTTTGATGCGCAACAACTTTGAAGTTTCGACTCGCGAGAAAAGCTCAAGGCACGGCGCTGTCTGGCGGGCGCAATTGAGTGTTTCGCAGCAAAGGGATGTAAATCGTGCAAAATGAGAATGTAGTCTGTTTTATTTCAGTGTACACATGGTAAGCGAACGAAAAATTAATGTGCCGGTCACTCGTTAAGCAAGCTTTGAACCTCTAGGCCTAGCCTAGGCCAAGTCACGGATACAACATGAGCATCAACACATAGGCAGAAAAATAGATCTTTACAGACCTCTTTCGGTACTGCTAAAAAATTGAATATCCGCAGTCCTTCCTTTTACATGTAGCAACACTGCTGGAGCGCAACAGAAGGAAACTGCTCATCAAACGAAAACTAAGGAAGACGCAAGAAAATTTTCCGCAGCGCGTGTATGCCAGCCCACTAACCTTTAAGTGTTACTGGACTGAAGCAGAAGTATTCGGAACCATGGCCGAATTAGGCAACGTCGATCAAATGCTGTCAAAGTTTTATTCTCACTGCCTTGCCAATCCACATTGTACTGCTTCAAAAAAAACTCGCATTCCTCGCTTTCCGAGTCAGTCATAAAAAGTGTAGAAGACTGTGGCAACAGCAGTGCCTCCTGGAAGGGGCAAAACCACCTATGGCTATGTAGTTATGGTGCTTTATGCAAGGTGGCGCACGGCGCGTCAAAATATAACGTCGCACCGCAAAAATAAAATTAAAAAAAAAAAAAAAGAAAACTGCATATAACTTGCATTGTTGTATAAAATGCACAAAGAAAAATTTTGAAGAAAACCGCCACTTATACACTGAAAAATATAATATGGGCTCTATTTTTTTCAGTTTTTAAAATTTGTTTGGACCCTTGTTATGTTTTTAATGGTACAATGTTGGTGTTTTTAATTGGGGAGACTATTTAGCTCCTTTATATAATTTTACGTTAACCTGTATCGTTTAATTAGCATCTCCTTTTTCATTATCGGGTTGCAACTTCCACTCTCGTAATGGCCCCCGAGGGCAGATGGTAGAAACGAATGGGCGTCCGTCGCCCTCCTCTTGCAGCTGTTCATCGGGGGCCTGCCCAATTTCAACCAGGAGGGCATCAAAGTGGCGGCCAACTTTTCGGGCTGCCTGGAGAACCTGTTCCTCAACGACACCAACGTCATCCACGAGCTCAGGCACCAGGACGACCGCTCCCTCGTCTACACCCGCTTCGGGCAGGTCCTCTACAACTGCAGGGTGAGCCACATTCCCTCGGGCAAAGTTCGGAACATGGCCAATACGATAGCAGGCGGCAAAAATGGGGGTGGAGAGCGGAGAATCGCGAACACTCTCATCAGTGATCCCTGAAGAAAGAATGAGAGTGAGGGTGGCGGAAGAGCAGGAAATGAAAGTAGATGAAAGGTCGGACTCGTTCACTTTGACGGAACACTTTGAAGTTGTTTAATTGCTCGACAATTTGCGATTTACTGCAACGCCCGCCACCGGTGTTTCTTACAAAATGATAAGAAAGACTGGTGACGAACGTGGAGTTGATAGTTTGCTGCATCTCATCGTTTATCGAAGTCTTGCCAGCCTAGCCATTCCGAGACGGCCGAAATACGCGGGATGGTGGCGGAATATTTTGCTCCGAATATTATAAACACTGCGGTGCTTTTAAAGGACATACCTGAGATACGAATGCACTGGCTTTACACACAGATTAACACCGGGGAATTTCTCTTCGTGCTCATCAAAGTAAACTTTGCTGTATGAACTAGGACTTTATCGCTTTGACTAGCGAGTGGAGAAAGTTTCAGCTTTTTGGCTTGCTTTTGACATCTCTTATGCCATGGGGGAAATGTTGCTGGCCATAGGATGGATACCAATGGGAAAGGGTTTAACCACTAAGAATCTGTTAGATTAACTTTTCATGCACGTTTACTCAACTTTGGTGATCCTTCTCTCTGGAAAAGTAAAGCAACCGCCGAATTCACGAACCTTACTTCAATTAAGGCGCCCCTCCACTACTTCCTGAAGGAAGGCACGAGGGCCGCCGGCGCTGGCCAATTGCGTAGACGGATAAGCAGCCTAGGTTGCTTATTTGTCTTCGCGATTGGCCAGCGCCGGCCCTCGCGCCTTCTTTGAGGAAGTGGAGGGGCGCCTCAAGTGGAGTGAGGTTTGTGAATTCAGCGTAAGCATAGTAGTGCAGGAAAGAGGTAGCTTAGCATACCTTTTGCTCACCTTCTGTATTTTTTTTTGTATGGAATGGGGGTTGTCTTTTGATTGAGTAATCCAGTGGTCCAAATTGAGAATTTTGGAGGTTAAAATTTTTTTATTGACAAAGTGTTAAAAAAATGGCTAAGTCTAGCAAGTGAGTTAATTGCACGATCAACAGGGCCAGTCTGGAGGTATGAACACGCACTTCAATGGAAGAATTGAACAGATACACATCAGTGTATGTGGTCAGTTCTCCCTTTCATACTCTGGTTTATATGTTCCAGCTTATCTAAAAACGGAATGTCTGAGGTCCACGACCAGACATTAAGGATTTAAAGGTTCTGTCAGGATTTAAGTGAGTGCTACACTATTACCATAAAGGCCTGTTTGCACATATACAATGCTGCGCTAATTGAGTACTCGAAGGTGCTCTGACCTTAGCGCCGTTTTCATGGTCTACCTGTGCACTGTGGTGGTACAGCACTGCATCACTGGTATTTATATTGAAGACTGCTGCATTAGCACTGGTTTTATACCGTTTGTTAGGGGTGTGCACATAGCGATCTTTGAAATCGAATGGAGTACAAATTGAATAGTAGTGGCACCAAGTCAAGTATGAACTGAATAACTTGTTGCATCACTTATTCTGAGCGCGGGCGGCTGAGCAGCTGGTCATTGATTTATAGATGGAAGCATTAATATGTTACACTGTCTGAAAGCATGCAAGAGTAGTTTTGTGCGAAAGTGCACAGTTAAGCCTAGGTGTTGTCGAGAGCTTAGGGACATTTTACGGCATATGACAGGTGTGCGGCGTGGCACCCGTGAAGGGTAACTCATTGCCAAAACTATTTGGAAATTATTTGAAAAATATTCTCAACTGAAAAATTGTCGTTTGATTCAAATAGCAAATCGAATGGGGCGGTATTCAATTTATTATTACAAAAGTATGAATATTTGCGCACGCCTAGTGTTTGTTGAGTGCCGAGGTAGCATGCAACGTATCTGCGGCAAAGACTGACAAAATCTTAGCAAGGTCTTCGCATCTACCCTTTGCTTGTCCGTTGTTAATCCGGCGACTCTCTCCTCCGCAGTTTGAGCAAGTGGTCCCCATCACGTTTGTCAGCTCCGAGGCGGTGCTGAAGGTGGGCGGCTACATGCAGCGCGTCATGAACTGCAGCTTCGACTTCCGCACCTTCAACGAGCAGGGGCTGCTGCTCTACAACAAGTTTTCCGTCGAGGGATACGTCAAGGTGACCCGTGTGTCTTGATCGCGACCTCTAATTTTACGGTGGCTCGTTACAAGGAAGGCCCTGTAGGATTCGGGATGCCTGCCAACAGAACCCCCAGAATCCCAAATGAATCTTAAGGGCATGTTCACATTTGTCTGCGGCCGAGCGCGTCGCAATCTTTTGTGATTGCTTGCAATTTGCATTTAATTCCTCTTTTTTTTTTGCTGCATCATTGGGTTTGCGTGAAAATCTTACGACGTAATAAGCAACAATTTCTTTCGGAGAGTGCTTAGGTTTTATCTTGCAAATATTTAAAAACTTTTGGTCTATATTCTGTTTCACCTTAAAGGGTAACTGCAAAGAAAAAAAAGTTTTTTTTTAAACAGCCTAATTGGGACAAGCATGTCACAAAACAAATGTTCCGCGAAAAAAATGATTTTTTTTATCAATATTTACGCCACAGGACGTAATTTAGTAGAGTCAGAACCTCTCCACATTTGAAACTCCCGCTCTTTCGACCCCCGCGGAAGAGGAGTACGCCCCGCCCCTCACTCTCCTTGCGTTGCGGAGTTGAACGACGCAGCGTCTTGAGTTCCGACAAGATCTGGCAACTACGCCAGGCCGCGGTATTGTTTTGGTTTGACGCGGTTTGGGCGAGCACATGTAGCGAAGACGTGACCGGAGAAGTGCCCCTGTGATGTTCCCGGAAGACGGAAAGTATCGTTCGTAATCGTCGTGCGCGCTTTGAAAGCGAAGGGAGTCACAGAATCCACGAGTGCGCAACCACAAGCCAAGGTTCACGACAGCGCTGTGTTGGTTTCGGCGATCTCGTTCTGTTTGGTGCAACACGGCGATGCGACAGCTGAAACGTTCGTGGTGTGTGTAATGCGGTGCTATGTGTGTTATGCGGGGTTGACGTTCAACGGGTCGAGTCCCGTTGTCGTCAGCTGATCCAGTAAAACTGGCCCGGGAGGACGCAGCGAGCGTTTTTAAAAGTAAATCTTCCTGTGTTCTGTTTCAAAATGTGGAAGATTCCGGACGCATACCGTGAGTAAAAAGCTACGGGCGTTTTCAAATAAATTACGTCGTTTTAATTGAACAATGGACGCCGAATTGTTCTCCTAAATCTGCCGTTTTCATGCTTCGTGTTGTTGGACTGCGTTTGCACAGCGACGTGTTGCGCTCGTCGTGCGGTGTGAATAAATTTGGGCAAGATTTCATACCTGTCGACAGATGCATGAACTGAGACCACTTTTTACGTAGTGAACATGGTGTTTTTTTTATTTTGTGTGTCTAGTTGTGGACGTTAGGTGCACCCGGTGCGAATCTCGATGGCCTCCGGAGCGATATGACGAGAACGTAACTGGACACGTTTGTCGCTACGCGAACGCCCGATTGCCTCCAGCCAAATATCATTCCTTTCGGGGCGACATGGCTGCTAGAAGGCTCACTGTCGGGATATGGCATCTGACATCTCCGAAAAGTCAGCATTTGCACGCGCAAACAAGCAAAACAAACACAAAAAAAAGCACGCTAAGCAAGCAAAGAGGAAAACGAAAGAACCGCGCTATGAAAGCGAAAACCCTGCTTCGCTTCCTATCAGTAACACCTGCGACAGCTGCTAAACACACACTACTTCACTTCAAGAAGTCTCACTCAAGCACCTGGGTCAGCACGAAACACTGATCACTTCGGCGAAACGATTAGTCGAGGTAGGCGAGACAGGCGGCAGCAGAGACTTCGGCGGCCATGAAAGAATGGCGAAGCTTTTGTTTGTATGCATCCAAACGGAAGTGCCCGTCTTGTAAACCTTTTGTAAAGAATAATAACTCTCATCACATGGGTTATTCTTTAAACATAAAAATATGCCGCTCAAAAGGAAATTGCAACATATAGCAAAGGTTTAACGACCAAGATCTAAGCTGTCAATCAAACTCTTAGCCAATGAGAACCTATTGGGATTGACGTCACGTAATCACAACTTCGTTGCGCGCGATTTAAAACGGACGAAATAGCTGCAAACTAAAATGAGTCTCACGCAATAAATATTGCTGTAAAAAATGTTTTTTCTCGCGGAAAAATTGTTTTTTGACATGTTTGTCCCAATTAGGCTATTTAAAAAAAAACTTTTTTTTCTTTGCAGTTACCCTTTAAGTTGTCCCGCAGGAAAGGCTGTAAGCGCGAGCTCCTTGCTCTGGGGCAGGTCTTGGCGGCACAAGCTCTTGTGCCGTAAGGGCAGCTGTCAACGCTATGAGCTCGCACTTCCAGCCTTCGCTGCGGTACAACATAAGGTGAAACAGAGTATAGTTGCGTGCGGTTCCAGGGCTACCCGACTGGGGTAGTAGTGTGTTCCGCTGATCTGTATTGCGTTCTCTCGCCGCAAGCCGTCACAAGGGATCGCAACGCGCTCAGTCAAGAGTCAAACGCAAATGCGCGAATTGACCTTTAGTCCTTCGCTGGGGAGTAGATGTCCTTCCCCGATTTTGGGACGTGAACACCCCAGATGTACTTTAATGTGAAAACGTTGTAGGCCACTACACAGAAGTGAATCCATGTATGCGGCATGACAAAAATGTGGAACAAAAGCCTGCGAGGTTCATTTGTGGTATTGCAGGACGTGCGCATCAGTGTGTGCCCACCTGTTCTCGGTAGAGTAAGTACCGCAGGTGCAGTAGAACCTTACCGATATGTTTTTCAGAGACTGGTGATGAAAAAAAAGGTGTTCCGTAAAGATGTATCGACCGAAAGCATACGTATTTAGAGGCCAACAGATGGGAGAGGAAGCAACTCTATGCCACAATTTATTTCATGTGTACATTCACAACTGTGGAAAATTCCCGTATTATTCAAATACAGAAAATAAAATTTTTGCGGTACAATTATTTAAAATTGGGAGTTGATCTGTTGATCTGTAGTAACCAAAAAATGCCGACCTGTACGGGTGGCAAAAATTTCTGAAGCCATCAAGCGAATCCAGATGCTGCCCTGCGTCAGATGCTTGTCCTTGCACGCCGGTGCAAAGAGGTGAAGCTTGATGCGGGGTCCGGTGCAAAGCGGTAAATCTTAACATGCACGCACCACAAAGCGCGGTGGCGCGGTGCATGGTTAGGAACTCCGAACTTCACTGAACTAGTGCAACCAGGGGAATTAAAATGGCAAAAGGTTGTGCGTATGCCATGTAAAGAGAGATGAACAGGCTGTTGGAAAAGCCTTAATCTTTCCGAGCTCTGGGGTATACCCACAAGGGCTAGAGCAGGCAATCAGCATGGCGCAGAGGCAAAGAGGTGAAAAGAGGGGTAGCGAACAAAGCAAAGTGAAGAGGGCAGTCGTGGCTGGGGCTGTGCAACATATTTCACATGCCGTGTTGGATAGCCGTTTTTGGATGTGTAGCACTTTATAGGGCCAGCCAACATCGGGAGCCTCGTAAGCATGATATGGGTAGGTCAGTGAGGATGTAACATCTAAACGATTGTGTAGAAAAACGGCAACCGGCGTCAGGGTTAGAACCCCTGTCACCGGGGGGGAAGCCGAGTGTGCAGCTGACTGATGAGCTACAGATCCAGCACGCTGGAACAAGAGGAGCAGAAGCAGGTGGTGTGAGAATATGTGCTGAGTGGAGAAGGATGGAAAGGGCAAGAAAAAGAAAAGCAGAAGCGGGCGGTGTAAAAAAAGTGTGTAACGAGAAGGAATGAAAAAAGGGCAGGAAGGCTCGCTTCCCCTCCCATGGTGAGCCAGAAAATTCAGCGCAAAGGCTTTGCATCTGGGTAGTGCTGAAGGAAAGCGCATGCTGCATCACAAAGAGACAATGGTGTGATGTAATCTGTTTTCATGCCAAACCCTGCCCTAGGCACCACCCGAACTAAGAGCACCACCTACCCTACAAAGCTACCATATTGAAATGCATTTTAAAAAAATAACCAAACATGCAACCAATGTTTTTTTAATTTTTCCAGCTGGGAAAATGTACCGTATTTGCACGAATATAACGCGACCACAAATATAACGCGAGGGCAGGTTTTGATGCCCTCAAGAAGAAAAAAAATATATTATTACTATTATAACGCGAGCTGAGGTTGCGTCAATTTCTCGCACGTGGAGGCATAACAGAAGTGAAAAGTCAATGGAAAAAGAAGAAATATCAGTTTATGTATTGACTGCACTCATCCCGACTGCTCAAGTCCTTCGTTTACAATCCACTTGGCGACTACGCAGATAGGCAGCAGCTCGGCACCGCTTGTCTGGTAGTTCCTTTTTCTTCGGCGTGGGCTCCTCGGCAGAACACAATCCAAGCAAGGCACGAAACAGAAGCACCAACACACAAACACCAGACCACTTTGGAGCAGAAACTAAAAAATGCGCAGGCAGAGGAAATACCGCTGAACCCGCTGAACCCGATACACGATCACACTTCTTGTTATGGCCCCTCCTCATAAACAAACCTCGTGTTGCACGATTGCGTAAACGCAGTCGGTGGTCTTTTGGCTTCGCTTGTGTCGACTTGACTTGGCCTGGCTTGGCTTGAATTGGCCAGTGCCCGCATTCCCGCATGGCGCGCGCGCCTTGTTTTTCTGGCGGGAGTGCGCGGGTTGTACAAACACAAAAGCGATAAAAATGCTTTTTTATGTTTTCTATTCACCCCTTCACGTGGCCCAATAGCTAATAAATTTCTTTCCACACCCCAACTTTTTTTTTCTGCCGGGTCTTTTGCATAGAGCCGGAGGGATGGCTTTCTCCTCTGGCTTTCTCCAGACTCGCGCGCCTCGTGACTGTACTCGATTCCGAATATAACGCGAGGTGCGTTTTGGAGCACACAATTTCGAGAAAAAAAACTCGCGTTATATTCGTGCAAATACGGTACTAACCGAGACCATATCAATGAGGGTTCTGTTCTATTTGACCCATTTTAATGTGCAGAAGTGAGTTCTCTTGCTTAACCATATGTCAATTGCACTCTGGTTTTGGGTTGTTTCTGGGTGAGTGATATGATTGTGCAGGGTATCTAGCGACCAGGAATTGTCAGGGAAATTTTAATTACCGGGAAAAATCAGGGAATTGTCAGGAATATTCTCAAAAACCGAGCCCAGTAGGGAAAATTAGTTGGAAACGTCATTGAGTGCCCTGAGCAAAGACTTGAGGACTTGGGGCAGGAAAATAGGCAATAAATTCTGCTTAAAGCGGAGTGCAGGCTCTACTCACCCGATGTGAGTGTGCTACCCGATGCAAAGGGAACAGCCGACAAATCCAGTTAGAGCTACCAGATTTAGTAACATTGGATTGAGGGCACGACACTAGGCTAGATCCAGTTAGAGCTACTAGATTTAGTAACAGATGGGAAAGTCACAGACCCCAATCCAATCCGAGCCTCTAGCCAAAAGTATCCAAAAGTGCATCTGGCGGTCATGCTACCATTCGGTTATTGACGTGTGTGGTTGAGTGTCGTGTTTTCATTGTGTTTCCGGAAGTCGCCTCTTCACTGATGATGTCGGCGGCAAGAAAGTGCTTGTTTAACCCCTTCAGTGCCTTGGACGAGCTGAGCTCGTCGGCCACTCTCTGGATTAAAATGCCTTGGACGAGCTGAGCTCGTCGGCCACTCTCTGGATCAAAATGCCGTGGACGAGCTCCGCTCGTCCAGTGGTTTTTTCAGTAGCCCTCAATTCCGAGGACGAGCCAGGCTCGTCCGAGTAGTTTTGCGGCGCTGATCATAGATGGCAGCACTCGTTTTAGTTGGCAAATATTTTTTTCGCCTCCGCTGATTTTTGCGTAATAAACTTGTCAATTTTTATGTATAAAACTAGAGGAATAACAATTCAAAATAAAAAAACAAAAAACGAATATGGCACTTTTTGGTTACTTTTGGGGGAAAAAGTTTGGCACTTAAAGGGGTACTGCGGCGATTTTTGAGCTACCTCAACTAACTATATTTTCTGACTCCCCGGCCTTTACCCTTTCATGTATGCTACTTAGTATCGCGAAATTCATAATAGTTATTGCGAAATCGGCAAATGAAAATGAGGCAAAAACCAACATTCAAATATACCCGCCCTTTTCAGTGCCGTCAGTGGAAGACAAGCTTGCCAGTCGGGCGAGCAGTCTAAAAAATAGAATATGCCAATCATTTGTTCCGTGCTGGAGCGCGGGGACTGGAGCGAGCTTCCAAAGCATTCATTTGACACCACGAAACTGCTTCGAATCAGTTGGGAACACATTCTACAGTCCAAAGAGTGAACCCCTGCACTTCCACTGACGTCAGGTTTTCGTTGTTGCCAGTAGAAACTTTCACTTTGAAAAACACGGTGAGGACCAAAATTGTAAATTCAATAACTTCGTGAAAAAAAATTATTTTGACCTAATATTTGGGATACTATTTTAGTGATGTTTATTGACGAGTTTAGCAAAATTTCAAGCAAATCGGGGACCATGAAGAAATCGGCGGAGTACCCCTTTAAGGGGTTAATCCGGACAGGACACATTTGAATATTTCAGAATATGCAAGTTGGATTTAAGCGTGTGCAAAATGCTCCTTACAGTGCTCAATGCCTTGTGTTGTAATGGTCTTACATATTTAACTGCCTCAGTGGTCAGGGAATTTCACCTGAAACTGTCAGGAAAAAGCTGGAAAAGTCGGGGAATTTCAAAATAATATTTTGCTAGGCACCCTGTTTTGTTCACTGCATAAGTGTGTTTACTGAAGTTTGCATTTCATCAATGTGCACATTTTTGTCTTTGTTATTGCACCGCTCTGTCTACCAATATTGCATAATGATGATATTATGTACTTCGTTGCCTCCACATGCGAGCATCCGAGTATATTTCCATGAGATAGATTCTGCAGGTTCTGTGTACAAAAGAATAATGCATTAATGTTCTTTTTTTAAATATTTCGGGAGTCTTTTCTACTTTACTTATGCATTGTTCCTCTTACCTCCGGCCTCCAGTTGTTCCTCGACACTGGACGAATCCGCGTGGAGCTTCAGGGCAAGAAAACTCCGGTGGTACTTCTTCGTCCCTTCGACGGTATGTATTGAGACAATGCAACTCGCCTGTGCTTTTTTTGCCTGCTCAATGTGTTGGGGGTTCTAATAAGTCTGTGCTGCTGTTGTCATTCGTCGGGCTGTTTGGAGGTGGTGTCGACGTTTGCTTGCTAACCGGATTCGCTCGATGAACTCGGCAGCTGTGTGGGCAGCGTCTCGGAGGCTAGGCAGAGCACACTTGCACGAGAAGTGTGATATTGCTAAGTCATTCCACACACTGATATTTTCGTGGATGGAAGATAGTAAACAAACGTAAAAACTGAAAATGAATGTTTAATGAGGCGAACTTGTGCCTACAAACACGAACAAAAAGAAACCTTGCATCGTGCGATGGCGGCGAAAGAGCAACTGCTGTGATGTGGCCAGCCTCAACTTCTTTTAAACAGACTTCGTAGTCTAGAACATTCTGCGCAGGAACAAGTGGCACATTACAAGGTTCCACTAGAATGTTAAAGAACAGTCGCAAATGATAAAATGAAGACCTAGGTTGGTGGGGTTTGAACCCCATGCCTTCTTGTGGGGCCCGCGTGCAGTGCGAACTCGGCCAGTGACACAACAATATTGTAGGTTCTGCGGGAACGTGAAACAAGTTGAGTGTATTGAAAACCAGAGCTTTCTAAATTAATTCTCTGGCAAAACCTTCTTTCAGTTTTGTCAAAATTCTGAGAATGCATTCATGCATAATGAGGAGGAGTGAAAAGGGCAAGAAGGCACGCTTCCCTTCTCTTGGTGAGCCAGCATGCTAGCACACGATATTAGGGGTGTGCGAATACCGAATAGTAGTTATCGAATCGAATACCGAATCGAATTAAGAAAAAAAAAGCCGAAGATCGAATCGAATATTGAATAGTGGTTTTATGTGTAGGAATTTTTCAAAGTGTGCCGTGAATGAGATTATTATATGTGCAGAGTATGCACCTGGTGCAGAATATGCATCTTGTACGGAACAAAAGCTCAAATGTATAAAAATTCTGGTGAAAAAAAAAAAAAAAAAAAATCGGCTGCTGATGGACGTTGGGCACTAAAGATCCAATTTTATAGCGCAAACATTATCTATCTACCCTAAGCGTCGCAAAAAACCAAAAGTTACAGCCATGTGTGCCGCGCTGCCTTTTTTCTCGTTAAAAGCACGACCTAACACCGTGACATGTCTTTTTTTTTTTATTTTATTTATATACCTCAGAAAAAAGGCATTTTGCGATATTTGGTCTCAATTTTATGGGAGAAAAAGGGCACCCGGGATTTTATTTTATATAAATAAACAGGCAGTTATTAAATCTGAGTAAACAGGCTTAAACAATATAATCTGAAGTAAGAAAAAAAAAAATGTGGTTAGGTGGCGCAAGTCGCCGTCCAACTGCTACTATGCATCCATTCCTCCATCCATCCATCCTGCTTTAGAGAGCCTAGATTTATAGAGAGAAAGTGAAACTGAGACCACGGAGGCTGCTCCTGTGCAGATTGGTCGTAAGTGCGCATGTGTTGGCGTTCAGAAAGAAGGCGAACGTGAGCAAACATAAGAGCCTCGACGACTGTCCGGACTGCCTGATTGACGCTTTCGTATTTTTTGCCACCTTCTCATGGAGCTTTTGTCTTTTCGTCACCTTCTCGCAGTTCGTAATTCAAACGCGGCTATCGCTCCCAAATTTAGGCACACTATCTTTTCGTTCCGTTTCATTCCGAATTTTTTTTCTGTTAAATTTAGCAATGAAATTTTTCTGCTAAATTTAGCGGGGAAATTTTCCCGCTAAATTCACCCGACACACTGTTTTGTCATGAAAGGAACCCTCCGATTCTCGGTTCCTTCGTCGCTTTGGGAAGTAGTCGTATACGGTGTCTTCTAGACCCTGTATTTCAGGTTCAATTTCAAAGCTTTTCAAGTATGCCTCGATGGATCCTGGAGTGGCGTGTGTCCAGCCGCTTGCTCGAGAAAGAGTGACAAACATTGCAAACTTTATTGCAGGGAACATGGATTGCTACGTATCCTTCATCATTTCTCCCCGCCACTTCAGGATACATGAGTACTAGCGTTGCGGAGCCATCTTTTTGGCGGTGGGAGTGCAGATGCACACAAGGCTCGCAAGTTCTTTTGGGGGGATCCTGCTGTGCTGCATGGCATTCGTTCGCAACCAGTTGTTATCCCACATGTCCAAATTTATAAGAGTTGGGCACCCAGACATTCTCAATTTATCGTTGAATCTGCGGAAGCACCTCGGGCCTCTACAATTGGATGTTCTCGAGATTTGTTGGCTGCGTTGGACTACCGCTGCATTATTGTCAGTGCACAGTTCACCATTCTACGTCACATTAGATTCTCACAAATCTAATATTCCCAAAGAAAGTTATGAGAAATTTGCAGTTAGGGAGTTCTTGAAGCACATCAAAACAGCATTGCAGCTTTTACCTCGTACCATTAAAAAAAAAAAAATAAAATAAAATAAAATGAATGAAAACATGTTTATTGACAACAAAATGTAGCATAACTTAGCCCAAAAATGTATTCTATGTTCAAACACTGATTATGACGGTGAGATTGGCGAGAAGAAGGTGTGCGAAAGCCCGCATCCGCAGAGTGCGAGCAGCAGCAACGGCCATGCAACATTGCGAGCAGACACGAAAGGCAGAGATAGCATAATCGAAGTAGAAAGCACATGTGGAGGCTGACTATGGCTTGCTCATTGTTGGAGCAGTCGGAGGGGAAACCCCGACAGCGAATGTGCCACCAATGGGGGAGTGCGTTTGGATCACACGCTCAAATTACGAGCTGAGCAAAGCCACAGCGTGCCCGGTTCTTTTAACGTGGAGCGAGAAATTCCGGACGGTCTTCTCAGGCACTATCCTACGCATTGTTCCAGAGTGCTCCAACGCTGTCAGAGCTACTTATGCGAGAGTGTAGCTTCGTTTGACGTCTCTTACGCACGTTCGTATGAGTGAGGTGCAAGGTCGAGCCACATGCTCTCGCAGCAGTACGGGGCTGCACCACCTCGGAAACTACGCTAGCTTTGACAGCATAGCGCGAGAAAATGATGCTAAGCCTAGAGAGAAAAGTGAAAATAAGAAGGCAGTGCAGCCACGAGGAAAAGGTAGGCTGCAAATGTTGGTTGCACGTTTTTATTTTTCAGCCAGGTCTGTCCTCATTTTTGCATTCTTTAGCAGCAGTTGGTGGCAGGAGTTGAACTCGCGGTAGTTTTGAAATGTAATGCCCATTGAGACTCAAGAAGTGCTTCAAAGTCTGGCCCTTCCCCGTGTGCAGAGCCCCTGAACGACGGACGCTGGCACCGCACCATGCTGGTGGTGCTGACCAACCGGATTGAGCTGCACATCGACGGCAAGCCCAGCATCACCACCCGCCTCTTCTCCATGGAGACCGGGAGCGAGTACCTCATCGGGGGTGAGTGCCTCCTTTACGGACGCGCTCGCAACCCCCATCTAGCAGAGTAGAGGGTCCTTTGGTTGAATTTGTTTCAGGAACCGAACCCCAGTTCGGTTCCCGAGCTTCCAAATTTCCTGGATATCCCTGTTTCTAAATAAGCTGTTCTTCTACCATTTAAGCGCTATTCTAGGAAGAACTGAACCTCCGCTTGGTGCATAACTACAGTCGAACCCTTATATATTGAATTCAAAGGGGATTGTAAAATAGTGAAAAGACGGTGAGAGTGCAGGCGAGCTGGTGGTAGCTAATCATGTCGTATTACACCTGAGACTGCGGTGGAAGAAATCGGAAGAACTTTCAGTAGAAGGAACAGACACAGAGAATGTCTCAAACTCAGCTAACTGGTTCTGTGTCTGTTCCTTCTACTGAAAGGTCTTCCGATTTCTTCCACCGCAGTCTCAGGTGTAATACGACATGATTGTAAAACAGTTTGATATATCGATAATTCAATATACAAAAATATGTAAAATTAAGCTTGAGTTGAAATTCCCTGGCATCTCTGCTAATATTGAATGTCGCGACAAATGGGAGCTTACCAAAGAGAGCAGGGGTGGTCAGGCTGAGCCGGCCTGAGAGCCGCAGACAAAACCACAAAACTTCCAAGAGCCGCAGGGGGGGGGGTCAAACTTTTGTCCAAAGCCATAAGCAAAACTCAAACTACTTTCAATCTATCCGAGTCAAAAGCAGTCCAACTGCACGTAAGATAGCAGTAGCACAAGACTACCAAACTGCAACCTGTCTTTCGATTTAAAACTCGTGCCATTTCCCTTTTTTGGGGACGTGCCCGTGTGACTGGGAGGGAGGGGGGGGGGCAGGGGAGGGGAGGGAGCCGCAAGCGCACTTTAACACGCGGAGAGCTGCAGCTTGGCCACCCTGAAATAAGAGCATTTAAGAGCCACTAAATACAGTAGAACAGTAATTCTCAAATGGGGGTCTAGGGGTCTGCGAAGCCCTGTTTCATCAGTCAGGCCCGGCAAGAAAGTTGTCTTTTCTTCAGGTTGAGAAGAAACATTCTAGTTTTTGGGTAAAGTTTCTCGTATGTGTGTCATTGAGAAAAGTTTACTTTAAACAAACTCTCAGATATGTCCATTTATTAAATCATTATCATAATTAACCTACAGCTTCCCCTTCCCCTCACCATGAACACGGTCCTCCATCATCTCCGCTGATCCACAAGGGGTCCGCCGATCCACAAGGGCTGAGAACCACTGCAGTAGAGCATAGTTGGCGGAGACCGCATACACTGCCGTGCTTACACGCGCACCTGTCCAGGTCCTCCACACAGCATGAGCAACAAAACACGAAAGTAATTAAAAAAAAAAAAAAAAGCAAAAAAAAAAAATTGGGCCAAGCAATGACGGAGAAAGGAAAGGGTAAACAAAGATAAGGCATTGGAAGTGCAATTGCACAACTATTGTTGTCAACACACTCCACTTGCCATGCCCAAGACTTTTTTTTTTTGCTCATTTTATTTTGGGTTTAAGGAGTCGCGCAGCATCAGTAGTGTTTAGGGAAAGGGTGCAAGCTACCGCTAGTTCCGACAGCAAACACTCCCTGCTCTCCCTATGCGCGCGTGCGTGCCCTTCCCCTTGCTTTTGCCATCCTCCACCTTTTTTCTTTTTTTTTTTTTTTTACATCTGTTTTTTTGTTGCATATCTTGCTGCTTGTATGCTGGCTTGGCGGTCTGCCAGCCCCGCAACGCAAGTGACGTGCTCGCCACAGCGCAATTCGATGGCGTGAAAAGCAACGGGTGGCCGGGCTTTGTTCGCTGTATTGAGTGTCCCTACCATGGGAGTTCGAAACCAAAAGGCAACGCTCCTATAGTATTACATGGGATTTTCAAATGAATGTTTGGACTGTTTGATATCAACAATATATCGAAATACCGAAGTGTGATATAACCGGGCTTGACTCTATGTGCTATGAATGTACCCTAAAAATTTCACACAGATAGCTCTAAAAATAAAAAAAGTTTAGATTCTATGCTAGCTTCCCCTTAAAGGACACATGCAAAGGAAAAAAACTTTGTTTTTAAACAGGCTAGATGGAAAAAAAATATTATAAAATGAATTTACAACAAAGCAAAAAAAAAAAAAAATGTAGAGCTATATTTACGGCGCAAAACGAATTTGTAGTTGGCGCCCGCGGGAGCCGCTGCTGGTCACGTGGTAGGCCTGTGCGCCGCCGCCGCACGCTGAGCGTTGTACGACGCCACTTCAACGCATTTCTTCACGCCGCTCCAAACTTTGTTTTCTTTAGCTTTGGTGGACAGAAAATAATTTATAAAAAATTAACTATGCAGTGTAAATGAATTAAACTTTTTGGGAATACTCTCTACTGGGGGATTCAAGGAGACGCCAGGCTCTTTATATCGTCCGCAAAATTCGTTTTTTTTAACCTATTGCGCTACGACTGTGCAGCGTTGCCCACGGATGGTGCAATTTCTTTGTAAAATTTGCAAAGAGCAAACTTACCTGAGGAAAAAGTAAAGAAAGAAAAAAGCTTAGCTCCTATGGAAACGCAGCGAAGCCACCGGTCTTCAAACAACACAGCACCGTTTCGCACGGGAGCCAAGAGATGGCGCAAGCGGTCGCGACGCCAACTGTCGCCAACGAACGAGCATACGATGCTGAGGGCCGGCGTCTTTAGCAGACAAGGAACTGCAGCTCCTTGTTGTTACCACGCCTGTTTTTGTTTCTGCGACTGTCGCCGCCTGCGGAACGCGCGCCGCTTTGGAGTCGAAAAGATTGTCTGCTGCAGACACCGGCTCTCAGCGCCGTATGCTCGTTCATTGGCGGATATACGGCTCTGGTTGGCGTAAAGCGGCGTTCGTTGCGCCATCTCTTGTCTCTCGTGCGAAACGGTGCATTGTTGTTCGAAGACCAGTGGCATCACTGCGTTTCCATTGGAGCTAAGCCTTTTTCTTTCTTTACTTTTTCCCCAGGTAAGTTCGCTCTTTGCAAATTTTACAAAATAATGCACCATCTATGGGTAACGCTGCACAAAGTCGTAGCGCGATAGGTTAAGAAACCGAATTTTCCGGTCGATTTAAAGAGCCTGGCGTCTCCTTGAATATCATCCTGTAGATATTGGTGGATGTAAATATGTCATTTTTCAAAATCAACTTTTTTTGCAAAATTTTTTTTTTTCTGGGTAGTGTCCCTTATGCGATTCAGTAAGCCCCAAGTTTAGCATAGCTTAAGGAGAGTTGTTATTTGGCTAGTTGGTGTGTGATGCCCAGCGAACTTGTAAGTGCAAACAGAGACGGAGAGAAAGAGTGTCTGTTCCTGTCCCCTCCTTTGGGTCCTTCCCTTTTGACGCTTAAAAGTTTCCCGAGCAAGTATAACCTAGCAGAAAGCTATTGCGCCATTGCAGTACCAGATTTGAGATGTGCCCAGACGCCGAAAACTTGATTTGCGCACATACAAAGCCGGTTTGTGAAAGCGGCTTACACTTGTAATGCGTTGAAAGAACTTCATATAGGGGCTCTTGAAGGTATAGAAAAAAAATGTATGGCAAATTGCTAGGCAATTGTGTTGCATACATGAAATGTTCTAGCATTGCAAATGTTTATATCATTGTTTATCAGCAGGTCTAGCCAGTTCAGGCAGACACTTACGTTCACGGCGCTCTTCATCAGATAATTTAACGTTTGCCAATTTGCATTTGAAATGATAAACCTGATGATCTTCCAGAATGTTCTAACCTACTCCTCTCCCACCTCTCCTACCTCCTCCTCACTCCACTTCTGGCCACATGAGCTCCCCTTAAACCAATCGGCGTCAAGCATTCAAGCACCTCACACCTTCTCTCCCACTCGTCAACCAATCAGTGTCGAGCCTCGCGGCCACACTTTTATCTAGGCTTCACTTTCGAGCTTCATGAAATGCTGGAAACCTAGCCAAGGAATGTTTTATGTTAAAAATTGTTTTATTGCCATTGCGGAAGCCTTGGGTCGAAGTTTTTTTCTGGTGCAATCGTCCGTGCCACTTCGGGGAACTCAGAAAGCCAACTTAGAAGGTGCGCTTTTTGCTGCGAGTGCAAATGATTTCCCCCTTTTGTTTTAGAGCAAGCACTTATTTCCATCTTAAGGGTCTCGTTTTTGAGTACGGCTATACATGCAAAGCTCTGGGCGGCCGGGCCCGATCAAGCCGCCTAAAAACCGTGCGGAATATTGCTCCGACGTGCGTATCATCTGAGCAGTACGCCACATAATTTCCGACTGGCTCGTGATTGGACCTGGTGGCCCGTGGCTTTGGCTGCGGTCCGTTGTAGGGAAGACGAGGTTTGGTTATGACATCCTCGACTCACCATGTTAGTTCATGGCTCTTGCCGAAGTACTCGACGAACTAGAGCGTGCCGGTACCGTTATAAAAATAAGCATAAAACAACAAAAAGGATGAGGAGGAGACAAAATGTCTTTGTTTTGTAGTGCTCCGATCCTTTTCACAGCGGAGCTGTTAAGGGCTAGGTTCGCCAGGATCGTGTCCGGTATCTCGACACAAACCTACCTAGACAGCTCCCGCCATCTAAAAGCGACGGCTACAAGCACACAACCAGTATGGTTTCCGCCGTCGCTCAAAGATGGCGACAACCTTTCCAGCTATCATAGAAGAATTGATAGTTGGGTGCGTTGGTGGGAATTCATCGTAGGAAACAGCGCGAAAAACTTACGACGAAGAGGAAGCACACGTAACGAGCGCAGCGCTCGTCATGTTTGTCTCTTTGTCCTCGTCTGTTTTGCACGCTGTTTCCTACGCTCCTACACTCTTATCAGTTTCGGTTTGGACTCATGATGGGTCGGCCGCGCGCCCTTTCGGGGAAAGGAGCGGCAACGTACGCAGCAGCGCGAATGGGTCCGCAACCGCCGCAAAGCCGCTGTCGCCTTGACTTGCACTGCGTCCAGCGCTTCAGATTTTCTTGCCAAAGAGCACATCGCTCGCCTGAATAGCCGCCGCCAAGAACAGAACCAGCGATGTAAAGGGCGTCGGTGGTCCAACGCCACAGACGACGATCGTGCCACGGAGGCCAACCGCAAGCGCGAGGCCCGCCGACGACTGCACTCCATGCCGGCTGAACAGTTCCCAGGTGCGACGGGGGGGGGGGGGGGGGGGTTCGGGAGGGAGTTCGTGGATTACCCATTTGGCGTCACAAGCACCGTGTGCGACCGACTCTGGTTCGCCGGAGACGTATCCATGGTCGGCGGCGTGTCGGACGAGTAGAAGCAGGAAATCGGGTGCGTGTGCGTTGTGGCACTGTATCAGGTACAGCTCCACTGGTCTTCCTTCTTCATGAGAGTAGAAAGGCTGAAGGTCTTGTTGCTTCATTTTATTTCTTGTCCCTCAAATGGTTGCAGAAAGCCCGCAAAAACATTACTTATATCTGCGGGTGCTACAACAGTATGTGTGCCCTTTGGTTTGCTTGTTGAGAAGCTTTGCTCTTCTAGACTCGAGACCCTGGCGGACAACTTAAGGGGGGGAGCGTTGTCGTTACACAGGCGGAGTGTATGGCATGCGGGGCTTCATCGGCTGCATGCGCTTCCTGTTCGTGGAGGGCCGCTACATCGACGCGGGGTCCCTCACTTCGGACCAAAAGGAGGGGCAGCTGCTGCTCAACGCCTGCCAGATGGTTGACAGGTGGGCCCCGCTCCTCCTCTGCCAATCCCTTAAAGTGATACTGCATCAAAACATGAAATATACAAAAACATTGAGAAATAAGTCTAATAGGATCAGCTATACCTGTAAACGATAACCGCGTGCTTGTATTTTGAGCGAAGGGCTATATATTTTACGCAGGTGCCAGCCAAACCCGTGCGAGCACGGCGGGGTGTGCAAGCAGGACTCGGCGGAGTTTGTGTGCAACTGCACCGACACCGGATATGCGGGCGCTGTCTGCCACCTCTGTGAGTCCTTTCTTCCTATTCCTACTTGTTTCAGCTTGTTTGTTGCACTTTATCTTTATGGAAAGCATGTTTCAGGGGGAACGTTAGGAGAGGGTGTCTAATATTCTCGTGTTTACTGAGAGCTAGGACCATGTTACCCTGGTTTGAAATTTACACTTCGTCGACGCTGACATTCGTTGACACTGACAGATATTTTGATTGTGAGCATGAATTAGAACCCTGCTTATCCGCAGATATCCTCAGTAAACTGGTGGACGCGGATAAAAATTGGATGGATTTTGCCGAATTGTGGATCGGATGCAGATGTCAGGGGCAGCGGATGCGGATATCCATGGATCCGGATCTAAATTTTTGCCCGGTGGCATTCAGTCCGTCGACTGACGTTTCATCTACAAATCGTTTCGTCGATATACGATGTTTGATCAAAAGGCTTTCAGTGTTTGTTTCATCACACACAACCCTGCTATTTTCATAACAAACGTTTTGCGTCTCGCATGGATTACAATGGGGAGGTGGACATGGTTTGGTTAAGCACGCCCTAGTGAATTGCACGCTAGCTTTTAGCGGCTTACTGAAGAAATACGTTGTCGACAAAACGTTGCAGGAACATGTGCCCACAAAACATACAACGTCGACAAACCGTGTGTCCATGAAATGCATGCCCGTGAAAAGTTGTCCACGAAGCGTATTTCCACAAAACGCATTTCAAAGAAATGATAGAGATCCTAAGAAAGATCTGATTCTTACTGAAGATCGCTTCAGAGTTAGTGCATGTCATCTCGTCAAAAATGCTATCTATAGAAAAAGAAAAAGGTAAGAATGCAGGGCATCAATCGTCCCATGAAAGCTAGTTGTTTGGCAGGGAAAGAGCGGAAAACTTTCTCCAGGCAAAGAAAACCTCAAACGAACAAGTCGCAAGAAAGTAGAAGAAACCTCCCCCTCTCCGCAGAGAGTGGTGTGGTCATTATACCAAAAACAACAAAAGTGCTTCGACAGCAAGCGTGACCCTGTGGCGTCACGGTTTACAAAGTTCGGAATCGGCAGAGCACGCACATAGGTAGCCCGTAAATCCACGATTTGTAAAATAGTGCGCGCCGCCTATCGCGCAACGCCAGAAACTTCAACATTTTGGGTGCGAGGCTGGAATGTGGTTGGAATACAACTAGGCTTTGCGATGCATGGTTTGGCTTGATACATGTGGGGCGTAAAGCTTGTGCACGCAGTCTGTTCTCACCGTTGCCTCAAGACCCAGATTGAATAGTGTGAAAAATTGCCCAGGAGCGTACAAAATCGACGTACCCGTGACGAAATTCGCGCTACAGATCCCGCTGTGCTCGTTCGGCTGCCATGGTGAGCCGTCCGTGTTCCTTCTCCTTACGGCAGCTATCCAAGCCTCTCTCTTCGCAGGGTGCAGAATGGCCGACGGAAATCTAAAGAAACTTGGCGTTCTCTTTACCGTAAAAGTAATTCGCGCAACCGTTCGCAACACATTGCGCCGGCATGGCGACAAACAAAGCGACTCGCGAGTTCTCTTCGTCCTCGCTTCCGCACCTCTGTCGTAGCCTAAGAATAGCCGGCACGCCCATTTGTTTTCCAACCAAACAGGGGGCGCTAGCAACACGCTCTGCTGGTGCATGCTCATGTGCTTTTTTGCAAATCGTGGATTGCCAGTTTCTTTTTGTATGCTTAGACTTCTAGCCAAGAGAGTCTGGTAGTTCATATTCGTCTGGTTACGACGCCAGGGCACTAGCAATGCCAGCGACTGCCGTGCAAAACCTCCGTAGCTGCCCCAAACAAAAAAAACATTAAAAAAAATAAGTTTTCTTTTAATATACGGTATATATTTGGGGGTGTTTGCAGGCTGCGATCTTTGTCGAACAACACGTTAGTCGATCCGATCAGATCCTGAACTCTGACTTAGCGGCGCATCTGTTTGCTGGCTGACACGAAACACCGTGAGACTTGAGGCGGTCGCATACGCTCGGTGACATCACAGAAAGAACTTTGTTTTCCTACCACTGCTTCTCCTCCTCTCTTTCCGAACTCTTTTTTTTTTTATGATTTTTTTTATGCGGCGTTCGGAGAGTTAAGGGGCCACACGGGAAAGTTTCCGATTCTGTGTGGGGCGGGGAAGAATGTGGTCGGCGTGATTTCCGCTGATTTTGCTAGTCTAAATGTAATCGTAACCTCCGATGGTTAGCAGGAACATCGACATGGTTCCACATTTTGCGGATGTGGTTTGGATACAGATACAGAGTATGTGGATGTGGATCAGATATTGTTACAATAATGTAAAAAGTTTGCAGATGCGGTTTGGATGCGAATACGAAGTCTGCAGATGCGGATTGAATGCGGATACTGAAACTGTTATCCGCGCAGGGCTCTATCACGAATCTAGGAAAATGAAAGGCACCAGTGAATTACATGCTGGAAAATGTGATCTTGTCCTGCCAGGAACCGCCAGTATAGAATTCTTTATCGAGCTACGACACACAAACCGAGAATCACATTTCAGCATTATGTTGGTCGCTCATGTGGCAATCTGCTGGCTACCCACAAAAAAAAAAAAAAAAAAAATTCTGGTGCTTTGTGTTGTGTTTCAGGAGCAGCACGCATTGTTAGGGATGCAAACCACCACAAATAACAATGTCAAAATTGGCTTGTCAGCACTGCAGCATGTATGTATATTGTTATGTACAGGTCGACTTTTTTTTTTTTAGAAATGGGTTTCTCAATTTTAAATAACTTAAAAATAAGTATCTACATTTTTTTTTATAAACAAAGATTTTTTGTTTTTTGGTAGAGTTTGCGGGGTTGATTTATATTTCGAGTCGACCTGTGCGCAGCAATCTACAGTAGCTTGTTTTAGGGTGCTGAACTGCGAGTCGTCAGTGGGCTGACCCTCTGCTGTTGTGGCGAACGTGCAGCACTGCACCCGCTGTCCTGCGAGGCGTACCAGATGAAGAAGAAGCCGAATGAGCAGAGGAAGGCGATGATGATCGACGTGGACGGCAGCGGCCCCCTCACCCCAATACCGGTGGAATGCGTCTTCTTACGTGAGTGTGGCACACAATCGTTTCACTTTGCTCAAGCGGCTGTGCTCCTACTTGTTTTTTTTTTTTCTGTGTCTGGTACGATTGGTTGGTTTTTCTTCAGCAGGGTTTATTTGTGGCCAACTAGCTGGTCAGAGTTACCCATTCACACATGACAAATAGATGTGTGTGTGTATTAGTAGGAGCATCACCACTCCCGCAAACTGATAACATAAAAGTAATCACGAGCCATGAGCCATTCCACTCTGTAAAGGTGGATGACCAGTGAAGTTGTTAAGCTCTTGACACAGACCCGCCCCGAGGAGCCGAAGGAAACTAAACACACAATGGGACCGTGGAGAGTAGACACGCACGACGGGACCACCATCCCGGGAGAGCGGAACGAAAGGAAACTAAGCACGCAAACGCTTGGAACGACGACAAAGAGAGGGTGGTACGAGCATAAACATGGCCGTCGCGGGTCGCACAGCGGCAAATCTTTGAGAAACCTTTATTATTTACCTGAGGGTCTACTGGTCTTGAAAATGGTGCCTACTGATAACTAGTCTTGTGACTAGTGACTATTGCTCAATTACTCGAGCATCAAGAAGAATGCTGGGAATGGTGTTCCACGTGCCACACATGCTGGCGTCTGCAGTAGTAACTGTTCTAAAGCGAAAGCCGAAAACAAATGGCATATTGCATGCACATTCGTCAACACTTTATTTTGGTTATTTACTTTGAATCTTTTATACAAGGAAGGTGTGCATGTATGGCACCAGCATCTGCAGTAGTACAGCGTAGACCGCATATAATGTATGTCGCGGGAGTCGCGAAAATCTGCACTATAAGCGGTACCGCGTTATAACCAAAACATCAATTTTTCAGGCCAAAATACATACCATGAGACAGCTTACCTTTGTAAAACAATTTAATGTTAGACGAAGAGGAGTCTTTATTTCACCAGACTAGTACACTTCTCTTTTAAGTGTGTCAATTTTGAAAGAAATGAGTGACTTTTGCCTGGCACAGCCTTTTAACAGCGTCGCTGGTTGCTGACGGACGTTGCCATGGGCGTACCAACCGGGGGGGCAAGGGGGGCACTTGCCCCCCCAGTTCTCAGAGTGGGGGGGCAAGGCATGCGTTTTGCCCCCCCTGAAACGGCCGCCACTGGGCAGAGCAGACACAGGCCGGCGGCGCCCAAGGAATACCAAGGGCACTGCCCCCCGACCCGCGCGGGCATATTTTTAACGCGCAGGCGATACAAACCCTAGCAACGGTGCTCACGCACGCCGGATTGGCTGGTTCGTAAAGCCTTGCTCCACGAACAAGGCTACACGGTAAACTTACGGAATCCATCCGCGAGACATGGGCCGGACGGGCCGTCCAGACCAGGACGTAGGCCCTTACACAAAATAAAGTTTTGCTTGCTTGCTTGGAGATAGGCGCTGCCGCCGTCAAATAGGCAGCGGATGCAATGCGAGTTTCCGAAGAGGTAGCGTAACTTAGTGGTGAGATGTCTGCCTCATACGTGTCAGACCCGGGTTCTATTTATGGTGTGGGCCGGCTTACTTCTTTTTATTTTTTTTCTCGAACATTTTGTTTTGTCGAGGCATTTGGCGATATTTACATTTCTTTTTTACTATTAACACTAAAAAAACGAATGTTGTTGACGAAACATCGCTAAACTAAATCGTATCGACTCTATTTACGGAAGTGCATGGGGGGGCAGCGGGGCTTGGGTTGCCGACCGGACGCCGCAAAGCGGCGTGTACGGGGGGTGGGGGGCTAGGTGGGTTAATAGATTTGTAATTAGCAGCCGCACACCGTCACCGCGAAGCGGCGTGAACGCAGGCGCGGGGGTGGGTTAACGCGCTTCAAGTGATACACGAGCAGCCCATCCGGCGTGAGCGTCGTTGTTAGGGGTTCTATCGCCTGCACCGTAAAAGGAGCAGTGTGTGCACCTCCTGTAGTGGGCAAGAATTCCTACATTGGAGAGAAGCGGGGACAAGCCCTTTTTTTCAAATGCGTCAAGTCTCCTTGAGCTTCGGAATACAAAGAAACGCCACTATTCGGAGCTAATCCCACAGTTACTCGACCTCTCTTGCGTCGTGTCTGTTCGCTCCCCGCGCCTCGTAGCAGTGTTGTTACAGTGGGGGGGCTCGTTAAAGTTTTGGGGTTTTTTGGACTATCTAAATCACTTTCTTCCTTCCCATCCCCCCCTTTTCTACTCCGCATGCTTCCCCCTCTGCAAATATCAGCTGACCTTCCGACCTCTGTTCTCTGTTGATAGGCAAAACAACCACTAAAATTAGAAAGTAATTTGTAATTTGAGTGGAAGTCACTCGGAAAAGTAGTTAAAGTAAACTACTGATTACTAGAATAGAAATGTAATTAAAAGTTACTAAACTACCCAGAAAAGTAGTTAAACTACAGTAACTTGAATAAAGTAGTTGAACTACGTACAAGTCTGGCCTGGCAAGCGCTCTGCGTAAGTGTTTTCACTGATCTGCCTAGCCCCGCACACCATCACATGGGCCAAGAAAGGTGTAGTTTTACTGCAGAGGAGAAATCAGCAGGGTCCAAGATGGTGACAATGGAGGATGGGGGGACTGTTCCAGTGGCTGATGGCTTGAGAAAGGAATGACCAATTGAAAGCGTTCGTAGAGCCAGAAGTGTGTTTGATGGTGCAGACGTTGTTGAGGCGAGAAGATGTTCGGTCGAGGGGTAATAACAAAGTGGTTTTGAGGTCGGGAATGTGGTAGTAGATTTTGTGAATAAGGCACAGCTGAGAGACTTTCCTGCGAAGCTGCAAAGAGGACATGGTTAGTTCAGTTTTTAGCGCCGAGACACTGAAAGAAAAGTCATAAGTGGATGAAATGAAGCGAGCAGCTCTGTTCTGAACCGCCTCTACAGCGTATTGATGAGGTACAGTCGATGGGTATTCCAGATGGTTGAAGCATATTCTATTTTTGGTCTGACGTACGTGTTAAAGGTTAGCTTAGGGACAAAGGGTGGAGCGATTTTTTAAGTTACGTCTGCTTAGTCCAAGAGTTCCAGATGAATTGGCGGTAATGACTTCAATGTGGTTATTCCAGGGAAGGTTAGATGTTAGTCTTACACCAAGGTATTTATACACAGTAGCGGTCTCAATTAGATCGGAGTCCAAGAAGTAATTAAATGACAGAGTGTTTTTTTTCTTGGTGAAGTGGATTAGTTTGCGTTTATACTTGTTTGGTGACATAATCCACTCTTTGCACCAATTGTTAATTTTATCTAGATCTTCCTGAAGCTGGTTATTATTTTGCACACAAGTTACTTTGTTATGGATGACGCAGTCGTCGGCGAAAAAGCGTTTTTTTGAAGAAATCCCAATGGGAATGTCATTAATAAATATTAAAAAGAGTAAGGGCCTAAGTACGAACCCCAGGGGAACACCAGGAGATACATTTATTAAGGAAGATTCATGATCATCATGGACGTGACCTGTACACGGGAAAAAAGAAAGTCACGAATCCATGCAAACGGTTATTGGTCGAGGCAAAAAGATGATAGCTTCAGTTTGGACGTGACATTCAAGGTTAGTGTGCAAGTCATGGATGAAGTCGCAGAGTTGCGTTTCGCAGGAAAGTACCTTTTGAAAACCGTGCTGCTGTTTAAAGAAAAGAAGTGGGATGATAGGTGCCTCATGATATTGGAGCAGAGGATATGCTCAAGTAGTTTGCAAGAAATTGAAGTCAATGAATTAGGGCGATAATTAGATGCGGAAGAGCGGCTGCCCTGTTTAAAGACTGGGAATTACCCTTCCCACCTTTTGGTCAGATGGAAGGCAGCTTTGAGATGAGGACTAAATGAAGATGAGTTTCAAATACTCACTAGAAATAACACGGGTGTTTCTTTTAAATTTTAGGGTTGATGTTATCGGTTCCAGCGGACGAAGTAAGTTTTAGTTTATCAATCAATGTTTTAATACCAGCGGAGTTAACGTTAATAGGATGCATGCGCTCGTAAAGCTCTTCAGGGAGAGTGGGGACGAAGTCCAAGTACTCGTTAGTAAACACTGATGAAAAGTATTCGTTAAACACAGAACTATCATGCTCGACGTTGCACATCCGACATTCCTAACTCTCCCCATCTTCCTAAACGTCCGTGTGTGTCCTAACACCAGAAACCGGAATTTTAAAGGTTAAAAACGGCACGTTGATGCGAATATGGAACGCGCACTTTCATGCAAAGCTGACGTCAAGTGACTCAAATCGAAAAACATGCACATTTACAGTATTGTTATCTCTTCTGGTGAAGGCTAAACAACCGTTGCATCCGTTTTCGCGCACGAAACGGTGACTCCCAGAGAAAGTAAGAACGCAGTGATTGTCTTTATTTTAACAATGTAAACACACTTGCAGGCGTGCGCTGATGAAGCCTCAAAATCAAAACTCTCGTAGTGTGATTCGTGACTGCTCCGGCTACTACCCAGCCTCGTTGTCACGCCACTTTCTGCAAGCAAACACAAAAATTGCCAGTAAACACACAAAAGCGACATCGATACAATTATCTTGTAGAATATCACCTTTTTTAATCATAACTGTTTCAATAGGCACTACAAGTTGTATTTATTTTAAGAAGAAGAAGCAAAATTTTTTTCGTGAGAAAAAAACAAAATATTAATGTTAAGTCTGGTAACGTTGTAATTTTGCCGAATCATTGCCACATCTTTAGAAAAGTTCGACAAAAGTTGCGCCGAATTTTCGATTAAGGGGGGGGGGGGGGGGGGAAGAGGGTCGGGTTTGCCCCCTCACTCAAAAACAAGTTGGTACGCCACTGGACGTTGCAAGCGTTCAGGATTGCTAACCCTAATCACTTTTCTCCGGTGATGAAGACGCGTGAAAATTCGCATCCTTTATACGGTACGCGCCAGTAATTCCGTCAACTTTAGCACAGGCGTGAAATGCTCCAAATAAGAAATCCGGGCGATGTTCGAAAACACAAATGCTTAGAAAGCACCACTGTAGTCGAAGTAAACAAACATGACGACAGGGGCGTTTCTGCCGTCTTGAGAGTGCCGCCACGACATCGCCGCACGAGTAGGTGGATCTTCCCTTCTAGTACGTGCTGGGTTATCGTAGCGGCACACAACGAAAATTCACAGTCAAGGATAGCGCTTTTACGCGGAACGATCGCAACCGACGCCATGTTTGCGGATAGAAGCCGGCCCGCGACCGGTGTGCAACGCGTGCGAACACTTCTCCTGGACCTGCGATTGGTCTGTCGTTGCGGTTGTTTCCAACGCCAACGCAGCGGAGGGACGCACACACGTGAACGACTTGTGCGTGCGTCCCTCCGTCGGTATGGCAACTGAAGCCTCTCTCTTCACTTCTCCCCCCTCCTTGGATCCACGACTTCGAGCAACCTCCTTGCCCCGCGAGTGCCGCTTGCGGCTAGCCAGGCTAGCGCCGTTATCTAGCGTCGCACAGGGAAGCGTGCTGGCTGCGCCGGTTCCAGAAACCGCACTATAACCGGTATTTCCCTTCACGCGCCTGCATTTTAAGCGGTATGTAATTACATGGAGTTCTATGGGAGGCAAACCGGTGTTTTAAAAAAGCCGCGTTATACCCGGTCTTGCACTATAAGCAGTTACGTTGTAAGTGGTCTATAGTGTAACTGTTTTAAAGCAAAAACCTAAAACAAATGTCCTCTTGCACGTGCGTTCGTCAACACTTTACAATAGAAGTTCGTTGATACGTTTTTCAGGGGACCGCAGGAAAAAAATGTATCATCTGGTTAAACATAACAACCGATAACGCACTTAGAGGGACTCTACATGAGATAGAAAGCAGCTCTTATGCAATGGTTTATTTTATGTGTACTTACAGAACTGTTGAGGACTCAGACATGTTCACAAAAGCTCGTACAGTCAAATCCCGCTACAAAGAAATTGACGGTGCGCGAGAAAAAATTTGTTGTAGCAAAAATTTTGTTGTCATGAAATTTACAGAAGAATGGCATACCTGGACTGATAGAGTACAGAAATCTTTACTTCCAAAGTGTATCGAGCGTCGCCTGCTTCCTTTTTCTTGTTAGGAGCTTTGTGACGCGGTTTTCACATTTGACGAGTAGGTTCATGGCGAGGTCGTCATCATGCGCAGCCACCTGGCTTTTGAGAACGTCGAACGCATCCAGTGCACGCGCCATGGAAGGCGGAGGCTGCAGGTGCGGCACGTCGTCTTCATCTGACTGCGCCTCGTCGCGGACACTTCGTATAATGTCTTCGTCACTCACTTCTTCATGAGCGATAACGTCCATGTCAGCGTCGATGCAATCTTCCAGCGCGACACCGGACGGCGCAGTTCCGGCATCCTGAAGCGCAGCCCAAGAAGTAACGGCCTCTCCCGGCAGACGCACTGTTTCGTTATCCTCAGCGGAGTCGGCGTCCGGGTGTCCGAGCTTGAAGCCCGCGTGCGTGAAACGGTTGGCGATGACTGAACAAGAGCTTTTTTGATTGCCTCGGAGGAATTGCAAACTTTTCGGCGATGACAGCTTTCTTCTGTCCACTTGGCAACTCCGGCCAGGATGCAAGCTTTATCTTGTAAGAATAAAAACTTTTGCGTTTTGCTTGGCGGTGCCATTGTGCCATTTGGAAGAAGCCCGCATACCATCGTTGTCGTCGTACCGTACTGATAAAATGGCAACCGACAAAAAAGGAGAAAAAAAACAACAAGAAGACTGAGCTTTGGCTTTGGATAGTCTGCAACAGAGCGATATCAAGCCAAGAGCTAGAGCAACATTCGGTGCAACAGCGTAGGAAGGCCAGCCTCGTCGCCGTCACCATCAAATAATGGTGGCCTGCACGCCCGGTAACGTTGACGCCCGGTAACGTTGATGTTCGGTCAACGTTGTGCTCGGTTACCGGTTATTAGTGGCAGTTTCTGGTGGTTCAACACGCGATTTAAACTTTATAGTAGACATATTTTATGTTCTAAAATACACCAGTGCTCAAAAGTTTGTTTTCCGTACGTAAAATTAAACTTTCGAACTTCGAATTGCTCTGTGAAATTTCGTTCAAGCGGAACAGCACAAGAAACAGTGGTCGCTGTAGTGAAAATTCTTATGCATTGACTCCTATGGACCGTTGACGGGGAACCGAAGAATATTAGTTGAACCAGAAAATTCGTTGAAGCGGCATTCATTGAAGCGGGGTTTGACTGTAATATCTGACTGCCGTTTCGAGCTTTCGCCTCAATCTCCTTTCGTTTGGCAACGATGCTGTTCAAGGTTGATGGCGTGAGTCCGAGGTCTCTTGCAATGTCAGATCTCGTCCGGCTGGGATTGCGATCCACCGTCTGAAGTATATCAATTTTCCCTTTAAAAGAGAGTGCCTTTCTTTTTCGCGATGCCGTTACTGTTGTTAATGGGTGCAAAGCGCACATACTTCGAAATGCCACGGTTCACGCAATCGAGCAGAGCAGAAATTATAAGCGCAGTGTGCATGCGGGTGCACCTTGTGCCAGAGAAAGAGAAGGACGGACGAAAGAGAGAGCAAGAGAGAAGGAGCATTTGACGCCTCGCCAGTCTCGCTCCCCGTCCGAGCAGTGCTCCAAGGTCACACCCGGGGAAGATGGAAAGCTGTGGCAGAGCTCAGTAAAGCCCAGCGAGGAGACAGAGACGGAAAGGAGTAAAGGGAAGACGGGCGTCTGCGTGACTATGTGTGTTGTGCGACCCGCATTGCATGGTTATGCTTTGCTCCGCTAGCTTCTCTTTGAAGCAAGCGTGGGAGCTTGGCGTACGGCACGCCGAGGCGTTGCGATGCCGACACTTTTGGACGTACCAACCGGGAGAGCAATTGTAACAAGCAGGAAACTAATACATGTATCTATGGAAGTAAGACGGGACTGGCGTTTTTGAATGTAACAGCCGGGAAAACGTATCAGCCGAGAACATACGGTATCAATGAGGTTCTACTGTATTTTGGTTATTTACTTTGCGCACATGCGGTGGTGGGAGCGTAAAGGTTTTAGTCGCTGCACACGAAAAATTTTTATGCAGCAGTTTTTGGGGTGTACAGAGTCAGTAAATCTTGTTAATTACAAGATAGATACTACCATTTAAAAAAAAATATATAGAAAACAAAAAGTTATATTTTAAAAATATTGACACAAACTTTTTTATTTTTATTTATAGAATTTTTTTAGGTATTGTTGATTCAAATAGATATTCAATCTCTGTAGTTCATGGGGAACCAACCTATATATTTAGGCTACGCTATCTTTATAGTTACGTCGTAGAAAAAATTATGTGCACATGATGGTTTTTTTTTTATGTATGCCATGCAGCACAGATATTGAACTAGAGCAGCTATCAGAAAATGGATTGCATGAATGAAAAGAGGAGCCCAATTTCAACTAACTGTTTCAAACTTTGGCCTCCTAATCTCAATATTAAAAAGAAAAGTATGCCTGAGGAGCATCCTTTCTTAACACAGAATGTGTTTCATGAGCTGTCCTCTATCAGAAAATGTCCATGACCGAGCGTCAGGAATGAATGTCAAGAGCGATCGTCATAAACGACGACACGCTGGAAGTGTATCACGGCGTTAGGGTTATACAGAAAGCTGACAAAGGTCCGTGTAAAATCAACATAAGAAAGGCATCCCAGCAGGGCATCAAATTTGATGAAAAATCTTGCTCAAACGACGCACTGAGTATGGTCTGTGCAGGACACATTTGGGGCTCCCTGGCCTTTGTCAGCCTGATCAGGTTCGTTCGTATAATTTTTACAGCGATAGCTGTTATGAGTACAGTAGGGCGTAGGATGTTTGTCGTCGACGCTGCCAAATCCTCAGAAAAGGTTTCCTGCTGCCCGTGGAAATCGAACCTGGGTCCGTGTGCGAAGTGGAGGCATTACCACAGAGCTACGACACAGCGTTAACAACCCTCTTTATACTTGTGAGTTTATACTGCACGCGCTCTCTAGAAGATAAAAAAATAGCCGAAAACAAAATGCTGTCGCAGCACTGTCAAGGTCAAGAGCTTGTGCAGGGAGACGCGCCTTCACGCACTCCGAAACACACAAAAAGAAAAAAAAAGAAACGTTGGGAACAGATTGGTCAGATGCCCATTTCGTTTCGAATGCTTTTTTTCACCCACCCCACGGTGCGTGAACACGACGCCAATGTCCAGCGGCTTCGCCGTGGTGTGTATCAGCTATTGCTGTGGCTGTGATGCAAATAAACGCAAAACTTGCTCAATTTTTTTTTTTTTTGTACATTTGGAGAAGCACATTTAGTTCAGAATTTAGTGTTTGAACCACAAAGCGCTCGTTCAGGCGCATTCCTTTTCCTCACGCCTGAGATTTCCGCGTTGATGTTGTGCGACTGTCGTGCAGCAAACAACGTGACTGAGACGCTGGTGCACCACAAGAACGAGCTGACGACGGACGTGAAGGGGTTCCGGGAGCCAGGCAGCTTCATCCAGGACATAGTGTACGACGCGCCGCTGGAGCAGATGGTGCAGCTGGTAAACCGGTCCACCCACTGCCGCCAGAGCCTCACCTACGAGTGCTTCAACGCCCGCCTCTTCGACACCAGCGGTGGGTCCTTTACTCCTGGAACCGCGTTTTCAAAGAAGAAAGAGGAAAACTCGCAGCTCTCGGGGAAGCTTGGGTTTCCACATCTTTTCCTGCTACATGGGGAAACGGTAGCAGCCGTATTCACCAGTCATGACTAACTAGCGCTGTTTTAAAATTAGTATCGCGTCTAAGTAGTCGCGAACTGAGCGAAAAAATCAGCGATTAAGGATCGACTAGTTCTGCGGTATTCACGAGTGAGAAGCGAGCAAGTGACTATCTAATCAGAACTAACAAACGGAAGTGACATAAAAAGCTAGGTCCTGCATACGCATACTTAAATGTCACTGCGTAAATAGGTATTTTATCGTATAAAATCTAATACTGTCGAGATCGGTTATAACGAAGTCGGTTATAAGGAAATAGCGGCTACAACGAAGTGATCACGATTTCCCATTCCCTTTTGCACTTTGTTAACTGAAGTCGGTTATAACGAAATAGCGGATATAGCAAAGTGATTTCCGATTCCCGTGAGCTTCGTTATAACCAGTCTCGACAGTACCATATTTACTCGCATGTGAATGCATTCGCATAATGAACGCAATCTCACAACAGGCACCAAAGTTTTGACTTTTTTTTCCCCTCGCGTAATCAATGCACCTCCAATTTTCGACTCCGCGAGTCCCGAATGGCATCCAATTCAGCTAGCCACCAAGCCAATTTTCTTTTGCCGCCAAGCGGTCAGGCCAAGTCATGCCAAGCCAAGCCGCTCTCGTAATGGCCACACATGCGTAGTTGTGGTAGTTGCGGAAGTGTTCAACCGTGAGACTGAGCGGCACGCACACTTGACGAAGCTTGGGTCGAGGAATTGCCCAGCCAAGGACATTTTTCGCTTCTCGGATGCATTGATGTCCACAAACACGCCATTGTCTGTGGTCCGCTTTCGGACAGAGAAATCGTGAAAGTCGTTGGGCTTACTTTTGCATACTCTGGGGGGCAAATGGGTTTGTTTAATCTGTAACAGAAGGGTGCTGCGAGGCGCGTGCTGAGGTGCACGCTGCATGGTAGGTTAAGAGTGTCTGGTAACAGCCGTGTCCATGAACGAAACTTGATCTGTGGAAGCGGACCTTGGCGGTCGGCAGATGGGCTTCGTACGAGTTCTTATACGCGTAGTCGCGGTATATACCTTGGCACGCCGCCGGATACTAGGACTATATATAACCTAAGAATGGTCGCGGAAAGCTTTCCGTGCTGAATGAGCTTCATAGGGCGCTTTTCCTTCCTCAAAAGGCACCCTGAAAGCGCCTTATGAAGGTTTGCAACTTATACACTCCGTGCGACGCGACTGGCGCGCCGTTGCGCGGCCGTTACCGAAGGTAGGCAGTGAGAACTCCAAAGAAAACGAAACCGAAACCATGCCACGTACGTACGTTGGTACGCATTGAATCAGAACGGTGCGGTTGCGCTGGGTTCACAGCACGAAGTGCTGCCAGTGGTGCGTCGTCAAGTACTTCAATAGTTATGCGTCGTATCTCGTACGGACAAAGTTTCACAGTTTTTCGCCTCTCCGATGTTTTGTGGGACATCAACAACGATGGACCGAGGGGCGGATTTAGAGGGGGGGTTCGGGTGCCCTCACCCCCTTCTTGATTTCTGCATGCATAAAATTTAGGGCGTGAAATGAGGGAGAGGGGGAGGGGGTTCCTAAACATATGGTACGCTGACCCAACACCTCACACCCCCCCCCCTCAGGAAATTCCTGCATCCGCCCCTGGATGGACCCGTACCATACTACACGAAAAATTAAGTTTTCCGATCATATCTGCCACTGTGTCGGCACGACTGACATATTATACACTGCCGCTTTGCACTCTGCGTTTGTTTTCGTACCAGTGACGCCTACATGTGTTAGCGCCGATGGGACGAACTGAAATGCCATCCCACACTCGGGGGTATGCAGGGCCAATTTCGTTGAAGGAATGCCCTCCAAAGAAGTTTCGTCCTCGTCGTACGTGTCGATGATATTTCCGGACAAGTAGGGCACGCAATCTGTACTTCAGGTAGAAAGATCCAAACGGTAAAAAAATAAAGTGACAAGTATTAATCTAAGGAAAACTACAATGAAACTGAGAATCACTGGAGAATCGACGATTGAGTATGGATGTCTATGTAATTTTCTTTCTTTTTTGATCAGCCTCCTTTTAAATGTGGAAGCGCTGACACCCCGAGCTCTGTAGACAACAATTTCTTTTCTCGGCTTTACAGCCACCTATAGCAAAGTTGTTCGAACTGGAAGTACCGTCCACTGGTCCCTTCCGACCTGTAAAGTGTGCACCTCCCATGATGAGGGGTTTTGACCGTCAGTCTTGACAGCCTTTGACGGTCAAAACTGGTTCCCATTTAGTTACGCCGCCCAAACTAAATTTCCACTTGGTTTCGCTATGCAGCCTCTTTTTGGTATAATAAGTGTAGTGTGAAGTTACGGTCATGTTAAAGTACCTGTGTGCCGAAAATCAGCATCTCGAGCAACAGGTTATTACATAACAGCTGACCACAAAAGCCTTTGACGGCCAAACCGTGTGTTGGCCTAATTTTGTTTTTTAGGCTTTAGAACCACCTTTCAATTGGGAGTGCAGTCCATTAGTACCTTCCTACCTGTAAAGTCTCCATCTCCCACGACAAGTGGTATTCTCTTGATAGCTCTTTCATTGTCAAAACCGGTTACCATTGAGTTAACGCCGCCCAAACCAAATTTCCACCTTGTTTCCTTACGCCACCTCTTTTTGGTATAATAAGTGCTGTATCATGTTGTTGTCAAGTCCAAGCACCTGTGTGCCCAAACCTGCACTTCGCACAGCCCAGTTATACCACAACATTTCGGGTCCAATATTTGGTATGCCGTAAAGCTTTATTTCCTTATTCGTTTGAAACATAACTTTCATACCTGCTGTCTTAATGAAACTTGGCACACTTCGTGCACAAACTTAGTGAACATCTCACTTGCCTACAAATATCATCGTTCTAGCAGTTCCGTTTACAGCGACGAGTGAAACAAATTTCCCACTCAGAGCAATTATGGTGGTGGCCGTCTTGCTTTTCGGAAAATTGCTCCAACCCCCTTTTCGGCCGTAACTAGAGAAATTACCCCTAATAACGACTCTAACTCAATATATAAGAAGTGGAGAACAACTAGATGCCCTTCCTAGGTCTGCCCCAGCACTTATACAACGTCACCCTCAACGTATCGGCTCAAAATGCAAAAGTTTCGTCCGTGCGCGCTTCCGCCGCCACAGCTTCGCATGCGAAAAGGCGCCACAGGCTGCTGAACGCGCCTCACTGTCGAACGCCAGCTCCTCGGCTAGCGGCGCTGCGCGCGTTTTTCAAAGCGCCCCCTATAATTCCCGCACGGAGTGTATAGAGCATGGTTACTGTGGCACGCCCCCGACCAGCCGTAGGTGCGCCGCGGTCGGTGGAGATGTGCCACACTACCTTGCCATGTCATATTGGCTCCTAATATGACATTTGTACAAGTGTGTAAATGCAAAATTTTACCCTGCTTAATAAATGCCCCCAATGTCAATTTTTTGGGGAAAAAAATGTGTTCATAATGCGAGCAAATGCAGTATTTAAATGTTTATCAAGAAAAAAAAAAGTTACAAGGAGAGACTAATTGTCCAAGACAAAGTTTCAGAAAGAAAAATAAAGAAAAAAAAAATGCAAGGGAGAAACACGGAGGTTGCATTGCCAGCAACATAAACAAATATGGAAGCGCCTGTAAATCTGTTTTTTCTAGTCGTCAGCGCTCTGCTGAGATTGCTTTAGCAGTATCTCTGGCCATTGAACATGGCTATTTACACAATATTTTTTGCTCCAATTCTTTCAAGATGTGTCGCCCAGCGTGCTTCGTTAGCGCTGGCGGTCAGCGGTGATACGAGTCGGCCATGGCGCTGAGCCGCTAGTCACCCGCTAAACACCGGCTAAACTAACCCTGTCCCATGACTAAGATTTGTTAGTCGACTTCTTAGTCGCGTAGGGCGACGAGGTCCTAAACACGACCAGTGAATACCAAGCGCTCGCTTAGCAGCGACTATATCTCACCATGGGATCATTTTAGTCGGTGACGTCTCTAATCGGTGGTTAAACAGGCACTACTAATGCCTGGTGAATACAGGTGTTAGAAATTTCTACCATTAAGGAGTGTTAGGATTTACCGCAACATACCGGGCGTCTGCCCATTCCATGATAAGCGCCCTCTCCTCAATTTTGTAACTTTCGTGTAATACACCCAGAACATATCTTTTCATATTGTTGACCTAAGAAGCACCCATCCCCCAGTTTTATGTGTGATTATCTTCAAATCTTGAATGGGCGCATGCTCGAAATTTTAGGCTAGTGTTTTATTTTATTCTTTTATTACTAAGAAAAAACAAGTTAAATGAACCCGTTAGGGAATGTCGGTATTCTAGTTTGTCCTGTCACTAAGGGGAAATGAAAAAGCACCGTGTTAAAGGTGTACTGAATTGAAGGTTGAAATATATCTCTCATATTCAGAAATAAGTTAAACACGGTCAGCTCTATCTGCTAATGAAAATTGCATGCTTGTATTTCAAACGGATGGCTATATTTTTCGTTCTAAATGTTTGATTCTGGTGAGCGTTTTAAAATCAGCCACCAAAAAGCACGATGCATCTCAAGATATCCGTGGCGCCCGCGACTTGCCCGCGATGTCATTGGCCTCTCTAGTGCCAAGCGTGCCGTAGTTATGAGCGTTGACACTTGGTGGCGTTGACGCATTACTGCTTCGGTAAGTGAGTGCCCAGGGGCTATGACATTTCACCGGGAGATTGCGGAGCCGGCGGAGTCACGGTACATCGTCTGCCCCGCGACTTGGCCGGTATGGCTACGTCAGTTTTGGCCACGAGCTCGCTGCTCCTCAAATGGGATGACATCGCCAGGAAGCGGCAAATGTACCTCCGTTATCTCCGACTAAGTGATATGCTGGTAGATTTCCTAGCTCACATTGTCTAAGGTTAAGGCAGGACCATGTGTGACATCGGTAGAACGAAGCAATTGCTGCTTATCTGATTTACCAGCGACTGATCCCAACGACCAGACTTGGCGAGGGCGCCAGCCTCACGGATAAATAAATATCACTTTGAAGGTACCATACCAGTAGGCATCCCTCATTTATTCAAGCGAGTAGGGAAGGAGGCAGAGTCCAGTGAGGTAGCACGGCTGTTTCGTCACTCGAGTATTTCACGCGGGGTATCGCATGGATAGTGGTGTGACTACGGCATTATCATTTCACTGCAAAGAAACGCTCGCACCACAACGATTTTGCGACATTTCCACTAAACAAATGAAGGGAAGGCATCGGTGTAGAGGAAGCTTGCGCTGGTCTCGGCGGAACACGATTTTCCAAGCAAAGGCACTGAGCACAGAGAACACGACTGTACAGTACTACAAAAAAACACTCGCATCGCCACGATTTTGCATTGCGGCTTGTCTCAATGGTGAACAGTAAATGAATAAAGAGACACAATGGAGGCGTTCGTTCCGCCGCAGCTTGCGGCAAAACGGACGGCAGCCGCATCTATTTCTGGCGCCGTGCCACTGCCAGGGTCGTGGCAGGAAACTTTGCGACGTCGCTGTGACGTCATTCGGAGGAAATCGAAGGGCCACTTTCGAGGACGCATGAATGTGCGAGTCAGAGACGCATCACTGGCATAGTAGTGGCACTCCCACGAAGAGGGACGTCATTTGTCCGTCCTTCCGTTTTGAGGGCAACCATGAACTCCCCTTTGCCGTCGCAGTTCAAGACACGGGGCCGGACACGTTCTCGCCGTACGGCTGGTGGGTGAGCCGCAGCAATCAGAAGATGGACTACTGGGGCGGGTCGGTGCCCGGCTCGCGCAAGTGCAAGTGCGGCCTGTACGGCACCTGCAAGGACCCCCAGCGCTACTGCAACTGTGACGCCGGGCTGGAGGAGTGGACCATGGATGGGGGCGAGCTCACGGACCGGGACTACTTGCCCGTGCGCCAGCTGCGCTTCGGGGACACCGGCTCGGCCTCTCTCCTGGAGGACCGCAAGCGCGGCCGTTACACCCTCGGGCCGCTCGACTGCCAGGGGGACGGTGAGTGCCGCAGCTTACAAACGGGTTTTGCGTCTTTTTGGTAATTACGGAATAATTCCTAAAATTAACCCCTGAGCTCATCTTCTCGGAGTCGGGGAATACTGAAAACCCCCGAATGGAAGCCGTCTTTGTAGGAGAAAAACCTGGTCTTCGAGGGAAGAAATCTTACAGCGGGGCTGTTAAGGGCTAGGTTCCCCAGGATCGTGTCCAGTATCAAATAAGTGTCAACACAAAACTTTGGACAGCTACAGCCATCTATGAGCGACTGTGGCAACCAGCAGTCGGCTTGCTGGCCTTGCTCATAGATGGCAACAACCTTTCCAGCCTTTCCACTCTGGTTTTCACCAGAGTGGAAAGGCTGAATTTCTCTGGGCGTCGTCCTCGAGGTTGTCCTAGAAGTCGTCCTTGAGGTCATCCTAGACGTCACCCTTGAGGTCATCCTAGACGTCACCCTTGAGGTCGTCCTAGACGCCGTCTTTGAGGTTGTCCAGGTGTCGTCCTTGAGGTCGTCTTAGAAATCGCCTTAGAGGTTGTCCTAAACATCCTCCTTGAGGTCGTCTGACCATGGTACAACTTTGCTGGTCTTTCTTCTTCACCAGAGTGGAAAGGCTGAAAGTTTTTTAAGTGCAACTTTACTTTGCATTGACTTGGAGCAAAGCTTCCACCGAACTGTCCACAGGGCTGCCACTTCCTTTGCGCATCGCATCTCGCTCTCTTCTCTCGTCGGTGCCGGAACATAATCCAAATACAGTGGAAGCTCAATCCTGTATCCTCGGTTCATGCGACATCCCGCATTTTACGACGAATTTGCCCGGTCCCGACGAACTCCCCGTAGAAATAATGTCTTAAAAGTTTAGTTCGCATGACATGCGATGCTACGCATCCCGCGTCGTACAATGTTCCAGCGGGAGACGCGCGACGAATTCGGCGGCTGCATGAGGAGGGGGGGCGGCGGTGCAACAATGGGGAAGAGTTCTGCACACCATTCCGGAGGGTCCAAAAACACACCGGCGGCACCCCAAGACAGCCGCAGTGCCGGGAGGGAGCAGGAGACGGCGCTGTCCCTTCTGCTCCCCGGGTTGTGAAATGTCCCAGTATTTTCGCGTTGCGTCCTTGCTCTGCTCATCCCGTTTTTCTCTTGTTTCTCGTTTATGCTTGCTGTCCTGTGCATGCCACTTTCTCCAACCTCCGCTCGTTTTTTTTTGTGCAAGCGTGATGCCGATCACTGTATCCGTAATTATAGTTTTTGCGGATGATGCAACTCGGATTATACTGTAAACTTTCGTTAATACAACCTCCACGGGACCTTGAAATTTGGTCGAATTATCCGAATTGTCGAAATAAAAAAAAGGACAGAAAAGTGGTTAACATCAAACTTCCTTTTATTGTCCCAAGTACTCACGGGTGGTCTGCCACCGTCTGCGCTTAAAACCCGTGTCCAAAAGCATGCTCCGGAGAGCAACGTAACTAAACATCATCTCCTCAAGAAATCGCACTACAAAAAAAAGAATAAGTTTTACGAGTTAGCTTTGGCACATCCAGATTGTTAACAACAAAAAAAAAAAGAAAAAAAGAAAAGAGAACCCACACTTTCCGACGCACAAGATGGACCGCACACGATGCTACAGAAATGCGCTTTGAGAGCACGCGCTGTCCCCGCGCCCGACCCCACGCAATGTTCTCCGCGCTACTCCACGCTAGATTGGTTGCGCTGGCTCATGTCATTCGCTGCGGTCCATCTGAACGGTGTAGAGGAGCAGGCGCATATTTGCACACGTCCGGCTTTGCAGCAAAGGGCCCCTGTTTCGCCGTACGTTCGTGGTTTTTCTGCCATGGCGTTGTGCAATGTGAGCCCGCGAGATTCGCTCGGGACGAATTATCCGATGTGGAGTCTTCCTGAGTTCAAACTATCGGACTTTTCCTCCCGTAGAAATGTCTGAGCGCTTGCCGGGACTTTTGAAAATGATTGAATTAAACAAACAGTTGAATTAACCGGGGTCGAACTAACGAAAGTTTACTGTACGACGATTTTGTGCAGTCCCACAAATGTCGTGTAATTGGGGTTTCACGGTAGTAGTATTTAGGTCACATACAATCTTTGGCGTTTGGGGAATCTCATGTCTGTGCCCCCTGTCGTTCGAGGTCAGCCCCAATAAAGGCTTTTTTTCTACAGCGGAGCTGCTAAGGGCTACTTCCCCAAGATCGTGTCCGTGTATGTCGACACAAACCAACCTGGACAGCTACCGCCATCTATAAGCGACGGCGGCAAGCACACAACCAGTAATGGTTTCCACCGTTGCTCGTAGATGGCGCCAACCTTTCCAGCTATCATAGAAGAATGGACAGTTGAGCGCGTTGGTGGAAATTCAGCGTAGGAAACAGCACGAAAAACAGACGACGACGAAGAAGAAACACACAGTGTATCGAGTACAGCTCCGCTGGGCTTCTTCATGAGAGTGGAAAGTCTAAACGTTTTTTTTGTCTAACCTCAAAAATGTACATAAAAAATTGGGGAAACAGTGAATCCTAAAAATACATCCCCTGATTCAAAGAAAAATAAACTTTAAAAACGTGGAACCCTTCTAACAAAGGTCCGAGATGAGCGTAGAACTTAACTACCGCACTCTTTTTGTCGCGGCAACTCTGATTGCCGCTTGTGACTCGCAGGGTCGAAGCAACATTGTCCGTTGCAAAAATCCCGGCAAGTGTGGGTGTCATCCTTCGTATGTCTGGATGAGAGAAAAAAGCTTTGCAGATGCTAAGGCATGGACCGTGAAAAGACACCGACGCATGCCTTGGCATTAACTGATCTTTGCAATAGAACTGAGGGAAGCTACAATACTTCTACATTTCTGCAGACTTCGAAGTGGAGCTCGCTTATCGCGTCAGCTCTAATGTACCATGCCATAAGGGCTATGAGAATCCTAGAACCCTTATTTTCGCTCCTCCCCCGCAGCGCTGTTCGAGGACGTGGTGACCTTCCGGTACACGGACGCCACGATCGAGGTGCCCCACCTGAACCTGCGCCAGTCATGGGACATCTACTTCCACTTCAAGACCACCGCCGAGAACGGGGTGCTCTTCCACAACAAGGGCCCCACGGACTACATCAAGCTCGTGCTAATCGGTAGGTGTCCTCCGCTCGTGCCCTCTCCTTCGGCGTCCTCGTGACGTTGTATTTTGATGGCGGGTACTCTTCCGTTTGTTTATGGTTGTATGTGCGACCTCGTGGGGCTTCTTGGTGCACGTATGGCAGAAACCCTCTGAGGATCGAGTTCGGTCGTGGCAGAGCCAGTTGCCACATTCTAGAGATTTAGTAATGCCGAGAACGTCGCCGATAAGGAAATGTTTACACTTGAACGAATACGTAAATTAGCTAACAAGGTTTACCAGCACGGTTGGAGACAAGTACAGCCGCATGCCTTAAATGTAACAAAGCTGGATCTGCCCCTTTTGCTACCACTGCGGCTCTCATGACCCCCAATGCGTCTTGATTTGCGAAACAGTTAAGGGGGGACACGGCTCCTTGAAACAAAAAAATGAAAAAAATCACATTTTTGAAATTATGTTTTTTAATATCTACAGATATTTTCGCATCTTTTCTAAAAGTATTATCGCAAAATACGCCATATTTATTTCGGGGTATTGATTTGAAGTATCTAAACGGAAATGCTTTCTCCGAAAAAAGCAAAAAAAAGGTACAATTTGACCGCCGGTAGCTCGAGAACAATGCGATAGAAGGGGGACATCTTGGTCTCATTTGAAAGCTCCGCTCCCGCTATTTCTTCTCCCGCCATTCACGATGATACACGGCGATTGGCCACCGAGAACAAAGCACAAATAAAAAAACTTAGTCCTGCCACGCGGTTGGCTGTTTTGGATCACGTGTGCAAATGGCGCTTTCTCATTGGCCGTTAGGGTTACGAAGCGTCTGCTCGTTGTTTCCGGTCCGCCATCTTGTTTGATTCTCGTGCGCGTCTCTGATCATGCCGATCACAACAACTCCACGGAAAAAGTTTCATATGGCCCACAAGTTTGGAAAAAAACGAAAATAGGGCCCGAGGAAGCTAATCCACGGCGCAGTTCAACTTCCCGCGAGCCTGAACGTCGACAACGAGGTGCGGGAGCCCGAACACGAAGATGTCGCATCGACGGCGCCGTCGACATCCATGACTTCAAGCGAGCGAGTGCGGCTCGACACGGTGATGCTCCGCGCTTCCGAGGTCGACGAGAAAGAAAAAAAAGCCGAGGAAAAACTCTAAAGAACTTTCGTCGACGTCCGCTACGACGCGGAAAGCTGCCCTGATGGCCGGCGTCTCGGGCGCCGATCAAGAAGCTCCCGAGAGTACAGAGAGTTTCATCGTCGTAAGCCTCGACGTCGTGAACTCGCTTCTTCAACTCTCGAAGTGTAAAGCTTGTTGCGGCGATGTCGAACTCATAAAATGCGATCGCGAGTATGGACTTGCAGTAAAACTCAAGTGATGTTGCAAGATCTGCGGGGATGTCGCATCCGAGTGGAGTTCGCCGCGGGTAGCAGTAAAAATCTGTCCGTGAACGTTTTTTGCTGTTTTCTCGAAATGAACTTTTTGCGCAGTTTGCTATTTTGCGGAAGCCGTATCTCAGGCTGTACACCACCGATCTTCCTAATTCTTTTTTTTCTTAGGTAGGTGTATAAGTGGGGTATTCAATAAGGGGTCTAATTGCATCAACCTAGGCATCAGTATTTTTTGTTAGCACCTCCAACATAGATTGTAAAAATTGATTTATAAACTGAAAATTTTGAAATGCCGTAAAAATGTTTTCAATAATCATGGGGCCTTCATTTATACCTTATTGGATTCTGTAGACCTTCTAGTTTACAGAGATATATTTCTTTTTGAGTTTTGTCTTCATAATTTTTTAGAATCTCGCCCATAAAATGTTCAAAAAAAATAGTTAATTTTATCAAAACTAGCCAAGCTATTTTAAAACAAAGTACATATTTGTCATCAGAATGGGAAGATGATTATGCTCTATAAATTTCATTTGGATTGGTCCATAAATAAAAAAAAAAGCTCAAGAAGCAGTGTTTTCCCTTAAGAGACTGTAACCCCTGCTTCGATTTCCAGCTCTAACAAAGTTCGTAGTTGGTGGAGTCGGTGCATGTTGCGTGGAAATCGAAACTAATAAAAGACGGGGACAAGTAGAAAATGTACACCGATACGGCCGTGTCTGACGACCGTCATTTTCTTTTACGCTGTTCCTTTACATTTGCATTTTCGTGCTAAAGAAAAGGACCTTCAGTAGCCAGTACCATGTCTTTGCATTCGTCCTCCTTCTCCTTGCGTCTTTTTGCTCCATTTTGTTCTTTCCACCCAGTGTTGGTAATAAAGACTAGCAACGCCAAATCGTTTCCTTTGGCTGCGCTCCAGCGAGACGCCCGAGCGTCGTCGAGGGTGGGAAGATAGTGCCGGTGGCAGGACAACCCAAGCTGTCGGCCTGTGGTTGTTGCCAGAGGCAACAGGCCATTGACACTGTGGCCGCCCTACCCGTGCCCAGGTGGGGACCAGATCCAGCTGCTGTACGAGACGGCAGGTGGGGGCCCCCAGGGGGTGAGCGTGGAGACGTCGTACAAGCTGAACAACAACGTCTGGCACTCGGTGCACGTGGAGCGCAACAAGAAGGAGGCCCGCATCATCGTGGACGACAGCCAGGGCGCAGAGGTGAAGGAGAAGCCCGACCGTTCCCACGCCCTCAACCTGCCGGGCAGGCTGGTCATTGGTGAGCTCTGCCGTCTCTCCTTTCGGAGGGACACTCCCAAGAGACGTATTAATGCGCACTGCGTTTGTGGGCTGGACGGAGGCCAACGGGTGCACAAACAGCTGGATTTTATAGGATTCAAGGGAGCCTGCGGTAGTAGGCAACTGTCGGCGTGCGCTGCCGGCTTCCGAACGACTGGCCTCTATCATTGTTGTAAATGGGTCGAGTACACGAGTGAGTCGTGTGCTCAACGCATCTGTAACTACCGATAGAGTTCCGTAACCAAACATAAATCGTAAAGCGCGCTTAATGCATGCACGACATGTTTTGTGCCTGCCAGGTTTATGGAAATGATAGAGACAACATTAATTTTTTTTTAAGTGCATAAATAGAACATGTACGTCGCAAAACACACTTTTCACGAGAAGAATGGTAATGAATTAACGCGATAGGTGCACCGCAGGATGCATTTTAAGTTTGGAGCAGTTTCATCTGCTCACACGTGCCAGCTGAAGAGTGTCTTATATTTGGAGGCCAGTGCACTTGATCTGACGATAGAAGAGAAGTCATTTTATGAGCCTTCCATCGGGTGAAGGAGTGTGGATGTGAGAAACTGCCTCCTCTTCTCTCTGCACCTTTGCCCTCTGCATGCTGAGAAAGATGTGAGAGAACATTTGGAGAGGAAAGTGGCTCATATACCTAGCTCAGAGCTTCGTCTGCGGTGCATCTTGCAAAGAAAATATTGCATTGAGTAATATTTTTTAGGGGGAGTTCCATGTCGTGAAATGTAGCCTATAAAGAAAAGAAATTTTGGGAGTGCAGCTCTGGGAGGATAGAAAATATGAACCCCCTTTTTATAATGGAGAAACAAGCACTGAAAACGTCTATTAAGACTACTACTCATTTTCTGCTTTAATACTTTGATTTTGGGGACAGTGTTGTCGTTTTTTTATATCTAGGACAGAGTAGAACCTCTTTTTAGTAAACGCCAAGGCAGGTGATCCTTAGATAAGAATAAATACATGTTTTCACTTACTCTAGTAAAGACTGATAGAGTGAAGATGCTGATTTTGTGATCAAGGTTGGAGTAAAGTTCTAATAGTACCAGTCTGGTAAGGCACTTGAGGTATGTACTGGGCATATTGACATTAGTGAAGTTCTTTCTTCACAAAAACTGAGGCTACTATGAGAAGTTCTAGTGTGTTATAGTAGCCAAGATGATTTTTGCTATTTATTTTTCACGTTTTGGTTAACATTAACAAAATGGTCAGAAACTGTTTTCAGTATTGCCGACGTGCAAACTCCAGACACTGGCCAGAGGGGCCCCCAATCAGCAGTGTGTGTTTAGCAGCAGGACACATCATGTTTGTCGTGGCTCTCGCGGGGTCGAGTCGAGGTGACGTTGAAACAAGAGGATTGGAAAACTGCCGAACGGGAAATGTTCGATTTAAATGGAAATCCACGGCACTCAAGCTTTGTTCTTGGAGGGGCCTCCGAGCTCCAAAATTTTCTCGAACGTCTCCACCCCTGTGCAAAGCATTTTTCCTGTTTAAGCGCTATTTCGGAGGATCTGAGCCACCCACTGGATGCATAACTACGATCCTCCCTAGCACGTGAATTATTGCTTTGGGGGAAGCTTCTTTGCTGCTTCGCCGCATCAATATCAAGAACAGGAAACGTTCCTCGGCCGTCAATTCAGAGAGATTTTCAAGCTTGTAAAATTGGAGAACTCAGGATTTCAAGGGAAAGATATTCATACTATGTTTGAAATAACTGAGAATATTTGCCTAGAATCCCGACGGTGTCTCCCCCTTGAAACAGGAGCAAGCGTGGACTACAAGGAGGGCTATGTGGGCTGCATGCGGGCCTTCCTGGTGAACGGGGTGCCCGTGCAGCTGCGGGCCCACGCCCGGGAGGGCCTGTACGGGGTGTCCCTGGGCTGCGTGGGCAAGTGTGCCTCGGCCCCGTGCCTCAACGGGGGCTTCTGCCTTGAGGGCTACCAGGGATACACCTGCGACTGCCAGTGGACCCCCTTCAAGGGACCCATCTGCGCCGACGGTTGGCCTTCCCTGTCTTCTTAACAAGGCGTCCAGACTTAGTCTCTGGAGGGGAAAGGGGCGTGCATCACAGAGCAAAGTCATTCGCAGGCTTTGCCCAACGGTCTTTCTCTTGCCGGTCGTGAATTGAGTTTCTGTCGGAACAATTGACGGACCTTTTAGGGGCGAAGCTCCTTAGGGTCTAGCCTTGTCCATCCGGCGTCCGTGCTATCGATCTTGCTGGTGCTCTTGCTCGTGAGCTCACATGCTCACGAGCACGTGTTCATGTGCTCGTGTAAAACAAAAAGAAAAAAAATGTTTGCGCAGTCGGCAGGATTTGTACCTGTGCGGGATACCCCAATGGATTTCTAGTCCACCGCCTTAACCACTCGACCACGACTGCGGGACGAGTAGAGGGCTTTGAGATGTGGTAGTAACTCAAGAGCTGGGGATGTCATGGATGAAACGTTGCATGTAGCCACTTAACATCTATACAGGAGAGGGCGCTGCGGTCAAATACGTATATAATCACGTTAAACTTTGCATGCATTGGGCGCGTTAAGTTAGTGAGCTCCAGACTCCGGACATCTGCGCTCGAGCGCGCGGGTTCGGAGCGTAGCTTAACGGCGCACTTTGTTATCGAGGCGACATCTGACGCCTATTTTTTTAACGTTCCCGTTTCCGGCTTTCTGGCGCGCGTAAACATGGCTCCCGTCTCGTCGAAACTGCAGTATATCGAAGCGTCGAAAAAGTGTTTCTTCGACGAGGAGTTCGATGAAATAAGTGCGCGGAGACGGCGGCAACAGCAAGAGCTTGTATTTGTGCTGCACGCTGTTGGTGCGGCGATTAAAGGTACGCCGAACGCCCCCTGAATTCCCAAAAGCCTTAAAGAATGACGGCTGAATGGCCGAATTCATTGGCTCGCCTGATCGTGAAATTGCGGTAAGGTACATGAAGAACTTTGACAAGCATTTGAAGGATGTATGCATACTTTTCTACACCAGCACCATGCTTTTTTTATTTTCCACAATGACGGAAGGATTGCACGAGCTGCCAAGCTATCACCGTCGAAGTATCCACGCATCCAAGCAGGCGCGACTTGCGCGTCCGAGGGAGTCCCTAAAGGCTTCGGCGCAAGCACAAACGACGCCGAGAGCTCCGAGCACTGCATGGCAGCGCAGAACGAGCAGCTCCTACCCACGACCGAGCCTACCTCGGTGCCGTTCCTGGCTAGGCCGGAGCCTTTGGGCCGCGGGGTTCAGTTGGTGCGGTCGCGGTCGGCAAGGTTTGGCGAGGCGAGCGCGGTGGCATCCTCGGAGCGTTCGGAAGCGAACTCGCTCGCCAAGGATTGCGCACACCCGACGCCTCTGGTCCCGGCGGCCCGGCCCGGAGCCCAAAACGCTTGGGGTTTTGATGTTTTTTCCGTCTCGTGCGAGACCACCGCGTGAAACCACCTCGAGTAACCGCGAGACTGGCCGCGAGAGCGGAAACGTCGTCATTACACCGGAAACCAACCTGTTTGAGCTCTCGCGCACCATCTCCGACGACGGAGCTCGCGGAGCGCGCTCCGCCACCGTGCACCGGAAGTGAGACGATGTCGTTTAGTTTAGCTCGAGTGCACTCTGACCGCTGGAGCGCGCTCGAGCGCGTTAACTTAAAGCGCCCATTGACTCAACGTTTATAGACAAGAGGGCGCTGCGGTCAAATGCGTATATAGCCACGTTCCATACCACACATTCTCTTTCTGACAAGGATGAAAATGAACGAAAGGCTCGTCATGCTGCGGCTCAGCGTCTACACAGACAGGCACCACCAGAGCTTCGCCCAAATCAACATCATACGTGGAGATGCGGTCATTTTTGCAAATCGGTGCACACCCTCGTGCAAGCCTGGGAACCTCGGGACAGTTGAGGCCCTTACGCTTTCACAAGTACCTTTATTCGGAGTTGCTGGAACGACACATTAAAAAGAAAGCTGCAGCAATCTGTATCTGTAAAGTTCTATAATACCTGGAACATATTATGTTGGGAATGGTCGTCTAAATTTGTTCAGATGGCGTTAAAGGCTCGTTTTGTGTAAGTAACTTATTATTTATTAATTGGTATCAATTTCCTCTTAAGAGGGGACATGGCCTGGGAGGGTCAACTTTTGAACCATTCTCTCAAATCGATTCAACTTCTCAGGGTAAATTGAACCCCATTAGTATTGATGACATTCAAAGTTTCAGTCTGGTAGGCCCATTCTACAACATACTATGCTTAACAAGCTTCAGAAAAAAATGGCTTTATTAGGAAATGTATTTAAAAAAAACAAAAAATTCCAATCCACAAAGTGTTTGGTTTAATGTGAAGTAGAATACCCATAGTGCAAGTTAAGGTAAAAATTAATTGTAGCATATACAATTCTATAGAAATACAATAACACCAAGAAAGAACAAACAATTTTAACAAATTTCTGTGTTTTAACATTATCATGCTCTTTTGAGAGGATCGGCACGTGGTGACTGTGGCAGGAGACATAGGGCATACATCGGCAGGGAGGTAAAGCGTCTGGCTGCAGACCGACAAATTTTAAGTTTAGTTCCTGGTGGGAAATTATTACACTACATTTTTCAGGCTATAATCCACTGGCTATTGTTTAGAAGTGTACATTTTGCGGTCCTGACTTCTTTGTGATCTAATGAGTCATTTGTTGAGGAGTTGTTAGCGTGAGAAGTTTTTATGTTCCAACTAAGCACCAGGTGTAGTCTATCGAAAGAGAACCTTTCCCTTTTTATTGTAAATTTGCCCCTGCAGTGAAAAATGTGGTATATTGATTAAATTCTGAGTAAGTGCTTGCATACATTTTTTTTTTTTTTTGCTTATGTTGTTGCAGTGTCGAAACCCGTCGTGCCTGCATGCCCCGTAATGGAGTATGCATGGACAAAAAAATTTCTAGGAGTGATGGGTTCTACCGTAAAGTATGCTATTCCTAAAAAGGACCGCAGCACCGCTTGACGGCTTCCTCGGGATTCCCTGTGACCGTGTACCACTGCCGTCCTTGCAGAGATTGGGGTGAACCTGCGGTCGGACTACTTTGTGCGGTACGACTTTGAGACGACTCTGTCCACGCTGGAAGAGTACATCCGGGTGGGCTTCACCACGACTGAGCACCACGGCATGATCTTCGGCATGTCTTCCCGCACGGGGGAGTACCTCAACCTCATGATGTCCACCAGCGGTGAGTGAGGAGGACCCTCCTCCTTGACATCTCATTTCCTGCCCCGTGGGGGAGAGTGGGAGCCCTATTTCTGCTTTTCAAAGCAGGAACAAGGCGGTCAGTCGGCCTTGGGACATTAACAGGAATTCAGAAAAACTGGATTCATAGATGCAAAAATGTTCCAAAAGCCGGGATTCATGATTAAAAACAAATACCTCCGACTTGCATAACAATATCAACATTTATCAGACGTTTCGTCTCCTATACGGGAGACATCATCAGTGTGGCCTGGGAACACCCGACTAGCTACCAGAAATCCAACGCTTCTTCCTCCTTCTCTTCATCTGTGGCGCTGGTTCTGCCGACTTCTTCGTCCATGGCATAAGGGAGACATTATCATTGTCTGCCCTCGCTTCAACTTCTTTTTACGTCCGTCCTGGATGGTAAGTTAAATGACAAGTTATTTCAGGATGTCGGTGTATACGTCGGGGAGGGGGCCGCGGTTAGAATTGCAGGCAGATGGGTCACTCCGAATACACCATGATTCCAGAAATCTTCTGGGGCCCCACCGTTGTTCGCGTGCCAGGGTCACAGCATTCGCCAGGTCGAAAGTGTGACCACTCGTCCAACAATGGTCCACCAGTTCTGTTTTTGATCTTGTGGCATGTGTTGCCTTCTCCACGTCTCTTTTGTGTTCTTTGAGGCGGGTACTCCGTTTGCGGCCAGTTTCTCCGATGTAACACTTGTCACAGTCCTGACAGTTCACTTTGTATACAACACCACTTTGAGATTCAGGAGGGGTTGGATCTTTTGGCTTCGAAATGAGGTCACGTAATTTTATATGGGGTTTGAAAGTTGTTCGTATACCTAGTGGCAGGAGGGACCGGCGAATAGATTTTGAGACGCCTTTTACATAAGGGATAGTCACCACGCCTGCTTTGTAATTATTAGTCGCTTTTGTTCTTCCCTGCTGCATCTGTTTACGTGTGTTTTCAATAAAACCTTGTGAATACCCGCGCTTCAAAAGGGATCCGATAACAGTCTGAACTTCCGATGCTCGTAAATTTGAATTTGAAGGCAAATGTTCTGATCGGCTAATTAAGGTTTTTACAACGGCTCGCTTATGTTCTACAGGGTGGTGAGAATTGAAACTCAAAAAATTGCCGGTATCACAAGGTTTACGATACACGGTGGTTTCAATCTGATCGGTGTCACTTCGGCAAACAGTTACGTCCAAAAAAGGTAACGTGCTATTTTGTTCAACTTCTCGCGTGAACTGTATGGAAGGTTCAATGCTGTTTAGGGTTGCATGGAAGTCATCGACGTGATCCTCATTTAAAATAACGAAAGTGTCATCTACATAACGTCGATAGAATTTGACAGGGCATGCTTTTACTTCTAACGCGGTCTGCTCTATGTGTTCCATTACCAGATTAGCCAAGGTCACAGATACCGGACTACCCATTGGGCAACCCTCAATCTGACGATAGAATTGTCCACGGAAGGTGAAATGCGACTGATTTAGACAAAAACGCAAAAGAATAATAATATCCTCAACTGTCAGAGATGTCCGTGACGAAAGTGTGGAGTCATTACGTAGGCGTGTTTCGGCAACTTCCACTGCAAGAGTGGTCGGAACATTAGTGAACAAAGATATAACATCAAACGAGACCATTACATCTCCCTTGTCCAGAACATGACCTCGAATTAGGTCAACAAATTCTCGAGAGTTTATAACTGTAAAGTTGTTATTCCCTGTTATGGGAGAAAGCAGCTCTACTAGATATTTAGATAGGTTGTACGTGGGGGAACCAACAAACGACACAATCGGTCGTAGAGGACAATCGGGTTTGTGAATTTTGGGGAGGCCGTAAAGTTTTGGAGTACAACCATCGGAAGAAAAAAGGCGGCGGTAAATTGTGTCATTTAAGCGGTTCTTCTTTTTTAGATCACGTAGGTGGTCAACCAGAGCTCTTTCAGATTTTTTAGTCGGATCCTGTGCTAACTTTACAAAATGCGCAGTGTCCTGGAGGATGGCATCCATTTTTTGAAAATAAGCCTCTTTGTCAATGACAACAGTGCCCTTTCCTTTATCTGCAGAAAGGACAAGGATTGAATGGTCGGATTTAAGGTCCCGTAGTGCCGCTTGTTCGTGCTTATTTAGATTCGACGGGGTGGTTCTTGCGTTATTTAAAGTAGTCATTATACGGCTGCGTGCTAGGTTAATCCCTGAGCTATCATGGAGATGACGTAGCTTCTGTTCTATTTCCACGATAATGTCTCGTTTGGGGACAACGCGCGGGGCCAAAGCGAAATCTAGTCCTTTTGACAGAAGGCTTACATGACCGTCCGAGAGATGTTTAGATGACAGATTATAGACGGAAGTTGAAGTTGGTCTGGTAGAGGGCTTGGGTATAAGTTGTGATAATTTCTTGTCGTGGATGTTCGTGAGCTTGATTTTCTCCAAGTCTTCGGCTTGCTTACGTGCGCCAAAAACGTGGTGCATGTCTTCGGGTTGAAGAATCCGCTGCAGGAATTTCTCAGCTGCAGCGAGACGGTGCCGACAGTCGTTGATCCTCTGCTTGTTGTCCAAGATCCGGGCCTTTAGGCAGTTTCGGCTGAATTCTTGCGCCAGTTTTCTGCCGTAGTGGGTGTCAACACGAGGCCGGCAACGAAGAGCTAGAGGCATCACATTGTGATTCAGGCACTCACGATTGAAGTGTTGATGACATTCCAAGCGGATAATCTTGGTTGCTTGGTTGAGGTACTCTCTCAGGTGTCCCAGGGTAGCAATGCCGTATACAGTACGAATATATGCAAAAATGTTCCAAAAGCCGGGATTCATGATTAAAAACAAATACCTCCGACTTGCATAACAATATCAACATTTATCAGACGTTTCGTCTCCTATACGGGAGACATCATCAGTGCGGCCTGGGAACACCGGTGTTCCCAGGCCGCACTGATGATGTCTCCCGTATAGGAGACGAAACGTCTGATAAATGTTGATATTGTTATGCAAGTCGGAGGTATTTGTTTTTAATCATGAATCCCGGCTTTTGGAACATTTTTGCATATATTCGTACTGTATACGGCATTGCTACCCTGGGACACCTGAGAGAGTACCTCAACCAAGCAACCAAGATTATCCGCTTGGAATGTCATCAACACTTCAATCGTGAGTGCCTGAATCACAATGTGATGCCTCTAGCTCTTCGTTGCCGGCCTCGTGTTGACACCCACTATGGCAGAAAACTGGCGCAAGAATTCAGCCGAAACTGCCTAAAGGCCCGGATCTTGGACAACAAGCAGAGGATCAACGACTGTCGGCACCGTCTCGCTGCAGCTGAGAAATTCCTGCAGCGGATTCTTCAACCCGAAGACATGCACCACGTTTTTGGCGCACGTAAGCAAGCCGAAGACTTGGAGAAAATCAAGCTCACGAACATCCACGACAAGAAATTATCATAACTTATACCCAAGCCCTCTACCAGACCAACTTCAACTTCCGTCTATAATCTGTCATCTAAACATCTCTCGGACAGTCATGTAAGCCTTCTGTCAAAAGGACTAGATTTCGCTTTGGCCCCGCGCGTTGTCCCCAAACGAGACATTATCGTGGAAATAGAAGAGAAGCTACGTCATCTCCATGATAGCTCAGGGATTAACCTAGCACGCAGCCGTATAAGGACTACTTTAAATAACGCAAGAACCACCCCGTCGAATCTAAATAAGCACGAACAAGCGGCACTACGGGACCTTAAATCCGACCATTCAATCCTTGTCCTTTCTGCAGATAAAGGAAAGGGCACTGTTGTCATTGACAAAGAGGCTTATTTTCAAAAAATGGATGCCATCCTCCAGGACACTGCGCATTTTGTAAGGTTAGCACAGGATCCGACTAAAAAATCTGAAAGAGCTCTGGTTGACCACCTACGTGATCTAAAAAAGAAGAACCGCTTAAATGACACAATTTACCGCCGCCTTTTTTCTTCCGATGGTTGTACTCCAAAACTTTACGGCCTCCCCAAAATTCACAAACCCGATTGTCCTCTACGACCGATTGTGTCGTTTGTTGGTTCCCCCACGTACAACCTATCTAAATATCTAGTAGAGCTGCTTTCTCCCATAACAGGGAATAACAACTTTACAGTTATAAACTCTCGAGAATTTGTTGACCTAATTCGAGGTCATGTTCTGGACAAGGGAGATGTAATGGTCTCGTTTGATGTTATATCTTTGTTCACTAATGTTCCGACCACTCTTGCAGTGGAAGTTGCCGAAACACGCCTACGTAATGACTCCACACTTTCGTCACGGACATCTCTGACAGTTGAGGATATTATTATTCTTTTGCGTTTTTGTCTAAATCAGTCGCATTTCACCTTCCGTGGACAATTCTATCGTCAGATTGAGGGTTGCCCAATGGGTAGTCCGGTATCTGTGACCTTGGCTAATCTGGTAATGGAACACATAGAGCAGACCGCGTTAGAAGTAAAAGCATGCCCTGTCAAATTCTATCGACGTTACGTAGATGACACTTTCGTTATTTTAAATGAGGATCACGTCGATGACTTCCATGCAACCCTAAACAGCATTGAACCTTCCATACAGTTCACGCGAGAAGTTGAACAAAATAGCACGTTACCTTTTTTGGACGTAACTGTTTGCCGAAGTGACACCGATCAGATTGAAACCACCGTGTATCGTAAACCTTGTGATACCGGTAATTTTTTGAGTTTCAATTCTCACCACCCTGTAGAACATAAGCGAGCCGTTGTAAAAACCTTAATTAGCCGATCAGAACATTTGCCTTCAAATTCAAATTTACGAGCATCGGAAGTTCAGACTGTTATCGGATCCCTTTTGAGGCGCGGGTATTCACAAGGTTTTATTGAAAACACACGTAAACAGATGCAGCAGGGAAGAACAAAAGCGACTAATAATTACAAAGCAGGCGTGGTGACTATCCCTTAAGTAAAAGGCGTCTCGGAATCTATTCGCCGGTCCCTCCTGCCACT